TAACCCTAAAAACCCTAACCCTAAACCCTAACCCTAACCCCTAACCCTAAACCCTAAAGACCCTAAAGGCCCTAAAATTACTCTCATGGGATAGGTACAAGGCGCTCACTTCTTCCAGTTGCACACCTTCATGACACTCCGGAGCTTATCATCGTTGCTTTTGAATGTTCCACCCAGGGATGCGATCTCTTCCGGTTTCATCTCCCGGCGGAGCTTGGCAACAGATGCAAGACCTTGACCGTCGCGCGAGACTTTTGTGATTGAGCCAACTCCAAGCAGCATGCCAAGAATATTGACGACCGCAGAACTTGGGTTTTGCACGGTATCGTAAATAGCAAGTGCCCCGTTTGCGAGCTCACCTGCAATTGCAAGAGAGCGTGCGAGAGTGACAAGCCCCGCCGCCGCCGCGACTTCCTCGCCCACGACGGGAACAAACTGCATCATGGGTTAGCGATCATCGTCGTGAATGTTCTCAATGAAATAAAATCCATGCGTTTCTTACTAAGAGAACCACGCTGATGATCATGACTATGAAGTCCTTCTTTCGCTTTTCTTCCTCCTGCTCGGTTTTCTTTTCCTGCTGCCCGAGCTTCTTTGCCTCTGCCATTCCCTCTATGCCCTGTATGAACATAAAGACAGGCACACTGTAGGCATCAGCCGCATCAGAACTGGAGCCGTTGAGCCACTGTCCCAGCATGATGTCTAGTAACGTCGCCCGCATTTCATCGCGCAGGGCGGGGATATTTGGAAGAGCCTTCGTGACAATATCTTTTGGGTTCGGCACCACCATAGATTCATTCTTGATGGGGAAGCCGGAGAACTTGTAGTCGCGTTTAAGGCTACCCACCCTCGGGGCTTCGAATGTGTAAACCAAGGTATAGTCCCCTCGATCTACCCAATCTTGCAAGAGGCCGGCCTTGGCTAGCCCTGCATCATAGCCCTGGGCGTCGGTGAGCTTGAATGCCGTGGTGTCGTATGGGAGCGTTCTTTCATTAACGAAAGTGGTCTGGTTTAGGTTGGAGCATGGAATCACATTCCCGTCACCTAATGTGCACTGAAAATCTGTAAAAGTATCCCATTAGCCTTCGGTGTCAGAAGCAGCGGGATCCTAGCATGTGATCATACAATCCATGCCGTATCCGGTGGCCGGCACATTTGCGAACGGCCCAGTAGTGCTCATATTGAACATGAAGTCATCCAAGAGAACCACTGGCACGAGATTCTCCATGTATGTGACATAGTATCCGAAGAGCGCATCGTACCCACTGTTCACGTTGGTATAGTTCTCGTATGCGGTGTCCAGCATATCGATGAGCACTTGGAGGGAGTACACAGCTATACAGTCGGTTCGCAAGCCGGGGGCAGTCGTGGCAAGGTCATCGAGACTGCTGAACGTCTTTGAATAGTCGCAGACCTCAAAGTCGGACGCATCGAACCCTTCCCCGCACTCTTCGAAGCAGTTCCCGCGCTGGCAGGCAAAATCACACAGCCCGTAGTCATCCTCTCCGGAGATCAGATGTGCTGTTGCGCTAGCGTTGACCACCGTGAAAAGGTCCAGGGTGCCAGTGGCGGTGCACGTGCAGGCGTGGATCGGGCAGTAGCCGTGGGCGCAGGCGAAGACGCAGAGATTCGCCAGATCCCAACTGCCTTCGCCCGCGGTACAGGCAGGTGGCGCAAAGTCCGAAATGGTAGGGATCGTCAGAGGTACCTCGCCCGTACCGCACGCAGTAGTCGGACAGTAGCCATGGCTGCAATCGAACGAGCATAAGCCACTATAGCTCGCGTCTTCGCCGGCGATGGGATAGCCCTGAACGCCCGTGTCCTTCGGCACGGTAGGCGGGGGCCCGAGTTTGGAGCACACACAGGCTGTGATCGGGCAGTATCCCCAATGACACGACTTTTCGCAGAGTCCCAGGAAGTTATTGACCCCCCAGCCATCCACGCAGGTTTGCTCGCCCAGAGAAGAGGTCGGAGCGACTTTGATGGTGGTGGAGGATATGGCACTCCCCACCCAGGCATTCCAGTTCTCCACTCCGGAAGCAGCGGCACAGCCAGCAGAGATCGACTGGCCCTGGATCGTGGCAATAGAGGCTCCTCCGCGGGTAATGGAAATCACCACCGAACCCGAGTGCCCGGTGAACGACACGCTGCCATGATAGATCCCGATTCCGCCGCTGGGCGTTGAGGTCCACGAGGCCCCCAGATCCGTTCCACCCACCGACACCGATACATCCGCCCCGGAACCGAGCAAGGCAGAGTAGAAAATCTTATCTTGCACCATCTCGTACGGCCAGTACTCGACCTGCAGCTGACTGTAGGTATTGCCGGTCGTTCCTCCATCCGACGGACAGGCTCCCGCTTTGTTGAGCCGATACCAGCCCGTGACACCTTCCTGCGTGATCGTGGAGATGTTGTTCTTGTATGTCTCGATCACATAGGGAAGAAAAAGACGCCATCCATCATGCGGCATGTCCAGGGCATAGTTGTACGGCGAGTTCCCGGTATCGAAGGCCGTGTAAGTCTGATCTGCCAAGGGATCATCAGCAGCCCGGATAGGACCGATATAATGCGACTCGCCAAAGTCGTTCCAGGAGATGATCTCGACGAACTCCGGCGCGAGGAACAGAGCCTGGTTCCAGCGGTCAAACCACGTATCATCGCCGCGCCAGAGCCAATTCTTGTCGTACCCGGGCATGTTAGTAAAGAACCACGGCGACACTGGCATCATATAAGGTTTGCCCTCGAGGTAGTTGATATACGAGGCATCCGTGTATGTGTCCATATTCACCGGGCCATTAGGCCATGCCGCCCAGCTAAATAGCGCATCCGCGACACCATCCGCCTGCTTCACTGCCTCCATGGCGCCAAGTGACGACCAGTCCGGCGCAAAGAAACAACCAGTCTCTTTCTTGATATCGACCCAGTCAGCCGCGTTAGCAGGGCCCTCAAACGTGGACACGAACGGTTGAGAATTGTAGTGGTAATAGACATTAGGCGACTTATAGAATTGGATCAGCTCGATCACGTCAACCTTGGCCCATGGGCCGTTCCCGGCATAGTCGAACGAAAAGAAGAGGTGGAAGCCCACGTTCTCGGCCGCGAGAAAGGCATTTCCCAGGGAATGATCGTTGACTGGCTGATTCGCGGCGATATTCAGAGCAAATGCGTCGATGTGGGCTTCGAAGGCCAGGGTCATCTCCGCTTCCCAGTCTGCAACAGTGTATCCTTCCGTGTTCGAGACCTCAGTGTTGTCAGTCCGCCATTCTGGACATTAACAGGACAATAAAGATTAGCACGTACCATGAAGTGAGCAAAAACAGCTCTGGCCTGGACTTGACAGAAAACAAAAGCGAGGTAATAGAGAAGGGAAAGCCCCATGTTGGATGATAACGATGAGGAAGCGAACATTATAAAGAATGGCAAGCATCCAAGGGCACTACGAGAAAGAAGAATTTCAAGACAGATAGGAAGAAAGGTTGACAGTGCAATGTGAAGGAGAGAATTTTGAGTAACCTCGGTGGTAAAGAAATCAAAGAGGCACCGTCTCCTGGCCTTCTTTATGAAGATCGGGAACACGTCAAATGCTGGTTTAGCCGGTACTATGACCGGACGACTGCAAAGCAAGAGGCAGAGATTGATGGTGCTAATTATGTAGCACGCCATGCGCTAGTCAAATGGACGGACGCTTTCGTGGTTATTCGAGCCCCATAGGCTGATGGAAAATGATTAGAAAAGGATGGAAAGAGTGGCGTTGCATGCGCAAAAATGTAGTATCGGCGAAACGATTCTAGTCGGTTCATTGTGTCTGTCTATATGGATGTATGGTTACGGAGTGGGGGCAATGGAGTCTTGACAGGAACACTAGTGATTTGTCTTCACGAAGGGGGTAGGAGCAATAACATCGCTAGGCCAAAAATCCTCTATGGGCAATGTTATAAATCATTATACCTAACCCGCCTATTCATTGCTCTGATAAGTGCTTGGGGTCTCAGATACGAAATTGGCTGGTGGATCATAGGCATATTGACCAGCTACGGTGAAGATGGAAGGAAAACATCCACAAACAATGGAAGTAGAGGAAACAAAACAAAGTAAAACAAAATAACACTTAAAAAGGAAGCAAACTGAAAAGAAAACAAAAGGGTGGAACGACATGCATGTGTATTTACCCAAATCGGCCATGCCCCGATGCTACGAAATGGGGTTGACACCCTATCGCCAGCATGAACTGAGTTGTGGGAGAAGGACAGATCAGGAGTGGACCTTGATGGCAAAATGAAGCAGCTTAAGGCTTTTAGGGTTTGCTGTATCCCTCGATCGCAGCTGTTCTCTGCTGGCTCACTTCTGCTTCTGTTCCATTGTCAATTGAGTTACTCGTTATTCGACCTTTCTCGGGCCTCCATCTATATATCAATATTCATTTACCCCCCCCCCCCCCCCCCTCGTGCCATATGATTCCAGAGCGTAGTAAAGGATACCCTTTAACAGTTATTTCTTTGTGTACGCATTCTTAGTGGAGCTAGGGCTCCGGTTGTTTGACCGCCGAGTGTCCGTGCATGGGATGCATGGGTATCTTGGAACTTGACTTGGACATCCAACTACACTGAGAAAATACCTGTCACACACGAATCAATCAACTTGTGCTTTTGCATAAACACCGTCCACTTCAAAATTATAAACACTTTACCTAACTGGTGATACCAAAAAATACAATCTTGTCTTCTTCTCAAGTCTCAAAGTCGCTACCCCCTCCCGATCGCTAACGAATACTCGTAAAGTCTCCCGAGTCCTGACTCAACGCTAAAAGCTTAGTAGCGCCTGCCGTTAAACGCTATGAACGCCACCCAGTCCCCTGCCTTCCTATCTCATCCTCGCCTTCATCCTCGAACCACTGAGACCCCACATTACTACCTGTGAAGGTTGCCTATGCCCCGCTATCTCGGCCCTAATTTCCTAATTCACCACGCCTCGTGTCGCAGAAGTGCCCCGTAGACTGTAGTATCCCTACGCAATTTGCCATCACGGTCGTACCCGGTCAAACCCGATTTCAAAAGATAGCGCGTGGATTTAGATGTGATTGGAACTGATCCACAATGCTTCCCAGCCCCTGAATCTCGAGAAACACAAAGAGATCTATTTCCTTCCAATGTGACTTGAGGCCTAAGCCCGGAGTACGTCTCAATTATCTCGATAATAGTAAGAGATACACGGTCTACAGGCACATAAGAAGGCAGAAAAGACGAATAATCTTGGATTGGGAGAACGAATGAGAGGAAAATGGAGAAGAGAGAAGAAGGAAAAGAGGGAAAACCTACGAATAGGAGGAAAACCCCTCTGGACGGCCGCTAGGACTATTGTAAACATGAAGGCAAAGAAAGGCATAAAGAGTAAACCTCCGCTAAATAGGTATACAAAATACACAACTGCTGGTGGTATATGATCTCCTCATTCTCATCCTGAACATAGAATACTGCCATCTCCAAAGGTAGCTCGGCTTAGGAGCTATGACCATGGTCCATGGGGTCGACGATGGCTATCAAGGTGTTTCTTCTGTAGTCGATCAATCAGTTGAGTATTAGTATCCTATCTCAACCATAGTACAGAAGGAATTGATAATGTACGTAAAGAGAGGCCTGGCCGCTCACCCCGATGGAAGCCACCGACGTTGGATCAGGATAGTGGCTCGTCGCACTAACCCCTACCAGCGACGAGCTGGCAAAGGGTAGATGATAACCGTCGCAGATCCCGTATATGAAATGCTGCGATGTGAAGGTCGACAGAGCGGTCGCCTTGTATAACTGACATTCCCCCCCTTTCACGCTGTAGAGCCAAGCAGCACATTCTGACAGCCCGTCGCAGTACCCGGCACATGCTGACACGTTCCTGTAGTTCGTAGCGAAGGCGAACGGAGCGCCGCTGAACACAGCCATTACGTTACTGGAGATTCGACTCAAACAAGTGCCGGATACCGTGTGGATAGCGTTCAAGAGGAGAAGCGAAAAAACAGAAGACAGTCGCATTATTGCCGTGTCTTAGGCTGGGTGATGAAGGTAGGATGATAAAGGGGAAATTCAGGGAAAAGCAGATAGAGGGTGTGAAGGTCGCAGAAAAAATTTTGCTGGATTTAATAGAACACGAGATATTGAGAGGTCTGTCGAGAAAAGGGGACACATTTATGACTGTGACATGGGAATGGTCCATATCTACAAGATCCAGTTTCCATTGTGTTTGTAATTTGTAAATGTGTATTATGCGGCAGGGCTTACAACTCCACACCGGTGTTATCACTCTGATGCTCGGTAACACCGCCATGGAACAGCTTAACCTGTCCCCTTTCCAATCTCTAAGTCTTCGTCTTCTTTTCAATCAATCAATCAATCTCTCATTTGATAATCCCGGCAGTTCTCATTCGTCTTTGTGTATACCAGCCCAAACTAATCCAGCTCGCTTTGACAGTATCTACGGAAAATTGGGGATCACTGTGGCCGCTAGCTGTAACTGGACATCGTTCGACTTGTAATTTCTCACATTTAGTGCGAGTGTCCTCGAAAATCATCCTTAAAAAAATCTGTGCCTAGCGCCGGGAACAGGGCCTCAACTAGGATAAGGGTATATAGATTTGGCGCTGGCTATTTTTCCCACCAAGGAGATTGCTCTTTCTTGGATGTTTTCCGTAAAAGGCTTATCTGAGGACCACCCCTGAAGTTGCGAGACATTTTAGATGATTCGCATCGATAGCGCAAACTCATACCTGGATATGAAGGCAATAGGCATGCCTATTAGACACAAAAAGCATTTCACATGCTCATTGGAGGTCATGAGCTTCAATGCTGGCCCTTCACTGAAGTGGGCCTCTGGCTCCCGGCATCTCCGAGCACTTTAGGCACGATGGCACGCGAGACAAAGTTTTTGCAATCAAGTGGCTCTCTGCGTTTTCTGATCTCGAGCGCTTATGCTGAAACAGGCCGATGCAATGAGTCCGGCCCGGAAAAGTCTTATTAAATAGCTGATGTGCTGGATCGCGTTTTTCTTGACCCAATTATTCTTTGCTGCCTTGGCAACGGGACACGAATTTCCTTCTCTTTACCATGAATCTACGATTTTTGTGCACGATTCTCCTTTTCCTCAGTGCGGGCGTGCTCGGGAGTGTCAACTCGGCACCATATACGGTTCGACGCATCCGTGAACCCGGGAATAGTGGGTGCTGACATTCCGAATATCTAGGCCTTGACACTTTGGTATATGTATCGCATGGATGTCATTGTCAGCGGACCCGGAAAGACGGAGATAGTCCCTGAGCTCAAAGGATCAGCACCTGACGGAACCTTCTATTTCGATGAATTCGTGCAGTATACCCAATATGTCTCCGCGAATAAAAGAAAAAAGAGTTCAGCATGGAAAGGAAACACCGGCGTGGGAAAGAATCTCAATCCGGACGTCGAAAGCACCGCCCGGAAACTCGCAGAGACTGGATTCACCAGACAATTCAAACCATCGCTCGTTTACCCCAGTAAATGGACAGGCAACGCAGTCTCAACATACGATCAATTCTTCGGAGCGCTCACAGACCGAGTGCAAGCTTTGCGAGCGAAAAACCCTGCGGCAATAGAGCTACAGCTGGATCGGCTTCGGGAGAGCCTCAAGCCGGTCATAAACATACGATTCGAGGATCAGACCGCTGGGTTTTTTCGTGATCTGAACTCCTGGTTCAAAGCACAGACTAAAATCGTATGGAATTCCTATTGAATCTTCCTCTTGCGATTTAATCAGCGACTGACTTCATTATGATTAGACGTGGGAAACGAAAACCGTAGACGGGCCAGATGGTACCAAGTTGACACAGATCGATACTGAAACCACACTCAAGAAGAACACTATCGACATGGCCACGATGAAGAAGGATCTGATCTCATTCATCGCCACGTATCAAACTCAACACCAAAAGGGGAAGTCCCACTATGCTGCCATTACAAGCAGCCAGAGGAATGAGGGTCGTATTATGGGGGATTCGACGTGCTGATCTCCTCTTCCTGTTCGGATTTCGAATTTTGTTATAATCCATCACATACCTAGCGGCTGGAGTACTCTTAGAAGATCATGAGTTTGGATCCTCAAGGTTGTGTTCTATAGATATACTCAGATTCCCTCATAACTCTATACCCCTGCCGCAAACTCAGGCTCCTGCAAATCCGATGTTCGAGTCTCATAACATTCAGGTTTATTTTCACTTACACGTTCCCTCAGGTAGCAGGTTAGCATCGAACATCTGAAGTTTGGTGAGATTACACTTTCATTATGCCCTTCCCGCCCTTGGCCATATTTTCTCTCAAGATTTCTATTTCTCTTCATCTTCGTCTGTGTCTTTTCCATAATCATTATTTATTTCGCAAGTTCAAGGACAACGTTCAGCATCTGCTGAGCCCGAATGATTGCACATTTTTGTACAAAGTCGAAACATAAGTGCTGGATGCATTTTTGGCGCTTTTTGTTGGGAGCCGAATCGCTTGACCACGAGGTCATGTAACTCCCGCGAAAGAGCCTCTGGACTTTCTCTGTAGAACGTCTGACGGACCCTGATGTTGCCTTCTCGTTCACATCCCTCCGCTAAGTCGAAAAGGGCCGTCACTCTCGCTTGGTCATTTACATCGACCACTTGCACGGGCGCGTCCCCCAAGAGCCCGAACAAGCCCGACGACGCCCCGACTCTCCGGCTCGCGTGTACCACCAACACCCGCATTACAACAACCCAGCTAGGTCGTCTCTGTAAGAGTTGTAGGTCGCTCGTGTCACAGTACTTAAATAGTGGTAGGCGAAGCGAGCCACCACGATGCACCCAGCTAGCCTGCCAAACAAGATCGAAGAGGGGGTTTCCGTCAACGCAGTACTGGTATTCGTAACCGGGGCAATAGTTCAGATGTGACAAGTCTCGTGTAGGGTCGATCCACTGCTCCAGCTCGTTAAAGCCTGTCCAGTCACATTCGTCGGGGACTAGAAAGTCATCAGTCTCGATAATCGGCAACCCTGTCTCGAAGACCACTGCTCGTGCCTCGCGGCAAACTAGAGCGATCATAGGCCGACATCGATTTGCTAACGACGTGTGCGTCAGGTCGCACGGGACCGGTTTGATCCAATCATAGACCTCGTCCGGGAGTGGACAGTCTAGCTCGGAAACCCGGCGTGGAAGGCATTCACGCCAGATCGCCAGCCGTAGCTCAGCTGGCAGCTGGGGGAACAGATGAAAAATGCGCTTGGACGCTTCCATCACGCGTCTGGTTTCTGCCTGAGGTCCCGGGGATTCTCGAATGGAGGGGACGATAGAGTAGCAATATGAATAAAGGAGAAGAAGAAGAAAAAGAGACTTTGATCGTCGAGATCCTACTAATTGGGCAGTAATGTACACCTCCAAGAGCGCGGTCTGGTTTGGTGACCGTTTGCCGCGCGCGTCTGATCTTGACGAAGCGAAGAAGATGAAAGCGGAAGGAGAGAGCAAACCGGCAGGACCCTCTAGCATATAGCGGCCAGGACTAACCCAGATCCACACCGAACTGTCAACCCGACTACCGAGCCGAACAGCCAAATCAAAACAACAATTTGGAATTCAAATTTCTTAACCAACAAAGCGCATCGTTCTACGTATGAAAATTATGGCATCGATAACCTTATAGCCGGCCTCCCTGTAGCCTCGACATTACAAAAGCCCGTGACACATAGACAAGGGGCACATCACCAACTAGCAGGTTTGTTGACCTGAGATCCAGAAGGTAGATGGGACATGGTTCTAAGTAACTATGGCTACGGACGTAACCATGTACACATGTAGGCGGGAGGGCCAGAGGCTTCACGTGACCGTCCGGAGCCGAGCGTTAAGGACATGCCTGTGACGCATGAGCAAAGGTTAGTATACCAACTGGTGAGCTGGTTGACCAGTTTGTGCGCGGACTTGAAGAGTGGAGGTTGGAAGGCTGTGAACTGGCGAGTTGTGGTCAACTGGTGGGTCGGTTGGCCAGTTGATAAAGAAGGGCAGGAAGTCGAGGATGAGGTCATGTGACCAATGTTTGTGTTCACGAAGTCAGGTGATCGTGTTGAGTTCGTGTTGCTGCCTTAGCCTTCCCACACGTGGGTGAGTTGGAGCCTAAGGATTGTTTCCCTTTCTGTTTACTTCCATAGGGAAACTTCCGCCTCGCCGTCGCCCCGCTTGTCACGGCGCAAGTTGTACGTGATGACTCGAGGCGATTCACTGTTGTATCGACCCCGCGTCGCCTTAGGGTAACAACCCCAAGGGCTCCATGTGGGGCTATAGGGACTCGGTACGCGGAACCTCTATGTATATATTGTGGGAACTAATGGAGTCTACCCGGACTCCAAGATTCAGTCGTTGAAATCAGACCCCATAGACTTGGACTCTCTGTCCTGCGATACAGACCCTCTAACATATTAAGTAAAGTAGAAAGGTTATAAATATAACGATAACTAGTATCTAGTAAGGAACTTCAAAAATTTACCTAAAATAGTTATATAATTCTACAGAGAGTATCCTGATTAGCTAGGACTATGAAGGGCTGTAGCAGAATTGATTCAATTGTACTAGGCTAACATGCTGTTTTCAACAATCTTAAGGAACGAAAGAAGAAAGGATCGGAGTCCGTCGCGGTCCTCAACAGCGTCGATCCTATCTCGGTTAGGAACCACTAGGGCCCCGCTCTGACCCCTTCTACCGAGGCGGTATCCGGAAGGCCATAGCATATGGTCAACCACCGGGCTCTGGCCCGTCACAAGGACCACTAAAAAGACTGCAAAATTAGGCTAAAGCTATAGGAGGCAGGACATGGGAGGACATGGACACAACTACCACGTGTGCCACGCGCGTAACGCGCAGCACCTCAAAACTCAGGATGTACTGTGTTGTGAACATGGCAGGACTGAACGGACTCAGGATGAGAGGGAGGATAGGGGACATGGGTGCCACGCGCACCGTCTCAAAAGAGGATGGACTGTAGCCTCTTCTCTTTTCCTTTTCTCCTCTCCAGCCTTTGAGATTCTTGATACCACGCAGTCAAGTTAGAATAAAAGGTTATGAGTCCTTCTGAAGCTTTTCCTAAATAGCGTACAACAAAGAGGTTATTATATAAGTTAGTACTCAGATAGTGAGAAAATGTAAATGACCTTACTTGTTTAGTGCTAAGCAGGGCTTATATCCTATCTGGGAGCTACTAGAAAACGCAGTATACCTAAAGGAGGGGAGAAAGGGATGGTGAGTTTGAATCTGGTGAGAGGTGCTATCTAAACTACTGGTGGTGGTGTGCGTAGGCGCGCACCACGCTGGTGTGACGCGCCGGACCACTAAGCTATCTCAATACCCAGCCTGATTGTCAAAGTATTCCCCCATGTGTAATGCATGTAGCCGACTCTAGTTCAGTAGGACTCGGGGTATAAGACGAGACCTCCGCATGTTGCTTGGCAGGCGAGGCGGGTCGCGATCGGGGGTTTCCCTCCCCGGGATCCGAGATCGACATCTTGTTCTGGAGTCTGCAAATCGGGGCCGATCCAAAGATCCGGACAGGGTCGGCGACTCGGCAGCGGTCTAAGATCGATCGTTACAACCTTCCTGGCCGAAACCTGGTTGGAAGCACCGCCTCGTCATCGCACTCTGATGCCATCATTGTCCACATGCGGTACGCAGAGATCCTCAAGTAGTCCCTACTTCCCCCACGTTAAGTTCGCAGTCTACGTTCCGGCCACACTGTCTGTCCATCCCAAGACCAACAAAAAGACATTTCGACCCTATTCCCCCAATGTCTCTGCGAGCCTTCCCATTGAGTCAAACCCGCGCCCCATGGCGAGACCTGATCAGCTCCCACCTGGAGAAACAAAAAGAGTACGATTTTACCGTCGCGACGGTCGGGTATGACGCAAAGCAGCGTATTGTCCCGCGCGTCCGCACATGCGGCTTCCGTGGCTTCTTTCCCGAGCTCAAGCTGCATCCGAGCGGACAGAAGGATTTGGATCAACAAGTGGAGGACGGCGGAAACCCACCGTTATTTGAAAGTGACCTCTTGTCCTTCACCTCAGACATTCGAATGGAAAAGCTGAGACAATTGGATTCGACGGGGAACAGCATCGAGGCGATGTTCTGGCTGAAGGAGGTCATGGTTCAATGGAGAATCAAAGGGCAGGCATACTACATCGGATCTCCAGCTGCAGAGTCCGGAAAGGAGTCGGATCTCCAAGCACAATTGTTCAAGGCCCTGCGTCGCAAAGACGATTACCATGGCGATGAAAAGGCGGACTTCAAGAAATGGACATGGGACAAAGCCATTACGAAGTACTTTGCCAATCACTCCCCAGCCATGCGCGGTAAGTGCAGCCGAGCGGTCCTTTCGTTTTCTCTACGCGACCTTGTCGCGCCGAGGAAGTTTCAACACCTGTGAAGCCGAAGCGCCGTGACCCCTCTTACAGATATACGATGCGAGCCTGATCCTGGACTTTCGCTAACGGTTTCTCTAGGCTCCTTTCGCAACCCTCCACCTGGTCAGCCACGAACTCAACAGCTCAGTAACCCTGACTTGAGCCTTGGGCAGAAAGTTTCTGATCTCCACGATCCTGTTGCCCGGGGGAACTTCAGATTGGTTCTGATCCTGCCCGAAGAGGTTGAGCAACTGGACCTGTCCAACGGAGACGACCCTCGTCGACGCAAGTGGACTTTGGTTGGGGGTGATGGTGATGTCGAGAGGACGGGCGGACAGTGGCAGGAGTCCGAGCTCTGGCCTTGATAGTCACTTGTAGCTTGTTTGACGAGCCCGATTCTGAGAAATCCCGCTCCTGTCCTAGGGCTTCTACCTCGGGCTTCTGTGATGTGACATGATCAGCCACGGAGTCAGGGTACTAAAGAAAAATTGAATATTGAAGCTTGCAATTCCAATGACCAGTGCAGCTTGTGAGACCATCGCGCTCTGTCAAACTGTTAATTATTGAGCAACTGGAAAGAGAACCGTACTGTCATGTGATAGCATTGACGCGCTCAAATGTAGGAGAGGCGGACTTCACCGCCTGCGGGTGTTTGCGTGGTCGGAAGAACCTTCAGTGTGGGACAACATTGCTCCGTGAATATTTCCTTCGGACGAGAAGCCAAGGTAGAGCACGCGCATTCCACAGAACTTTATTGATCACTTTAGATTATTGAATTAGTGAGGTTCCACGCTGGTAGTATTTTTCCAGAATGGCCAAGGTCCATTTCACCTCATGGAAAGATCGTGCTCATCTTCTCGAGGTTCGGGATGAGTTCTATCCGCCTCACTCATACAAGGGGCCGGACATGCGCCCTCGAGCATGCGCCAAGGTATGCTTTGATCGACTCTCAACACAGGAAATTGATCTGATCCCGAGCTCAGGTAGCAGCTTGGAAGCTCAGGGGAAACATCCCCCATCATGTGGAGGCTACTGCTCTGTTGACAGACGCAATTCTTCACGATGACGGGGAAAGGAATTCAATCTTTTCCATTCGAGCCACCTACTCGGCAGCCTTTTGTCGGTAAGTCTGCTTCGTCTGTAACGCAAACTAAATTTGGGTGCTCCATTGTTGATGATGGTCTTGCAAATTCCGACCATCTCAATCCGGGTCGAAGCCAAAGGGCGCATCTTCAGTGTTTCAGAAGCTAAATACTTCGCTAGGTTCGTAACGGGGCTTGTAGACACCAAAACCACAGGTCCCCGCAGAACGATGTTTCAAAGGGCCATGGATCTCGGTCTTCCGGCTTCATTTGTGGAGTTGCGACATGAGGCGACGCATCGCGAGCCCCCTTCTCTCATTGTTTTGCGCAAGGCGACGCAACGCTCCTTGGAGTGGCTATGGGACAACTATTGGACGACGCTTGACCCGGACGGACTCAGTGGCAGTTCTTCACGGGCCGATCATTCCGATTTACCGACAGCCACCGCACTGCGTCAGTGCCTGCAGGGCTTCATGAAGAATTCCAAAGCAAGACTGACGCAGAAGAAACGGAAGCGTGATCAGGAGACCGCGCTTGCTGACAATTTGATCGGAATTTGCCGTGACTCCAAGGACAGCGTCGACTCCGCGATGGCCACCCTTTCAGTATCTCTCTTGGAACTGAATGCTCTGATTGACCCCAACAGAAGGTATGATATCAGAGAACGTGGAGCACGACGCGTCGGATCTTTAGCTAACTCTTCACGTAGCCTGGGAGACTCCATGGATGCAACCTTTGAAAAGTGGGACCCCATCCTGCAGAGAGTGACAGACGCCCGTGCTGCATTCCTACACTGCATGGCTGAGGAGCTCGTGAACACGATGGTCTTATCTTCATCAGCCGACGATCATGAAATCGCGCACGTAGAGGGACTCTATCTTTGGTTGGAACACCTCATCACCTCAACATCCTGGGAATCGCGGAGACAATTTCTACCGCGAGAATATTTACTCGCTGTCTGTCAAAGCAACCCTTCCCGCTGGACGGCGATTTTGACGGCCGAGCTTCGTCCTTTGCAGCATGAATTGCTTGATGGCATGCGAAGCTCGCATACGGCAAAAGGACCGACTTCCCAAAAGCACGTTGCAAATTGGGTCCTCTCTAAGAAGCTGGAGAATTATGGTTGGGGCCTTGCAGAAAGCTGGGATAGTCGACCGCTGGGAGTCTCTGTCAGCCAATAGCAGTCTAGCAATGTCAATGCAAGATGAGATCTCTAGCTGTCTAGCATACGAACTTTGAAGCAATTATAGCTGTGTTTTCAAGTCTAGAACCGCCACTGCGTTGGTTGCGGGCTTTCATTTCTCACTTAGTCTGTCGGGCCAACGCCGCAAAATCGTCTCTCAAAATAGCGACAAGCTCAAACTTTCATGGCTGACACGACACAGTACTCCAATAAAGCGGGTATAAGAGCGACGAGGTCTCACTGACCTGTGTCAGGCTCTGCTTGAGACGTCCGAGGGGCTCAGCTGATGCGATACTAAACACTCCTTGAACGGAATGGCCAGATACAGAAAGCATCAAGCGAACCATTGAGGTCTTTCTCCTCCTCCTCCTTCTCCTCCTCGAAATACTCACACAGTATCCAAGGACCGAGGAGTCCGGGTTAATCTCATCCTTCTCGCAACCATGGCGGAGATGATACGCAATCACGTGCATGTCCCATCAGTCCATCTCGTAGCCAACCGAATGAATCTGGCATGTTGCAGTAACGCACAGGCGCGACACTATCATTCAGGTCGCCCATTTTCAAGAATTGATCACGGAATGCGCGGCGATCCCCCGCTGAGCAAATATTTCGAGCGCAAAGATACAGTCGGAGTTTAGCCTGACGGGGGTTTCAAAAGAGTGACCATTAACGAATCCATGAACCTTGATTCGCAAGTTGTTAATCAGCACAAGGTCGGCGAAGTGAAAATGTCCGAATCATAAACGCATCTGGTGGAAGCGTCGTGTATTTTAGATGTTCAGCAGCCTGCCTTCATAAAAGTCTCACGCTTGAATAAGCCAACACTGCAATCCATAGGACCCGCAAAGTCATCAGCACCACGAGGCGTCATCGACAGATGTGCAACACGCTTATCAAGGCCCTGCGCCAAGCAAGGCCTCGCTCGAACGTTAGTATCCACTTAGAACCCGCACGAGGCAACTTGAAGAGAGATTGCCATATGCCGCTCTGCTATGCCGTGCAAGTGGAATTATTCTGCAGAGCCTGGACACCACACCAATTGCTCATTTCCCTAATGTTTCTCATACGGCAGCCGGGAAGCTCAATAATTTGCATACATCCTGCGTCATAATTAGCGTCATTTTCATTTGTTCAGATCATGTACTCATGGAGTCGGACATACCCTCCGCCTGCGCCTGAACTGTTCGTATAGTTGCTTCCAGATCTCTCGATCCCGACATCCTCCGCGTGGTGAGGTCCCAGGGACGCCGTCGCAATTCGGCTGGTGGGTAATGAGTTGATCTTGTGTCCACATCACCCAGGGCTTCGGAAGGGGCCAGTCAGAGAAGTGCACAAACTTGGCTTGCGCGATTGCGTGATCGGGGTCCCACTGCTCAAGGTCATTGCCGAGGAACGCCCGGTGGTCTTTGGTGCGAAATTCGCCAGAAATTAGTCCGTATTGTCGGTGAGGAAGCACGAGGGCGCTGTCTCCGTAGCGACTGTTAAGTATCTCCATGTCGTAGCGTTTGTTGGTCAGGTTCAGGCTGATCTGACCGAAAATAACCGGCTTAATTGTATCTTTCAGCAGAGTGAATTCTTGGTAGGAGGGTTCAATGACGGCGAGTAGCGAGGAGAGCGTCCGCGTCTCAGGTAGAAGCCAGTACGCCCGAGGCATGGCAATGGGGGTTGGAGGGAGGAAGAAGAGCTCATCCATGGGCTGAAGCAGCATCATGTCGGAGTCGAGGTGAATGACACGATCGTACTGAAGCACGCCAAAGGCGTACAATTTGGCGGTGCTTGAATCCCAGGAGGATTCGGAGACTTCTAATCTCACAAGATGCCCGGTCAGGAACTATCGATTGGGGTCACAGCGGAGGAAAGGACAGGTCTTGCGACGTGATGGGTAGACTCGGACTTACCTCCACCACCGCCAGTCTCCGATTTGATGCCTTCAATGACGACAGGGACCAATTGGACATTGTATTCTTCTTTAGCCAGAACCAACAGCTGACTGATACGGTCTGTGCCGCTCTCGATCACCAAGTCCCACTCCTTGGGGTAGAACAGGAGGCGATCTGCACGCGAACCCAGCCGGTGCAAAGCTTCAAATACCATCACGCAATTGCAGAGGTATGTCTCACTCGTCGCATATTGAGTGTATGCATACCGCGACCAGTCCACCTCATCATAATGTATATGACCTAGCGGTACAGCGGCTGGGCGAGGTCGTCGCATCCAATGCACCATCGCCAAGAGTACCAGTAGGAGAATCCACGTCCGCGGTCGACGAAGCCAGCGCTTCACTATTGCCCATATTGATTCATCGGGGATGTCGAAGAAATCTCGCTCCGAGGCATTAGACCCTCGCCTATAGGGAAATGCCGAGCTCTTGGACGATACAGGCAAAGCCATTGAGGGCAGACGACGACTGCCAAACAAAGTACCTAATCAATGGCGGACGCCAGACGTTTATGCAACAGCGATAAGGGGACGCGCCAAGTCTCGATAAGCACTCTGCTTATCTACACGTGATGGTCCGCCTTCTCGAAGGAGCCTTGGCCGCAGGACAAGTGAGGGATGGACATGCATGGGCCTTCTAGATTGGAGAGGTCTCGGGAGAAAGCCACCAGCGTCTACCACTTAACGCTGGAGGAGACTCGTTCCAAATGCGCATTCCTGGGCGGCCTGGATCTTAAGAAACTATGTCAAAGAGGGTAGGAATAAATTATAAGATTGTTGTATTCACCACCCGAATATGTGTTTAGGTGGTGAACTGTAACTATGGACGTACACGGACAAGTAGAATGCAATGCGCGAGGGTATCAAGCTTAATAAAGACGCAAAATCGACGCAGAAAAAATCACATGGTTCTCAACCGCCATCTTTGAAGAACCAGTCAGAAGAGAAAAGTCATCGGTGATCCATCGCTGATCACTTTCTCTAGGCGCGGAAGTCGTACATGCGAACCTGATAGTCATCACCGCCAGTAATGAATCGACTGTCACTCAACCCGATGCAGTTGACAGCGGCAGAATGGCCTTCGTACGTGTCTTGACAGGTTGGGATGCGTGGATCCCAAATTTTGACCATACGATCCATTCCGCCAGAGGCGATACGAAGCGTGTCGGCAGACAAGGCCCAAATACCTTCTAGGTGTCCGAAGAAAGTACGTAGACAGCGCCCGGTATTGGTCTCCCAAAGACGGATGGTTGCGTCGACTCCACTGGTCATGATGTAGCGGGGAGGATCCAACCGACCTGATTCTTGTTCGAAGGAAGCCCCGGAAGAGGATGGGTGGGTGCCTAGAGACCTGTGTTCAAGGGTGGGAGACAGCATGCTGGCCGGCTCTCCATTTTGAGAAGACGTGCTGACATGATCGATCTCGCAATCTGCGAGATGGCTCTCAAACTCGATCTCACGTGGCAGGGGAATAACCTGCTGCACTGCACCGATGTGATTCTGGAACACGCGGGTGCAGGTCTTCGTGTCGAGATCCCACAGGCGTGCCACGCCATCGTCGCAAGCTGTCAGGACTGTTCGCGACGGGGTATCGATCTTTACTGCGTTAACGCCCTCCGGGTGAGCCAAGACAAACGTTGACTTGTCTTTGAAATTCCAGATCTTAACCGTTCGATCGACAGAAGCCGAAGCCAGAAGGGTGGCATCGAAATGCAAGGCAATGACAGCCTCGGAGTGCCCGTTATAGCGAGAGATGCACTCCCCCGTCCGCCAATTCCAAACACGGATACTGCGGTCCAAACTTCCGGTAATCAACTTGGTGTCATCGAATTGCAGACAACGCACACCAGCCGTATGACCTCGAAGTGTCCGGAGCTCCTCTCCCGTTTCCATGTCCCAGATCTTGACTGTCGCGTCATATGAGCCAGTCATCAAGATATTGTCTTCGAATTGCAGACACATGACACTGTCAGTGTGGCCCCTGAAGATTTTGACGGAGCAACGACGATGTTTCCAGTTCAGTCCGACCACGAACCGATCGCGGTAGACATCTTTCCAAGGTCGGTAACGTGTCTTGAAGTAGTCGTCATCCGGCTCTGGTTGGTATGCCGGGGACACGCAATGACGCTTAATCATGGCACAGCTTTGGTCATCTTCAACTTCTATCTTGCGTTTTCCGCCAAGAGGAAGCTCGACGACGGAGCACGTCCCATTGGGCGCACCATCCACGATAGTATTTACTGGTTGACTGCCCCAGTTGGTTGCCCGTAACTCGATTTCACGTTTCGCTTCGCGCAGTCGTTTTCGGTCCAGCAAGGGTAATCCCCATCCACACTTGTTGCATTTTCGGCGGATGTGCTGTTCACACATCCGATGCCAGACCACATCGTCGTCTGCGAGAGCTTTCCATCGATGGGAGACTTGTGCGGCACGGCAGAGGGAGGCGGTATCCAGGTAGCGAAGGATTTTGAAGGAGAGCTCGGGAGGTAGCGCAGTGAGAAAGTCGATGCGGATAAGTTCGCGTACGCTGGCGGAGATGAAGGACAGTTGTGGGAAGCAGCACTGTGCCAAGATGCCTTGCAGCATTAATTTTCGTTGTTTGGCGGGGGCGGCGGAGAAAAGCGACCATACGTGAGCGATTCCTTGCTGATCGCTTTGCGGGAGGGTCTCTAATTCCTAGAAGTGGGATGAGCAAGATATAGCCAATAGTGGACTGCGTGAGACAATGACAAAAAAAACGTACTCTTTGAAGTTGCTGCATTGATTGTTCATCCGCCTGCCGAGAGCACTTGGAGTCGGGCTGATGCCGGTAACAATAACCGGCATTGGTTATACGAGGCACCGTCGTCGTGCCGTCCTCCGCTCGTCGTGGAGCATACTGCCGTGGGTGATATTTGGCCAGAAAGGGCGCAACGTTCTGTTTTGCCAACTCATTCAGGGAATCAGATGTGCTGCTGAGCGGCAAACGGTTGGCGTCGGCCTTCTTTCCGTTCTCCGCAATATGTTGAGTATGACTCGTCGTGGCTGACGAAGGGGGACTCGATGAGTCCATTTTGACACGTGCGAACGGGATACGGGGGTCAATCGGTGGAAGAGAAGAGTGGCGGCGCGAGGTTCAGGCCGCTGCTGCTCAAGCCTCGAGAAGCCTTTGGGTATGGTCGGCGACGTCCAGTCACGCAACCTCTGAGTTGGGTTGGGCTAGGCTGCGGTCAAAGAAAGGCGCTGCCGAATATAAGTGGATATGTGAATTGGGATCCGGCGAGGAGTGATTCTGATTTAGTGCATGCGTCGACCTGCCAGAGAAGAGCAGCTGCGGTCGTTAAAAGGACCTTGATGGAGGATGGAGACGCCACACGGAAGGTTTGCGCAGTCGCGAGTATTGCAGAAACGAAGGAAAGACAGGTGATGACACTGCTGGAAAGTGCGATCGAGGTCAATCGCTCGACTGCGCTTTGAGTCAGATTATTGCGCAACCAGTCTGAATGGCGAATTTTTGAAGGCAATTCTGACTGATTATAAAAGGTGTTGGATCTGATCAGTCGGATGGGAAAGAAATGTCGGCAATCACGCAACGGGGGTTGGGGCGATCCGACAAGGCGGTGGAGCTCCCAGGGCCCTCTCATTGGCGCTCGGAACAGCCTTGTTGGACCCCGAGAATCTCGTGATCGGCGACTGGCTCGAGTCAGTCAGTGGGTCCACGTGATGGCGCCATCCTGCGTGTCCTTGACTGCTTTCAACGGTCTTCTGTCCACTCTCGACATGATGCGATGTTCAATAAGCAACATTCACTATGGGGCATAGCGGTGTTCAGCCAAAGAGAGACTAGCAGTTCATGAGCTTCCGGGGCATTGGGCAATGATGCAATTTCCAGAGTCCAAAAAAGATATATCTTTAGGTGGATCTGGTTGCTCGGCGACGTCCACTTGCGGTTGTTAGGTCGCGAGGAAGACACCTGTAGAGCCTCAAGGAGAGTTATTATCTTTTGATAGATGTCTTATTCACAAAGTCGCCTGCCTATGGAGGAACTTCCATCAAGTCAGACCCACGGGCACCCTGCAGTCTCAAGGTCGGGTTGAGTGTTGATGTATTCCGGGCATGGATTGGCATATTCAAGAAGTATATCCCGGGATCTAGGTACCCTCCAGCTATACAAGTTTTTGGGGTTCGAGTTGTAGAGCACTCTGATCCGATCCGAGGCAAAAGACAGGGCACTCGAGACTTGCCCGTCCAGCTTCCATACATCCTTGATGTAGGTACCCGGTGACTTTCCATAGCCTCAGGCACTATAAGGTTGCAGCTTGGAAGATCCATACGGCCATTAGTCTTCGGAGCGTCTCCAGCTCAAGGTGGAGGGTGCATAGTTGGAATACATAAATGTACAGTGTACAAAACCAATGTCCATTCAGCAGATCTCAACGCATCTCACTTTTCCCAATGGGACAATTGGCTCCGATCTTTCATAGATCCGTCCGGTCGTTATCTCGCTGTCAACACTCATCGATTCGACGTTCTCTCGTACCTCAACTTGGAAGGTACGACTCTACCTGTTAGAAACTTCAAGCTGGTGAGGCCTTATCGATAGCAGGCCGCTGTGGGCGATAAGGGAGTTGTTATTATTGTGCAGGTCGGAGTAAGTATTACTCCGAATGACATCACCCGCTACGCCGACGCTGCATGCCATGGACCATTGGACACAGGCCGCTTAAATGCAAGCTCGTACCGAGTAAGCTCTTCCGAGCACCCGCGATTGACATTCAGCTCCCCGCACTTATCTACCTCCCCACATCCACAAATCTCATCCTGTGATGAGTTTCGCACGATCTATACGGACATTATCCTCCCAATTGCCACGCTTCCAACAACTTCGCAAGATGCATATTCAGTCAATTCCCATGTGTATGTCTCTTCTTACCGCCGGCCATGCCAGCCGAAGCTTCCTCCGAGATGAGCCCGCTGTAACGCAGACGACCATGCAGGGACCGGCAAAGGCAACAATTATGCCTATCTAGTCACCGATGAACCTACCAAGAAATCGGTCATTATCGACCCTGCCAATCCCCCAGAGTACGTGAGCCGTGACAAAGAAAGGCCCGGATGCAATTAGAGCTTGAAATATGCTGACATGGATCATCAGGGTGGCCCCGGAGCTAAAGTCCCAACTAGCGGCAAACAAGATTGATCTAACAGCAATTGTGAACACGCACCAGTGAGCCTGCTCCACCTATCTGCATCCGAACAGGATATTGACGTCGCATGACAGCCATTGGGATCATGCCGGGGGCAACGACGATATGGTTCGTGAATGAACTCCGTTGAGTTTGTGCACCAAGTCATGTGGCGCTAACGAGGCAATTTCCAGTTATCTGAGTTCGGCAAACTTCCCGTAATTGGTGGAAAAGAGTGCAAGTCTGTGACCAAGACCCCTGCCCATGGTGAAGAGTTCAAGATTGGAGATCGCATCACAGTCCGGGCTTTGCACACTCCGTGTCACACTCAGGACAGTATCTGCTACTTCATGGAGGATGGAGATCAGCGAGTCGTGTTCACTGGCGACACTCTTTTCATCGGCGGTATGTCCCCTGATTGACACCGAGGATGAAGACATTCCTGCAACAGCCTCTGACTTACTCGATTCAGGCTGCGGACGGTTCTTCGAGGGTGATGCTGCTCAGATGCACAGGGCCCTGAACCAGACGTTGGCTGCTTTACCTGATGATACCAAGGTCTATGTAGGTTGCCGGATCCTGCTCGTTTAGAAAGTGGAAGCCAGGGGTTCTCGCGCTAACGCCCACCTGTCTAGCCCGGCCACGAGTATACCAAGAGCAACGTAAAGTTCTGTCTGCAGGTGTCACACGCGGAGCCTATCAGGAAGCTTCACGCATTTGCGGAGGCGAACCAACAAACGCAAGGCCAGTTTACTATTGGAGATGAAAAGGTCAGACATCCATGCTTCTCGAGGTCTCCTTGCCAATCTTCCCTTCTAACATCTTCTTTTATAGCTCCATAACGTGTTCATGCGCGTCCAGGTAATTTCACGTCATGTCTCGTCTTTCAAGTGGATGCGGATTGCTAAGAGTTTAATGACAGGACCCTGAGATTCAAAAGGCCACCGGGAAGACCGACCCTGTCGAGGTGATGGCCGCCCTGCGAGAGATGAAGAACTCCATGTAGATTGTAGCGATCTCTACGCTTGGACCTTGAGCGATTCGGAATCTTTCTTGACTCATCATTCCTGATCGAATGAAATGCACTTGCCCTCGACTCCACCGAGTAGGCGACTCTATTTACAAGTTTAGACCATTGATCGCTAGCAGTGGGAACTGGCGGGGGTCTATCAGATTCTACTTCCAAGTCTTACTCCCGTCATCTTCCGACCCGCGTCCTTTGAACCGATCTTAATAAATTTTCTATTAAGCGGCAGCATGATTTTCAAGTTGCAGTTGAGCTGTTGACACTTGATACCTGATTCAACTGGTGACTCCAACGGCGTTTTCGGGGTTCGGCAGTTCCCGCCAAGCTCCCCGGGAAAAGCCGCGGGCGGAGAAGCCCAAAGGAGTCTAGGGCGGTGGATCAACGGAGTAGGCGGAACTGCCTGATGGGGGAAACAATAAGAAAAAGCAAAGGATTTTCCAGGCAGAAAAGTTGGAGACACGATAAGCAGACGACCCCAACGAGTGATAAGGTGATAACATTCCCGGCACCCATGTTCGCATTCCCTTTTTTCATCACTCCGGCTCCCCTCTTGGCTTCGCGCGTCCAGCCCAGACAATTTTTCTGTGCGGCCAGTTCCAGCGGGGGAGTGCAATACGCCACTGATATTGTTCCTCTTCGGCGCTCTTTCTCGCCCGAATCAGCTGGAGTCCATCTAGATTGCTCGCCTCGGTCGAAGGACATTTTCTGCCATGGAGAAAAGCACGCAATCAGGTCCGGCATCGGATCTCGAGGCCAGCACCACAACACCGCAGACACCGCAACGGTCGACATTTGCGCAACGATGGAGGCAGAACTTGGATCCAACTAATGCAGATCTGGTGTGTCTTGTGCTATGTTTCCTGACTGGCCTGTGCGACAGCAGTGCGTATAATGCCTGGTCCTGTTTCTTGGGCATGCAAACTGGTATGACTTTCGCCCTGTCTTCCCAATCCATGAGAACCTGCCCTTCTCCCCCTCGCGCGGACGGGACGCTGATTGATTGTGGCGTCTCGTAACGCATGCAGGTAACACCATCTTTTTGGGCCTGGGAGCCTCCAATCAACCCGTCAGCAAGCCGTGGGGATGGCTCAAGTCTCTCATCTCCATCGTCTTCTTCTTCTCGGGGGCCATGATCTTCTCTGCTGTGATGCGACGGGTCGGGGCCCTGCGTCGAGGAACCCTCTTCGTTTCCTTCATGGTTCAAACCATCCTCATCATCATCGCCGTAGCCATCATTCAAGCCGATTTGATTCCCCACTCTTCCACCGACATGGGTCTCACGGGAGGACCTCTGTTCCTTGAACTGATCCCGATCGGCCTGCTGGCCTTCCAATCAGCCGGCGCTATGACCTGCAGCCGTTCCCTGGGTTACAATGAGATCCCAACCGTGGTCTTGACCAGCGTCTACTTTGATATCGCCTCAGATCCCAAGATCACCGACAAGCCCACCGGCAATGTTAAGCGCAATCGGCGGGTGGGTGGCGTGGTCTGCTTGCTGATCGGGGCTATTGTTGGAGGTTGGTTGAGTCGGAGCAGTGGGGGCATGCAATCCGCTTTGTGGATGGCTGCGGGTATCAAATTGGTGGCGGCCGTGGGTTGGCTCTTCTGGAGGGCTGCGCCGCCCAAATAGACAAATCTCGATGGCGGGACCAGAGTGAGACAACCCGTAATGCCACCCCCGTCTGCGCCCTCGAAGAGACGCAAAAGCAGGCTGCCGTTTCGCTTGTTTCCATCGTCGCTGCTGCAACAAATTCGCTGATACGGCGAATGTCACCGCGCTGTACCTGAGCTTTTCCAACAAGTGCCTCTCAATCTCGCTAGGATCACAGCTGTATATACTTGACTGAGCGACGCATTACATTATAGACTAATTGATACACATTGCACTTTGGATGGGAGAGTTTTTCCGAAGCGATTCTTGAGGTATCTCCCCGATACTCGCCATTGTTAGCAAAGCTTCTCAACATTTTTCCGTTCAACTGCAGCGTTCTAGAATTGCCTTGGATGCATCTAGCCACCTACTGCTGTCGCCAGTGCAAAATTCTGTCATCCCTTCAAGTGCTTGTGACAGGTATCAGCGTAATCACAAACTCCTTTGACCGCAATACATGGCACTTCATCCCAGAGTACAGCACCCTCCATCTTAAATTCAATCACATCGGCTTTCTCTTGAGTGTCGGTCTCGGTCCGCTGCCGACGTCAACACCATATATCCCGACGCGACGGCTCCTACGTGCATGGTAGGCTGCGTCGCGGCCATCATTTACTAAAAGCTTATTATATGCAACTGTTTCCTCGCGACGAGACCTTCGTTGTGGCATCGAAGGCCCGCGCATGACGAATTAAGCGCCTTTTCGCAGACAGGGTCCGAGTCTCCGACGCAATGATACAAGTCGGGGTATTTACGGTGCTTGTGAGGGCATATCGACTCAAACAGCTTGTCTTCCACCATTCCAGGGCAGATGTGCCTGTTTTGACGGCCAATCTGTGCGGTGTTGGCCTAGGGCTGCGAAAGATAATGGACAGTCCGTAGTCTGAGCTTGTCAGCGCCCCGATCGATCTCAAGCGATGCGAGTAGGTTGCAGATGTCTTTATTGAGTCGGCCGAGACTATCCTCCATGGGGCTCTTGTAAATGAACTTTTCCGAGTAATGCCTACCGTAGTCCTCGCGGCTAGTGAGTCGAGACGAGGAGATTCCACTTCCCACTTTCACAGGTATGGGCTCATGTTGCTTGTTGTTCAAGCTGTCGACACTCGATAGCCGTTGATCGGTACCTGCATCATGTAAATTCATCCCATTAGGTAGCGTCGTAGAATTTTTCCAAGCCGTCTTCTCCTGCCGCTTCTAGAACGGTCCCATGAGGCTCAAGATGAACTGACCAAACTTCAAATCAGGCGGCACATAGATCGAGACCTCAAGCCTTACGTCTGCCTTTCGGAGGAGCGCGCAGAAGGACAGCCGACCTGCTGGGTAGCAATGCGAGATATTTCATGAAACAGGCCGAAGAAAAGTGAACAAGAAGCCATTTTGTGAGATTAGCAGGGCCTACGACATGTTCGTTTAGGTGTCACGACTCACCAGTGTCCCCTGATCTCTCGCACACCGGACTTCCCGAAGAATACCTGAGCTCCTGTATCTTTTCCCTGGTCTTAACCCCAGCTCTCTGTCTGACAGTCGATAAAGTCGATCTCAATGGTCCCATTTGAAGACGACACGGATCTCCTACAAAAGTTGGCTATGATGAATGGTGCTATTGCTGTCTCGGAGCTCGAGCGTATTTACTAGAATAAGCGGCTTTGTCAGATCCCAAACGCTTTCAAAAGCGCCGCATTGTCTCATTCGCGTCGAACGACCTAGTGTCGCGATAGCGCAACATACCATCCAGTCAAGATCTTTCCTGGCTGGAATAATTTCTGGGTACGGAATCATGATTGGAAAGCGAACCGTGTAGCTTGCCACCTAACAACGTTGTGAACTTCCTGTGCTGTCCTGGCCATAGTCTTACAGCAAGACGAGATCTCACCCGTTCTCCACGATTAAACACACATTTTAGCAGGCTACTCGACCTATACCCGTCGGCCAAAATCGACAGTCAGATTTGGGGGCCGAAAAATGCACACTTCCGACCGCCAAGCGCCTCGGCCTCGGGTTCTTCATGCGCAATGTGTCTAGACGACGCCTCGGCCGAGACGGGAGTTCTCTGCCAACACCTGGACCGTATCCTCAAAAATGTCCAAAGCAATTCCATCAGGACTAGTCAAAGAAGCGCCGCTCGATCTTGCTCCTTACGAGGATCTGTACAGATGGTTTCACAGCCACCCAGAACTCTCATTGCAGGAGCAGCAGACATCCGACAAGGTCGCCGCCCATCTCGCCGGTCTGAAAGAGTTTGAGATTCATCAGCACATCGGCGGCTATGGAGTAGTGGGTGTTTTACGAAATGGTCCCGGCAAAACCATCATGTTGCGAGCTGATATGGACGCTCTGCCTATCAAGGAGATCACCGATCTCCCATATGCCAGCGAGGTGACCATGGCCAACGCTGAAGGCGTGGAACAACCTGTCATGCATGCCTGTGGACATGATATGCATATGACCTGCCTTCTTGCCACCGCGGACCTACTCTCAGGAATGCAGCATGCGTGGAGCGGCACTCTGATCGTTCTCTTCCAACCCAATGAAGAGCGGGGCGGTGGTGCTCAGGCGATGGTGGACGATGGCCTATACGCGAAGATTCCGGTGCCGGATTATATCTTTGGCCAGCACGTTATGCGTCTGCGTGCCGGTACAATTGGATGCCGACCGGGCACCATCATGGCCGCAGCAGATAGCATGAGGATCACCGTCTTTGGCCGCGGAGGGCACGGCTCTCTACCACATCAGACAGTGGACCCAGCCGTTCTGGCAGCACATATTGTGGTGCGACTGCAGGGTATCGTCAGCAGAGAGGTGGATCCCAGCGATCTGGGAGTGGTCACCGTCGGCAGCCTTCATGTTGGACAAGCCGAGAACATCATAGCCGATCGAGCGGAAATTGGACTCGATTTTCGAACAGTCAAACTCGAGACTCGACAGAAAATCTTGGCGGCTGTCCAGCGCATCGTGGAAGCTGAATGTCAGGCAAGCGGTTCACCTCGGCCGCCAATCTTCACACCGACGCGGCGGTTCCCTCCCACGGACAATGACTCCCAGCTCGCAGCAGAGCTTGCTACATCGTTTACGCAGCATTTTGGTGAAAACTTTGATGGTGATATACCCCGAACCAACGTGAGCGAAGACTTCTCCAATTTGGCTCGGTGCAAAGATCTTCCATGCTGCTTTTGGCTGGTTGGCGGAATTGACCGTGAGTTGTGGGATCGTGTTAACCAAGATGTGAATTCAACGGAGGACATTCCTAGCAACCACTCGGCGCGCTTTGCACCAGTCATTCAACCCACCATGAAGGTTGGAATTGATGCGCTTTGTGTTGCGGCGTTAACTTTCCTTCATAAGTAGATGACCTCTTCGGCCGAGGCAGTTTCAAATGTCACTAGGGAGGTTGGTGCTTTGACTACGTGGATGCACTGATTGAGTCAACAGTTGAGGAACACTGTTGCTGCAAGTATGGAAAGACTGAGGTGTTTCTTCAGAATCAACGGAGCATGCTGCATGTAGGCCTGCATGGGGTGAAGCAGACAAGTTCCATTTTACAGACTATTGCCACCTATAGAATGAGATGGCTATAATAGCAGTATATCATTTTATCGGCAGATAAAGTAGACTATCCTGTACCCTACCTACCTTGATGTAGTATTTCAACTAGCCGTGGGCGCTTGTCCAGAGGCACATGATTGACAGTAAAGTATGCATACACAAAAACGCAAGAGCAACCTGGTTCATTAGCTAGAGTGAAGATCCCCTGTCTCATATGGCCTGAAAAACCTTGAAGCTCCCAAATTCCCAGTACGCCTCTTGAAAGTCGCTCGGATTGTTCGCAACGAAGTCTGTGCATGTGCTCGGACAATCATACAGGGATTTATAATAGAATGGCTGCGCTGCCATATCGCCACAGAGAGCAATGTTGATGATGATACTCAGATTCCGAAAGTGTGAATGGATATTGCATTCTGTGCTGGGGAAATCTGCAAGAGCAGTGCCCCATTGCGAGGGATTGGGGGTTGGACTCGAGTATGCAATATCCGAAGGTGCGGTACCCTGAGGGAAGAACCAGACTCGTATGCCTGCTTCGCGAAGCTCGAGTGCATATACCTGTGATACTATGTGATTAGCTGGGGCCACATGCATGACACAAATGAGGTCGTTGGGGAAAAGACTTACTCCACCACCATTTGCGTTCAATTCTTGCCCGTATGTCGAAGAGCCTCCGAGTACTCCGCATCCCAAATTCCCACTGCTAGAGAGTCCACATTGTGAGAGACTTGATGAGCCCGTCTGTTTACGCTTGACGTCCATACTACATCCGTCCGTAGTATGCAGTGAGACTTCATTCCCGTACAGGCCCCCGTTCGTCGACTCAAGAATGTCGATCTCCCCATTCTGAGGCCAATTGTATCCATCGGTGAGCCACAGCGCTGGCCAAGTTCCACAGCCGTAGGGAGTGTGAATGATGTCAAATATGAACAGCCCGGTGCTATAGGTTGCGATCGACTCGACGCGGACTGATTTTCGGCCTGCAAGTGCTCGTGGAGTGGTGGTATCCACACGCAGTACGGCAGAATGGTCACTTGCGTAGGTGAGATTTTGGTCTTGCGCCACATCGCGGGTCACATAGACGACGAAGCCATTTGTCGGATCAGTGTCAGAGAAGTATCTGAATCCATCGAAGAACGAGATTCCTTGGTAGGTATCTCTGAGTCGGTAATTCAAAGGATCATAGTCCGGATATCGGTTCACGCGCGCACCTATCACCGCACCGACTGTGGTGGCAACAATGACAATAGCCACAACCAGCCCCGCGATACAGAGTTGCTTCCAACGTGACGGTTTTCTACGAACGGGCTGCCTCGAGTGCCGATTTCGCTTTGGAGTTTTTGGCGGGAAGGCAACGGTGGACTGAGGTGTTTTCATCGATGCGCGACTTGAGAGTCCGATGGCTTCTTTTCAGATTCGATAAGATGACTGGATTGAGGAGTCACTCGTACGTACGAGGACCGAAAACGGGTAGAACCCCTGCGTCCAGGGACGGTCCAGTCTAGAGCGTCAAGTCGATAGAGGCCAAGAGCTCTGCTTGAAAGTGAAAAGGCTTGGCTTTTTCGTGTGCTGCAAGATTAGTGACAATTGAAACTCTCCATGTTTGTTGCGCGGCGACACGGTGACCTCACATTTTGTCGCTCTTCTTTTTCAGGTGGCCGATGCGAGATGAAGTCCGCGTCTTCTTTGGGAACACCGTACTGGTACCGACCCTTTCTTCTTCTGCGAATGGAATCCCCATCGCCAGACATAAGCTCAGTCAAGGCTGGTCGAGGGGCATACAAAACAAGCAATATGTGGTGTAAATAAGGTACAGCGATTCATATAATAACTTAGCTTAAGCTCAGTAAGGTACGTTGAAGGTACAGTGACTAAGTACCACGTTTGGGAAAAGCGTGCCCATCAACCAAGCGAGGGCGATTACGGCACGATCTCTTTGGCCTGAACGCTTCGTTTAGTATCTGGCTGCGAAAAAAAAATACGTTCGTCGTAGTGTTTTGGCAATTAGTGCAACGTAAGTGTTGAGTTGTCCAGCCTGCAGTCCTTGCAAAATGGACTGAAACAGAGACATCCATTCGAAGCCGCATGGCCAAGCTTTCTATGCGCCGGGAAGTGGGGGGCGCATATACGGGCGCTAGTCCTAAAGAAGAATGAACCGAGAAGCGATCGAATTCCACGGGAGTCAAGTGCGCCAACCAAAAGGCATTGGTGATGAGTTTTTGTTGAGACCCAGTAGGACACAGGGAATTGTCCAAGCTCGCGACTTGATTGCTCTCCGATACTTCCTGTTTGAGAGGGTCTCACTCTTCCACCAATACCTATAATTTTCCCACCGGCGCTGAAGTTGGACGCTCAAACACCGAGACCGGTTATTGGAAGTCTTGCAAGGTAGATGTGGTAACTGGATGAGATTGTTCAATGTTGTACCAAGCCCTCGGGGTTCAACGAACATGAGTGTGACCTCCATCAGACAAGCAATTATGGGTTGACATTCAAGGAAGCCCAGAAGTATTCACAGATTCTAGCGTATATACAGGTACATTTATTCACAAATGAGTCTATAAACAAATCCGCGCATCATCGGTTCGATCGAAGAGTCGATGAGCGGTGTACAAGGCTGTCTCCGTTCCCAGCGCGATGAGTCTCCCAGTCGTATGAGTCCAGCCCCGATGATAGACCGTTGTCTCCCTGAGACTGTGATAATCGACGCGAGCGTGGACGGCTAAAGGACTCAGCGCCACTCAAGTTAGATGCCCGCCGCCTCATGCGGCGTTCTGATTCCTCGACCTCCTGACGATTGAGAGCGTCGGATGGCAGCATCACGGCACGGTCGAGTGAATATGGTAGGCCACGGTGACGGCCACGAATCTGCATCGCGATGATGACCAGTTTTGAGACCGTGTTGAACTGACCGGAAAGAGAAGTGTTGACTCCGGGATACCCGAATGAAAGGCCCACAGTACCGTAGGCCGAGACAACCTCAAATAGTACCGAGAACACTTGAAAGTTGAGATCATTGGCCTGAAGACGACTGCCTTCGGCGATAGCGATGATGAAAAGACCCAAGAAGACATACCACAAATCGAAACTCAGCTGCCGCCGCAAATGAGCGCCAATGTAACTGGGGGCGGTCTGAGTTTCCTCGTCGTTTTCTTCTTCCGAGCCATAGATGCCCAAACTCTTTTCTTCGTACACGTTGGTGCGACGCATGGAAATGGCGATTGGAAACACGGAGATGTACATCATGATCAAGTACGAAACTTGAATGGCAGGATGCAGCGCCGACAAACTGACCACGGAAAATCCGGCGGTACGAGTGGAGGCAGCCTGAAACAGACCATCCACAACTCGAATTCCGGGAGACAGGGCTGTTACAGTGGGGTCGTTGAGCTAATGGAAGAAAGAAGATGCGAGGTCAGTCATGGATCGTTTCCAAGGCAAGGCGGCGATCAACGGAAATATTGTTGTGACTCACATCCAGGATGATGAAAAAGATCAAATCGATGCCGTTGAGCGCAACCAAAATCGCAAATAGCCACCAAGATGCATTTCGGGGGAATAAAAGTGTAAAGCATCGGCGGGGGTGGTCCAGCAGGAACTTCAACTCTTCCCACAAGGCCGAACCTTCACGGACGCATTTAGACATCACCCAGATCATCAAGCGCAGCATACATGGGAATCCTGTGTTGCCAATGATGATGAGGAACGTGAACAGGAGTAAGGGGAAAATTGCGGTTTGAAAGGATATCATGGAGTCGGGTGTCAGCGTGAAGCCTAGATCGTTGAACGCCGAACCCGCCGTGAAAATGGCCCACCAGGGTCGTCCCAATCCGTCCGCGGCCACGATCTGGCCCCAATAGTTCTCGGTGAGGATCCAAGGCATGATGCAGATGATCCCGAGCAGATGGTAACCGACGTAGTAGGTGATGAGGACCACAGCCAGCGTCTTCAGAGCACGATACTCAATGCCCCCCAGCTCGTCTCGCTGCTCCTCGGTTAGATCGACAAAGTTGGAATTCCGGGCCACCGTCGCATTCCAGCTGAGATAAGGCTGGGTCGGCCGTTCCCGTTCCTGCGTGAGGGAACGAAAAATACCGCGGAACGTGCCACGAGTGTTGCTGGGCCCAAGGGCATTTTCATCCCCGTCCTTGGTGACTTCTTCGTGGATGGTGGGGCGGGTATCGAGCCGCGCAAATGTATCTCCACGCGTACGAGTGCGCGGTAGATCGGGCTCGTTGATGGTAATATGGGGTCCCTCCAACGGACCAGTTTGCTCGTTCTCGCTGGATTCGGTCTGTGTGCGGTGGCGCGGGGATTGTGGGCTCGTGGGTTGTTTGTTGGCGTCCGGGTCCTCCTCATTGACATCTTCGTCCTCCAACGCTTCGGGTTGCCCTCCCCGATCATATTCGCGGGGACTGGGGATTCGGAGGGCGCCTTTGTTCTTGCGCTGCTTTTCCAGGAAGGCAATGTGATGTTCAGGGCTCAGCTGAGAAGGCACCCGCAGACTGCCCAGGCCGAAGCGGCGCTCCACGGTCGGCTCGCGGGATTCTTCGGGGCTGGTTGCTTCACTCGACGGGTTCCCGTCAGTTGTCTCCTCCTCCGTCTGCAACTCGGCCGGTTGCCCCATCGGATTCGGGAGTCGATTTCCTCGTGCGTCCCCGGCGTTGTTTCGGAGCACGACGATGGATCGACCTCGGATGCCTTGTTCACCCCGGTCGGTCTCTCGGTGGTCCTTGTCGCTGGTGACTGTCCGCACCCGTGATCGGGTGGAGCGTAAAGCACGAGCGTCCTGCACTACATGCTGAAAGCGCTTCTCGAACCAATACAGGCGAACAAACACCAGTCCGCTGTGAATGAAGATCGGGGTGCACATCATGGCAATGAAGTACAACACAATCTGCTGATAGAGATACATCTGGTTCACGTCGACGGTGTTGAGACCACTCTGCGTGGTAGCCCCGGCCGCGTGAAAGAGGGCATCGACATAAGCAAGATTGCCGCCGGCATAGAGGATGATCGAGCCGATGATGACGAAGGAGAAAACATAGAAATAGTGGACAAAGATGAAGTTCAGATGCAGCCGATTCAGCAGCGGCGCCTGCTGCTTGGCACGATTGAGCCGGTGCACCAGCGACGAGAACATGACTCGAGAACGCCGCGACTTTGGTCGGTCAAGATGCTCCGACTAAGCGCAGCAATAGGAAGAGTCCAAACAAGAGTTGAGTGTTTGTAAGAATGACGAAATTGAGGTCGGTGCGGCTGGGTTCCCCCGAACAGCGCACGCAAGTACCGGATTTGGGAATTTGCCGTGGATGTGAGAGGGGCGACGATCGCGGAGACGAATACCTCACTCCTCGACTCGGGGACACAAGACGGTTCTCGGCTTCTTCAACCTTTTCTGGGGGTACTGATCAGGCTTGATTCTTCTCTTGATTGTGTACAGAAGAGTACCACGCAGGCACCAGGCCGCTCTGTTAGTCACGAACCTGACGGTCGGAGAGATGCATTGAAAGGGTGAATGACATGAAGGCGGGGGAAGACGGGATTGGGATGAAGAAAGAGGAATCGGAGAAGAAGAGTTGTCGGCTCAAGGTTTGGAAGGCAGGTTTCACGCTTTCGGTCGGCGCCAGAAGACTCACAGACTAAACACTTGGACAGGTCCCGACCGAATGTTCAAAAAAAAAAAAAAGGGGCGCACGGTCCAGCACGAGTCAACCCAAAAAGAAAGAAACAAAAATAAAATAAGAAACGGAGCTGCAAAACACGAAAAAGAAAAAGAAAGAGGAAAAGCCAAGACGGAGATTTTCCAATTAGTGTACTACTAACTAAATCACGGGCTAGTACTACGTACTGTACGTAGTTATAGTTATACTTAGGTACCTATACTACTACTTTAGTACCTAGTACCTACATTACCTAACTGACTTACTAAGTACCTGGTAAGTACTAGCTCGTGATAAGTAGTACCAGGTAGTACCACTACTTAGTAACTACTACTCAACAACTACACTTCAAGGTCGTTGCATTCATTTGTTAGCAAACTTGACTCGAGTACTAGTGGGACTGGGTTGCCCTGTAAGTTAGTGGAAGCTTAGCGGAGAGTGCCAGGGCGGTGGGGGCTTTCTGAAAAGCCCCTAAAAACCCCCTAAATTGGCCCAAGTCGAGCGGTGGGAAAAAGTGTCTGCCTGTTAGTGTTTCAACGTGGAAAATGGCAACTCCCGAACTTGGTCTGACAGTCAAATCGAGACTGGGAAAGGACCTGAGGCTTTATCCGGCATGTGATACTGCCGACTCACCGCAGTCCATCGCCTAGATCGAATCTCTCCCTCGTTGCAATCTCACATTTCATCCCTCACACACATGGTGATGCTGCACCTATTGTAGCAACCTCTCAACACTCGGTAAGTTAGTATACGTCCAAATGCCCCACTTATGGCACCTAGTGAGTTTGTATGATTCATTGCTTTGACTACGTCGAGACTCGAATCTGAGCACGACTGTTTCAGATCGGAGCGACCTGTTCATACCTTATGTACAGTCGTACTGTAATGTAGGTACCTACTAACTACTAGGTAGTAGGTACAACTGTACAGTATTACAGTGTACAGTTTTCAGTATCGACCCAGGTAGGAGGTGCCTACTACCAGGTATGGCAGGTAGTAATCTACTATCTACTACTTTCGGGTTCCACCTCCAGATACAAGGGCGATTCGACCACGAACTCCATATGCCATACACCCACCAAGGATCATCGGAGTATGTACGATGTCCAGTAGGCTTCGTTAAAAAGGTTCTGTCTACGCCGGACTTAAGTGGGCCGCACCAATACCTTGGGGTTGAGCAGCATTGAAACTACCAGGTACCTTACGCATGGATCTCGTCGTAGATCGTCGCAACTGATGGAAATGACCATGGAGAATGAAAGAAGAAGAACATGAACAGCCCACTGAAACACATCCCTGTTGATATATATTTGCGAACTGGCCTGATATGAAAGGAAAAAAGGAAAGCGACATCTGCTTCCAGCCTTCCACTCGTCGTCCCACTACCCTGGGGCCGGTCCGGCTCGTGTATCTTTTGTCCTTCCGCTGGTCGGAATTGGCATCCAAGGAGAGCGGAGCGTTGTCGTGATATGTCGAAGGACCGATTTCCCACTACACTCTCACTCAGCTCGTTCCACCGATTTCACACCACCGGTCCCAACGGTGCGTCCGTTGTCCCGAATGACCAGCCTGGAAAACACAGGTGATTCTTGGCGGCTGTCGACGTACATGGGCTTCTGAGGCACCATCTTGACGATTGCCGCGCCCTCCCTAGGCACGTCTTCCGGATCTTCTTCCTCGATTCTCCCATTGCGCGGGTTGACGGTCTGTAAAAGCTCAAAACGACAGGGCACTCGGGCCGTTCCGCAGTGAACTGTGGGCGTGTAGCCATTGTGAATCTTTCCCGGGTGAGAGGAGAAAAACAGAGCCACAAAGGATTGGCAACCCACCGCAGGTTCTTCAGCCGCGCTGATGATGTGCCCCCGTCGTAACGCTAAGCTATCATCACTGGGGGTAAAGGCCACTATCATACCGGGAAGAGCCTGATCGATGGCTTGGCCAAATGACTCAAGCGAGTAAATCTCAAACGTGTCCTCGGTAGGGAAGACGGTCACCGACATCCCGAGGCTCAGTGTACCCGAAATCACTCTGGCGATAGCGACTTTACCGGCCGACGGCACTTGGCGAACGTCCTGAATAGCAACCCGAAGCGAGGTGCTGGAGCCCAACCGGCGCACAGGCTTTGACCGCTTGACGCTATCAATGGCCTCGATGAGTGTTGGTCCATGATACCAGGATGCTGTTTCGGCAGCAGTGTTGATGTTCTCTTTCTGCATCGCCGAGATAGGAACAATCGTGAGCGCATCATCACGGAAACCAATACCTTTCAAGAACCTCTCCATTTCGTGCTCTATCTGATCAAACGAATCCTGAGACCATCCGCAGGTATCCATTTTGTTGATCGCGACGATCACGCTCGTCACCCCCAGAGTATGTGCCAGAAGGCAGTGTTCGCGCAGCTGTCCGGCCTTCGCAAAGTTCACGGTGAACTCGTCTTCATCCACTGGGACCACGATAAGGGCACACTCGGCTGCGCAGAGTCCCACAACAGCGGACTTCACGTATTTGCGGTGACCGGGAAGATCTGCGGACCATATCCTCAGCTGACTTTTCAGGTCGAGAGCAGCGCAGGTAGGTAGGTAGGTATCACAAACCAGTAAGTACCACCTGGTAATTGGAGGTCTCGAAAGTTCGAATGGTGATGTTGGTGCTGCAGTCATTTTCGCGCTCGTCCTCGAGGGTGTCGCAAATCCAGGCAAGCTGAGCATAGTCTTTGCCTGAACCCTGGCAACTCTTTCGGGGGGGGGGGGGGAGGGGGGGGGGAGGAGTATTAGGAATGAGTTCCGCAGATTGAAAAAGATCGAAGCTGGTACTACCTACATTCGTAATGAAGTCCCAGGTCTCATCATCAACCTCACCCGCGCTCAAAAGTAATTGCCCTAAAGCAGTGAGTCGAGGGATGAATCATTCGGTCGAAGAGGGAGAGCATATTTACCAACCACGCTCGACTTGCCTGAATCCTCATGGCCTAGAACGGCTATATCGAGACACGGTTTTCCAGACCTAGCGATTGATCAAACATGAAGGCGATGCTCTTGAAGGTGCGGTTCAGATTCGCCGGGCCTTTGCACACTCACATTGTCCGCTTGAATTGTGCACTGACGATACAAGATCAGGAGAAGGAAAGTCTTGCGACAAGATGAATCCACGTCTAAGATATAATCCTGGGTGATCGGCATAGCATCCAGATCCGGCCCCTGATTTTGCTGATCGTAGTTCGCTCCACAAAATCCAATGATGTCATGGCTGATATAGAAGAGCTACAGGGGAGAAGATCGACCGGCCATTGAGGATCCGTATACACATCCTCCACACCTTAATCCTCTGCTCAGCTGAGACGCTGAGAGGAAGTCAAGGCACCTGAGCTTCCATGTTGGTTGCCGATCGTAGGGACATCAACCAATAACTTAGTGCCGAAAGAAAAGGATCGGCGGTCGGTGTAATTTCAGCTGGCCTTGCAAAGCGCCACAACATGACGGCGCAGCTGGGGGTCGCGGAGAATCTCTTATTCACTTGGACGCTCGTCCACTCCGAGCGCAAAAACTCGGTCAATGTCAATTTCCAATCCAGGACAGCCGCCAAGCACGATCAACGCGTACAGTTGGCCGGCGTCACGGGCAGAGAGACTAGGGAAAAGAGTTGACAGGGACTGGAGGTGTGCAGTGACATGCACGATATCCTGGCTCGGAGAATACCCACGTGTAGTCACTGTCGAGCTTAAACTTGGTATACCCTTACGAGTCCAACGTCACTCGGCTTGAATTTTCAAAGTGTTCCGATGCAGTAATGCACGCATGATCCATGATGCATCAGTATGTTTCTGATTCATCTGTACCTACTGGCATACCACAATCTCAACTCCGACCGGAGCATGTGTAGCCGATGATGACGGTTTCCTTCATTCACATGGTCAATATCGTATTCTACATGATGCGTTTCCAGAGCACATGATGACACGAGCCAATCGATGCCGTCTTTCTTAACCTACCGATTCGATGTCAAACAGTCATTGATGGTCCAGTGATTCACCGAGCCAGTCAACCGAGATCAGTCAAACAATCAGGCCACGCACAAATTCAATCAACCTGTGCAGTTGCACCTTAGATGTCCTCAGATGTCATCCGTACAAATAACTTTCTCATACACGTAGTCAAAAACCAGTCACGACTACTGGAGAGACATCCATTGCCGTGGGCATCTCACATGATGGGCGCGACAAATGAAGACTCGGGAATGCCATCAAAAACCCAATTCAAAGAATCAAACACTTCGGAAAATCCAGCTTCGCTGAAGAACGCACCGCTCTCGTCGAACTGGGCCGGAAGCACCAAAGCAGAATTATCCAGCGCAGCCTCAGCGGGCAATATACCATGGGTGGAGGTGGACATAGGTTGATTGGCCGCCGCTGCAGCCGCTGTGACAAGAGAAAGGGAAGGACCCGTCAGTGGGAATCGGTCTTTGAAAACGTACAGAGTGCATCACTTTACATACCTTGAATTTCTTCGACCGTCTTGCCGGGTCGAAACCGTTGCCGCCATCGCCACACGGTATCGTAGACGTGGCTCATACTCATGCGGCAGCGCACTTTCAGCTGTAGCCCATCCTCGTCGGCCGCAACGGGGCTCGTGGCATTCCACATTTGAGCAAGAATATCTGCCAAGCGAATCGGACGATCGTGATCCATGACACTGATGCGACGGATGGCGGAGATCGCGCCATTGAATAAGAGCTTGCCATGGCTGAAGTCGATGTGGCGGCTAAAGTCACTCTTCAAGAGTTTCATCAGAGCAAAGGCAGCGGACACGATCATCTGGAGAATGTAGTTGGTCGAGTGGCCAATCAATTCGCCAGGTGAGGTTTCGAGATCAAGTACACGACCTAGAAAAGATGTCGTTGCAATGAAGAGCTTGGTCAAATCATCACTCCGAGGGTTGGAGCTCAGGAAAACAAAGTACCGGAGGTGCAGTTCAGCTGCGCGAAGGTGGATCATGTTGATGGCTAGAAGGTTCACCGGCGCGTGTTAGACCAGTCTTGCTAGATGGAGGCATATGAGATGGGTGCTTTGGATTGATAATACCTGATATCTCCTGGCCGAATTGAACCTCCATGTCTCTCAATTCACTTTCGAGGATCTGCACAATCACAAGCTTCTCTGCACTGACATACTCGGCTGGTTCGGGCTTGCTACAGTACAAGGATTTCGTGACCCGGTCACAAAACTTCTCGATGCGAAGCCGAATCACCAAATTTTCAGACAGATGATAGTCAGCATCTTTCAATGACGGAGGCTCAAGAGCCCAATCGTAAATGGTGCTCGGAGGTTGTCCATAACCCGTAGCCACGCTGGAGAAAAGCACAGAGTCAACAAAAAGTCCAGGCATCGCACTCCCTGTCTCCTGGAATTACTTACTTTTGCGCTACGATATTACAGATCACCCAGGTGTGCAACCTGTCTTTCAGCGCGGCCCCTTGAGCCTCGATCCGAAACGTGGTGAATTCTTCCGCTTGCACAGGCCGATGCATCCCCAGCTGCATGGCAATCTGCATCATCAGTCCACTCAGCATGAATGTTGCATCCGTTCGTTGACTCGTCGTAGGCAAGGGCCAAGTGCACAATACACAAAGCGCCTTGACTACCCGATAATCCTGGGGCACACCGGTGATGGTGGACCATAACAAGCGACTGAACGGCCCTGAGAGCGCCGTCAACAAACCCGGATCAGACGGTGACCGACGACAGGCCACACAGATGATCGTCCACGCCAATAAAGGACATCGACTAAGATAGACTTCGGGGGGTTTGGGTAGGTTGAGAAGAGGCAGAAATGGATGGTAATAATTAAAATAGCTGCCCACATCAGTCAGCCACGGTAGACAGGACAACTCAGCTAAGTCAGTCCTCCTTACTGTTCAAATAATCGTGCAACTCGAGCACGAGAGAGCGTAATGTCTTCCAAACGCCAGGGTGTATTTTCGTCTTGTGACATGATCGAGCCATCTCTCTTCATGGCCAATGGAGTTCCCATCGATGGAGGCTGTTCGGCCAGGACTGAGACTGGCCGTGAGCGCTCCATGTCGCCTGGATCCTGATGCCTATAAGCCTCTTCTGATGACTGGGACACATCGTCGGCTTCCTGACTCTCTCTTGCTGGGGGGTACTCTGGCTGGCTTGACAGACGGCGACGGAGATCCGCAATCTCCTTTTCCATTTCCGCATTGCGTCTGCAATCCATTAGATGAGATCAATCACGGTATCAATCGTGAGTCAAGTGGCGCTAAAATGACCTACCGTCGTTTGGAAATGCGCTTAAAGGATTGCTCAACTTTGCAATCGATCCCCAACCTTCGACAGCGGGAACACTCCGCGGCAGGATTTTGTACTATATCACAGCGCAACTGTAGTGATACTCAAAAGCCGGTCCGTCAGTATACACTCTCCACAACGATCGAATGTTCGAGGATCTACTTCGACAAGACGAGCGGCTCGCCAAGCACATCAGAGGGCCTCCGCGACCCGGGCGGTACAAACTGGACACGTCCATCGGCACATCTCTTCGCGACACTGCTGGAGGTAAATATTCGTGTCCGCACCTTTTGCTGCTTGCACTCATTACAAGCCTTGCGGCAGCCGCCACGGCGTTTGCCGGTGACTGGCAGGACCTTGTTCATCTGGCCCGTTTCGGAGGATCTGTGAGGGTCATTGACAATCGGCGAAGGCCGTGGCAGTTGCGGGGACCGAAAGTCACTTGGAGGGATCAAGGACCGCCCATCCGGTGCCAGCAGGTTCCGATACCCCAGATCCATTGGAAATCGGCCTGTCCTCGATCAATATACCACTTTGGACTTCAACCGGGAACGTTGTGCTCCTGTCGTGAATCTGCCGGAAATCGGAGATCCAACCTGTGGCTGTTCATGCGGATGGTGGAGGTTCCTCAGACTCCTCGCAAGTTGCAGCCACGCCGGGGCGGAAGGGATGACACAGGAGAACACAGCGGGGCCCAGGCGGTCAGTGGGTGTGTCCTCTGATTCGTTGCAGATCTGCCCGGCGAGTTCCAAGGCGCTCCACGAATTCCGGCGATTTTCGCAGCGAACCAAAACGGTGAGCACGTGAGGTGTGTTTCAGGCAATACTTTCGGCCTGAAGATGGGGCCTTCCATCCATGTAGTCTACACTTTACTGAGGCTACTCCGCTCTGACGATGGGGAACAACTCTGCTCACAAACCTTCGCAGACGACAAGGCCTGAGCGTAGCATAGAAAGGGCCAGGCTGATGAAGCTGACCGCCTCGATTGTGCAATCTCAGGCTTACGGTCTCTCCAATCCTCTTCAACTTTCACCTATACAGAACACCGGGCAGTCGGTAGTGATGGTCCATGGAGCTCCTGGCAGTTCAATCATGTGACGATAGGAGCTAGATCGATAGATCATCGATGGCCTCCAAGTAAAGCATGGAACATTGTGACACAACCTCCAGCTCGGTGGTGCTTCAACACGGCTAAATCCCGTGGGACTTTGCTGATCTGTATATCTCACAGCAAACAACTCTGTGTTTCTAGAAAAGACACTCGAGACGCTTCCGTAGTCTCGAATAACTCCTGCCCGTCACCTGGTCCAGTCGCACGGGTTATCAAATTATAGAATTGATGCCGGACAACCTTTGCCCTATTGCACTCCACATCATCCACCTTTCGTGATCATAGCATGGATAACAGGGCATGCCTTATCCACCGCGCAGGTTAGGTAGGTACCTGGTAGTAGGTATTGTCTCCTAACTATTACCTTCCAATGCATCTGCTATCTGGACCATTTATCAGGTATGCCTGCCGGCTACCAGCCAAGACTGATTTAGGTATGTATCTACCGCTACCAATGTGTACCGAGGTGATAGGTACCTTGGAGTAACCAACAGTACTAGGTAGTTATCTTCCAAACGAGGATTACTAGGTACCTAGCTACCTAGGTAGGTAGTATAGTTACCCTTAAGGGGTTATCCAGGCATCCTCGGGCTCCTGGCAGTTTTCGGTCATGCTGACGGCCATACCATGACGCCGGAAGCCGAAGAATGACGGTTACCTCCAGCTAGACCATGGACTGCCCGGGATAAAAGCTTCAATTTTAAGCTAAGAAAGCTGGAATGGATCGAACGAATTCGAGATCCATAATCGCTTCCAGGACGACGAGCCCAGCCCCACCATCAATCCAGCTGCACCGAGTCTTCTCGATGAGGTGGGTCATGATAGACAGTGGGGGGACTCAAGAGTGCATTCAGTCGAGGCAGTGGTCACTGGTCAGTAATGCCCGTAGATTCCTGGAATATTCGCGGGATCTGTGCAAGATCGCAGCGCTGACACGAAAACCAACACAGGTGGGCAAAGTAGCCTGGCCGATGTGCAGATCCTGTCGTCTCGGTCTTTACTTGTTCAAGACATCCCGGATCTTCTGATCTTCAACGTTTGTGACCTTTCTGCTACACATAGGATTCTAGCGAGGAGACATCACAGTTTCTGCGGGTCTCCATAAACGCCAGGGCAGTAATGATTGACTCATGGGCCGGACCGTGCTAACATCGACTGCGCGCCTCATGCAGGTTGCGAGGGTTGACTGAAGCACTCGATGAGTTCTGCGATTCCGACCGCTCGCTGCTCACTTCCAATCGATTCAATTCGAGCATGCACCTTGTCTGAATATGGCAGAATATGGAAGACCATGGCTACATCCATCTCTGGATTCCGGCGAGGTCGTGGATAAAGTATGCTAACAAAGTAAGCCGCGTAGTACGCGGCACCACAAGCCTTTGGCTGGTCCATAACTGTGCATATTTGCCAGTATCGTAAGTACTGCAGTGGCGGTAGTCAAGGCACACGTGCTCGAGAGCACATGGATGTCATCGCGATCCTGGGATCGTCGGTCTGCCGTGTCTCCACTCTCCGCGCACTCTCGAGATGTATTGAACGGCATCACGATCAAACGATCAATTGCCAGCTGTTGAAAAGATGCGGCCTGATCTCCACGCAAAGACGTGACTTGTGAGCAAAGAGGGAAGCTTTCTTGGTATATCAATAGCCCTGCCGATCGGACATTCATTGAATTCAACAAAGCTAGCGAAACATCAGTCAAACGAAACCATTGCTCCATACGTTTCATGGACCTGACTGATAAACATTGATTTGCACTCTTTAGGGAAATTTGTGCCCACACTTTTGAAGCTAATCAAGGTTCATGACAAATTTCAGTCCTGCAGGAACGAAGATAATCGCCAACAACAGGCCAATCGATCATGTCGCGGTCGCTCCACTGCCGCAAGTGGCGCCTATCATTCTCCCGATCTGGCCCCAACACAGCTTCCTAGCGCTCTCATACTATCGCCGTCGATGCTTGGCGACTTGGAAGAGTGGTTCTCCATCGCGATACATCGAGAGATCGACACGTGCAGGTCCCCGTCTGCCGCATTCTCCTCGTGCGCATTTGAGCACAGCAACTGAGCATGCAGCTACTCACGAGCCACTACGACCGTACAGACGTACACTGTATGTATGTCGGCAAGGGTTCCACATCTCCTTCGCGAGGGAAAAAAACCAGAGCATGGAGCGTCGCCGAAATGGAGCCCGATGCTAGGCCGCTTCTCATAGCTCGAGCGGACACCCACATTTTGGGATGTCATTGACTGGCTTATATGAAGAAGTCCGTCCTTCTTGGTTCTGGAGGTCGATTTTGAAGAGCCGAGCCAAGTACTTTCCAACTCCATCACTTTCCTTCGGTACCTCCCTCGCTTGCCTCACTTCCCCAAAGTCCACAATGGGTTCTGAATTGGGACTCACTGCCGATACACAGGCCCAGCTTGACCTTTCGCCTGTTAGCATCTGGTGGGTAGTCTGGGGATGCGTCTGGACGTCTTTCGTTGCCGCTGGCATGGCCTACCTCATCGTGAACCGGGATATGCCGACACTGAGAATTCGGGGCCTTGCACTCTCGCTTTCGTCCATTGTTTTGCTCCACTTGTTCGGATGGGTATGCCAGTTTGGCCTCTTGATCGGCGCCATCATGCCGGGTGATACGCAATACTGGGTCATGGGGACCTGGCTGCCGTGCGGCATCGCTCTGTTTCACGCCTCGAACTCGCGATTTCTTCATGTTGCCAGTTTGCAGCGCAAGTTTGCAGTTCAAGGACATCGACCCCTGGACACCCTCCCGGATGCAAAGCTGAAGCCTGGCTTGATCAACCGCTTCCGCCGCCTCACATACACGACCAAAATCGTCATCACCGTCGGCGCTGCAATGGTCGCCCAAGTCTTTCTCACGGTTCTGATGTGGCTCATCTCTCGAAAATGGCACAGCTCGTGGGGGATTCCTGGCACAGAGGTGCACGGGAGTTCCATGGCCCAAAAGGCAGCTCAAGGCTCGGGCTGGGAGTGGTAAGATACCCATTTGCAGGCTGACTGTTTGCCTATTCTTGTACAATCTCATCAATACTGACGCATGTTTGTTCTCAAAAAATAATAGGTGGCCAGGTGTATTCTGGCAGTTTGTATGGTCATGGATCGTTGCCCCTATTGTACTGTGGAAATCCCGCAACATCCACGACACTCAAGGTTGGCGCGTTCAAACCATTGGCTGCGCTCTTGGAAAGTGAGTTCATCGCCCAGATAAAATCTCTCTTCCATAAATGGGCCAGAAATTCAAGATCATTGACTTGGAATTGCATCATAGTCTGCATGCCACGCCTATGTGGCTCATCGCTCTTTACGTTCCAGGAATGGCACCCGTAAACAATTACTTTATCCCTCCACAGTGGTATGTATTCTCGATGAACCACACAGGTTTCATATTCATCTGGTTTGATTGACTAATGTTGCTTCCTTTTCACCTGCAGGATCTGTTTGTCCATCTGGATCATTGAAATCTTCACAGTCTTTCTGCCCTGCTGGGAGGTCATGCGTCATCAATCGCTTCGACAGGAAACACTCGATTCCATCGCTCGCTGGGAGGCCAAAGTCAAATTGAACTCCTCCGAGAATAAGTCATTGAAGTCTGATACAACCGTGGTTGGCTCCGCGGTCTCAGGATGGAAGTCTATGAATGCGTCGATCCAAACCACTGGGTCGCGCGACAGTATCTTGACTATGGGTGCGTTAGAACACGTTTTGGAGCGCAACCCACTTCCGTTGTTAGAATTCTCAGCGTTACGTGAGTTTTCGGGAGAGAACATCGCGTTTCTCATGGCTGTTTCGGCATGGAAGACATCCCTGCCGCAGGCGCCGAAGGACTCTGCTGCCGGTCCTGACGGTCATTCTCGAGATCTGCTCCGCCGAGCTTTCAACCATGCCCTTGGCATCTATGTCGACTTCATCAGTGTTCGACACGCTGAGTTTCCAGTCAATATTTCATCTAGCGATTTCAAGTCCCTCGAAGACATTTTTGAGCGAGCTGCGTACCTTCTTTACGGCGACGAGCGTGAGGCTGACCCGGTCACCCCTTACGATAACTTTGCCATGGAGCCTCTCTCCCCCGCCGTTTCCGAGGGCTCAGAAAAAGGCATTGCCAATAACACGCGCAACCGAATCTATTATTGGGGTGATATTCCTGACCAATTTTGTGCGACTACATTCCAGGATGCAGAGGCCAGCATCAAGTACCTCGTCCTGACGAATACTTGGCCCAAATTCATCAAGAGTCAGCGGTACGCCTCGGTTGACTCATTGGACACTCTTACCGATATTGGTAAAACGGTCTGAAAGCGTGGCGGTCCTAGTTTTCTCCACTTTCTTTTGATCCTTGAACTCTGCCCTTCGTTTTCAATTCATGCCGCTCGTCCGCTCCTTACGGCGGCCAGCTTTTGCACGTCGGTTTTCAGCTTTCTTGTCCAAATTTACACACAGGCAGAAAGCCAATATATTCCGGCCTATTATGCTCTGTGACTCGATGACTCCATTTCACTAGCTATCCGATACCCACGTTGTTCTTCTTCATTCTACAAGATATCCATTAACTCTCGAAATTCCTACCTGAACACTCTTGGGATATCTATCCTAAACGTTAAATAATAGGTGGCTGGTGGCCAGTCATGCAATCTGCATTTTGAGTAGAACTTTATCTCACGTATTTCCCACTGTTCTCCATTTGTTCTCATGCGCACTCGCCTCGTTTCGTGCAGTTATAGGGTGTTGGATGATTTTGAAGTGAGGATGATAATGCGACTAGATGAACTTGGCATCGTAGGGTAGGCAAAATTGCCCGTCCGTCAATGAGGACTGTCAATGTTCAAAGATATACGCGAAATATGCGTAAGTCATCGATCCTCCGGTCTTCAGCAGCTATCCATTATAGAACCGGGCCTAGGAGTACGGGTCCAGTAGTCATCTCACTTTATTGACCTTCACTGATAATGGGTAGGAGGAATCCACGTGAGATCTATACGGTGTTTTCAAGAGCACATTAGGGACAAATAAACCTTACGGAGCCTTGATTGATTCCGAACAGAACGTCCGTCTTGTCTGTTGAATCTACTCTTTAGTTGAGGCAAGTGCCGAGGCGTACCAAACCTCTACCAAGTTATCAACGATTCAATAGTGTGACAGACGAGGCTACAACTCACCGCTACAGAGACCGCCCTCCTCAGTGTTCACCAGCTAATTAAACGTCTAGATATCGTCACGATTGTTCAGTTGTACCCGAGCGGACCCTTGAATCTGTAGTTCCTACTCCCTACAGGTTTAGCTATCTCTGGTCTATATGTTTGTCATGCATTAAATGTCTAATCATATCCTTCAAGGTACAATCTCCTGGAGTTTTTTCTGCCGGCAAATATGGTAGCCGGTACTTTCATGGTTCCACGAGGAAAGTCCGCCGGAGGCTCAGAACTCCGCCTGATCTCCGCATGTTTCTGCTCATCTGGTGCCGAAGACGCAAAATATTTAGGCTATCACGGCGAAATCAATTGGATTAGTTGCTGTTACCCAGTGTGCCGGTCAGTGGTGTCGCACAATCAATCCCGACAGCACCAAATTCTCGAAACAGACCCTCGTGCCGGGGGCAAGGTCCCGCCAACTGCACCCATTCGACGGCACCTTCTGCTCTCTCACGATCCCATTGCTGCCGATCATGGATCCTCCATTGCAACCGGCCAGTGCGAATTCCCGAACGAGGGCGCAAAAGCGCCCCCGCGACAATTCGCCCGTGACGCCATTGAAGCGTCGTCGAACACAACTTGCCTCCACTGAGCCCGTGAAAACACCAGCCACGGGCCAAGTTGAATATACAGCTACTCCCGTGTCCAATTTGCGGACCCGTGAGCAGCTTGATCGGTATCACGAGAGCGTCAAACGAGATGAGCTTCGACTCATAGAGGTCAAGAACAAATTATCGACTCTGCGCGGGGACATCGAAGCGGAGCCCGAGAGCTCACCAGAGCCAACGTCTGGGTCAACAAATATAACCACGAAAAAGGCAATCAAGCTTTTGGAGAGAATCGTCAGCAACAATCAGCGGATCGAAGAGCTCGAGGAGGAGCGGCGCCAAGTCGCACCCGTCTCGCGTGGGCCCACGCGCGTCGACCAGGATGGTTTCGTTACGAGATCGCCCAAAAAAGAGAAAACACAGCGTGGAAAACTGAGTGTGGATATTCGGGCAGCACGCAAGCGCATTACCTACGCCTGGAATGTGCTTGCTGCGGCGGGAGTAGTCACCGATCCGGACTCGGGCTCTGCAGACCATCAGAATGACATCCCGGACAATACACCGTCGAGGATGCCTTCCCCCAAGCGCTCATCGAATGTTGCGAGGCGAAGTCGTCAACCGAGCAGAGAGCTGGTGAATGAGTCAGACACGGAACCGATCCTTCCAAAGGTTAACAAGCCCATTGCTCGATCAATCAAGTCAACTGTTTCTCCTGGGCAAAGTCCAGGAAAGAATGTACCCGTCATCTCCTTTGTGAACGGCAAAGAGAAAGTATCTGTCAGAGAGGTCGAGAGCGAGGCCGAGGCCGAGGATGTGGTGGAGGAGCCCAAGTTCGCTAAGAATGCGAAGCCCTTAAAGCCTGCAAGACAGGGCAAGAGTGCGCTGGCTGCAGCGCGCAAGGCGCGCGCCGCTTATCTAGCCAACAAGTGGGTTTTCTCTCGATAGATTCTCAAACTATGACTAACAGACTCGCCTAGAGCCGCAAATCGCACGCGCCGATCGATCTACTCGCCGGACTCTATTGACAGCGACGATGAGGAACAACTCGCGCAACAACTTACGGAACAACAGGAACCCGAGATCGATCCCCCACACGCGGCGAAGGAGGCTGATCTTCCAGAGATGGAGGGTTTGGCCGGTCCAACAGCGCCGACCACTCCAGAGACAGCTGAACCGGTCGAGGAGGAAGTCAAGGAAACTCCTCCCAGGCAGTTGTCAGTCGATTCATCATTCACCCCAAACTGTGGCTCTAGATACTGATTTTTATACAGGCCTGAGGACCACATTGTGGGCGAGGACCGTGAGGGTGCGAGCCCCGAAGTTGATGATAACGAAGACGACAGTATCCAGGAGAGCATCGAGTCCGAAGTCGAAGCTTCAGAAACGAACCCCTCGAAAAAGTCACAGGCAAACGGTGTGGCTGTCGAAAGCAGCGTCTTCAATGGAACGGATGCGAAACCGTCCGTGAACGTGAACTCGTCAACTGATGACGATGACGAGGAAGGCTCGGACGACGATGAATCAGATGACGAAGACTACCACACTAATCCCCACGATGAAACCGAGAACGATTCGATTGACGATAAAGCCGACACCGCGTCGACTGGATCGATCGAAGGCCTGAGCACTCTGAAAGAGACGGGTACCGGACCCCATCAATCCGCAGATGCGAAGGATCCAGCTGCGAAAGTAGAGGGTCAACTGCGGGAGAAAACGATATCCTCGTCCACGAGCTCTTCCACATCACCTGTACGCGCTGGTGAAATCAATGTCAGTGACAAGGATCAAGTGCGCGCATCTATTGAGCCCTCCGATGTGCCCACGTCGTATCAATCGCCGCCGTCTCATGAGCCTCCCTCATCCCGGCCTAACAATGGCTTGTTCGAGCGCATGAATGGAATCCAAACTTCGGGCTCTTTTGAAAAAATGATGGCAGATCTGAGGAAAGCAGCTCTCGAGAGACAGCGGCAAGCGGAGCTGGCAGGCCCAGTTGACGATACTTCCACTTCAGACTCCTCTGACGATGACTCTCTGCCATACTGGTCGCCAGAGCCGGAAGCTAAGCCTATGTAAGACGATTGTTCCCTGAGATAGCAGACCGGCTGGCCTGAGAAGCTTCCTCTGCAGCCTAGCAAACATGTGAACGCTTTAGGCCTCGGTAATGGTGTGTTTATGCAATGTTTGGGAGTCGTTTAATGATGAACATGTTGAATGGCGTTTCGATTATCGTGTAAGGTACTTCATCGCATTCTTGTGTCGACGGAAGGGTGTTAATGGCCAGGCCTTGAGTTCTCACCGCGCAATATCCAAACTCAAGGCTGCTGCAGTCCTACACTCAATGTAGCCAATGCGACTTATAATACATTACTTCAAGTTGACCGGGTCCTTTGCGACTCCCTTCGTCGCCTGGTCCAAAGTCCAGACTGATCATGGTTTGGTGCCTGAGGCGGTAATTTGGGGGCTGTTTCGGGGACGCGGAGATCGTTCACTCATCCGGATAGCGCTTGTTCGACGACACCCATGTGGTCCCTATTTCAATGCCCCGTGCGAGCGATGGGCTGAAAATCGCTCCACGGCATCTTCTCGACTGATCGCTCTCCCAATTTCACCTCGTTCCTCACTGCGTACGTCATGTCGGCTCGCCTGTTGCACCCGGATGAGTACGAGCTCGCGTCGCGCTCGTCGGCCGACACGGACGGTACCTTCAACCTCGACGACGATGACTTCGAGTCTCAAATACCGGGTACATCGAGGCTCAGACTACGCCAAAATTCTTGGTGGTCTCGACTATTTTCACCGTCGGGATATCGACAATTGAAATCCCACGCGCGACCGGTTCTCATTCGCTCCAGCCGTGCAAGCTGCACACCACGCTTTTGCGCTCGACGACGATGTTTCGGCCTTCACATAGTACTTGGAGCTATCTTGGGCTTGGTTGCATTTGCGTCCATTTTCATACCTTCATACACTCGTCCACCGGCACATTATGCTACTTTGCGACAATTGGCGTTAGAGGGAAATACCGCGGGCCGGGGAAATCCACATAATCAGAAAGTATTCATCGCTGCAAGTCTCTATGACCGCGGTGGCGATCTTGCGCGAGGACAATGGGGCTCGCAGTTGCTGCAACTCATTGACCTTCTCGGTCCGAAGAATGTCTTCGTGAGTATCTATGAGAATGACAGTGGAGAAGAGGCTGGTGCAGCCCTGCGAGAGCTCGAGCGGCAGATCCCCAGCGCCAAGTCGATTGTTTTCGAGGAGCATATAGACTTGAAGACGATTCCTTCTCTGACAATGCCTGGGGGTGGCATGCGCATACCTCGGATCGAATATCTGGCGGCAACCCGTAATCGAGCTCTGCAGCCGATGAGTGACCATCCTGAGACCCGATATGATAAACTTCTCTACTTGAATGATATCTTTTACGATCCGGTTGATGCCTTGCAACTCTTGTTCTCTACGAACCTCGATGAGTCAGGAGACCCACAGTATCGCGCGGCGTGCGCCGTCGACTTTGATAACCCTTTCAAATTCTACGACACCTTTGCCACTCGCGACTTGGAGGGATACTCGATGGGGTTGCCGTTCTTCCCATGGTTCTCCAGTGCGGGCAAGTCCGCCAGCCGATCTGATGTCCTGCACGGCAAAGACGCCGTTCGAGTCCAGAGCTGTTGGGGTGGCATGGTGGCCTTTGACGCGAAATACTTCCAAGACCCATTGCCCGGTGGGACCGCGCCAGCACGATTCCGCTCTACCTCTGAGGTATTCTGGGAAGGCTCGGAGTGCTGCCTGATCCATGCTGATATCAAGGACCCTCAAGCCGGTCTCGACGGTGTCACCGAAAGCGGCATTTACATGAACCCGTATATTCGAGTCGCGTATGACCAGCGCACTCTCTCGTGGCTTCACATCACACGTCGCTGGGAGCGTCTGTACTCATGGGTTCAAGCTATCGGCAACTATATCGTGGGTCTGCCGTGGAACAATCCTCGCCGAGCGGAGGTCCCAGGGCAATCGGTCACCGAGACTGTCTGGGTTCCAGACGCCAACCAGGTCGGTGGTGGTTCTTTTCAGACGATTGAACGAATTGCTGGGAATGGCGGATACTGTGGAACACGAAGTCAGCAAGTCATTGTTGAACACCGTCAGCCTGGGCAAAAGGGATTTGAGAACATTCCAGTGCCATCCTGACACTCAGTTTACCTGCGGTGCGTGTCTCGAGTGCCGACCACTAACTTTAATACGTGAAAAATACCCTTGTTCATGTGCACAAAGACTTTGTTTGTAAAATACATTGGAGGTAATCCTAAAAGACCTAAGCAGTTCCCCTTTGGGATGCTTGCCCCTTCCGATCGCTCTCAATCTCAACGCTACCAATTGCTCCGAAATCTGCATTCCAGTTTGGCTCTGAACCGCCATAACCATCCCCTTTGCGCTCTAAGATGCGAAGATCGTTAGAATCATTATGCCCGGAGTGTCACCAGTAGATTTTACAAATCTTCTCATCGCCATCATACACAAAGATATTGCCCGCTGTTTCTAACCACGAGTTCGAACGACCGCAGGCGTTGATGGTGGCAGAAGTACCAATGCGAGGGCACACTCATGTAGGAACAGTCATGGCCTTAGGTTGCTTTGGCACCTGTCGACCGCATCATCATCCCATCAACTGGTCGCACGCCGTACCGGGTCGAGGCCGATCTTCACAGGGCGCAAAATGTCTTACAGCAGACAGATGATCGTGTGGAGCTGCATATGGGCTGTAGGTTTCATGCAATCTATCGTGCGACGTGCACTAATTGAAAAGCCAATCGTCAATGGCCAAGAAACGGTGTTTCTCATTGACTGGTATGTCGTAGATTCCGAAGTTTTACAAGTTCTCGCAAATCGCGATGCATCGATGGACGTTTCAAAGCATATGGCAGTTAGCAGGATTACAAAACAGAATCATGCGTGACATTGACAATGGAAAAGTTCGGGGCTCGATTCGACTTGAAAGCATATGGGATACCAGCAGATGTCCTCTAGTAAGGACTCTGTATATTACACCCAGTTCTGGTGACTCTGTTCATGAATATAAGTATGTTAGGAAGCTCGATGACGATTGATATGACCACTTCTTTAGCGCCGAAGTGAGAACTCTTGATTCTTCATGCGAATGAGCTGTCTCATCTTTTCAACATCGCGACCTGACAATGATCAAAGATCTCCAACAGGAAAGCCTTGCGTTATCATGAGTCAAGACTACCCTGCGGTGGATTGGTTGAATTGGTTCGACGGGTGACAACACCGAAGTTGACATTTTTTTTTTCGCAAATCGTTGTGATTCACAAAACATTGAGTATTAGGGAGGACGAAATGACCACCGGTATGGACCGATCGATGCTAGTTCAGATCGCTTTCAACACCGAGAGAAGAGGAATGTTCTGGTCGTGCGATTTCTCGGACGGAGCAGTACTTCGATTGAATTGAAGCATCAACGGCCTCAGGCAATCAACTCTTGCTCAACCAGGCGGGGCGCATTTCTGATCGCCGCGGGGCTGGAGATGACGAGAGGGACCAAAAAAAAAAAAAGAAATACTCGGCGAGTTGACTGCACAATACGCCATCTGCGCCATTGCCAATCATGCTTCAAGCCATCAAATATGACCAGGGTAACCTGGAGATCCTGGATCAGCTACAACTTCCCTTTGTCGAAAAATACATTCCGATTCGGACTGCCGAGGATGGGTGGAATGCGATCAAGGACATGAAGGTTCGAGGCGCCCCCGCCATTGCGATCGTCGCCATGTTGGCGCTCGCCTCCGAATTACATACTCTTCAAAGCGCAGAGAAGATCCCGGCATCTTCAGAGGAGACCAAGGCGTTGATTGCAAAGAAGCTCGAATATCTGGTCACAAGTCGCCCAACTGCGGTGAACCTGGCCGATGCAGCACAGAAGCTGGGAGCCGTGGTAACCTCCCAGGCCGAGCAGTCGGGAGCGACAGGCCAGAGTGTGGTGTCAGCCTTCATTCGCGGCGCAGAAGAGATGATGGGCAAAGACCTGGAGGACAATCAACGCATTGGACATCATGGAGCGGAGTGGATCATGGCCAATGCGACGAAACTGGGTGTGTCTGATGTGGCCGTCTTGACGCACTGCAACACAGGGTATGCTTGTCCTTGACAGCTCTCGATAAGAGACCGAGACCGAGACCGAGACCGAGACAGAGAAAGAGAGAGCAAGAGGTCGTCTGCCTTGAGACTTGCTAATCATCGCTCATGCTGTAGCTCGCTCGCCACGTCCGGCTACGGCACTGCCCTGGGCGTCATACGCTCGCTCGTCTCCAAGAACAATCTACGCCACGCCTACTGCTCCGAGACCAGACCCTACAATCAAGGCTCCCGCCTAACCGCCTTTGAATTTGTGCACGATAAGATTCCCGCTACTCTGATCACGGATTCCATGGCCGCCGCTCTGCTGGCAGACCCCAAAGCCGGCGTCAACGCCATTGTGGTTGGCGCAGACCGAGTGGCCGCCAACGGAGACACGGCCAACAAGATTGGCACATACAGTCTTGCGGTACTGGCCAAGTATCACGGCGTCAAATTCTTGGTCGCCGCACCTCGCACCACCATCGACCTGGCCACCAAGTCAGGCAACGAGATCGTCATCGAGCAGCGCCCAGCTGCTGAAATGACCAACATCAAGGGTCCTCGCGCCGGAGCCCCCGCTGTCGATGGCAATGTCGCCTTGGAGACCGTCTCCATTGCTGCTCCCGGTATCAATGTGTGGAACCCATCCTTTGACGTCACGCCCGCGGCCCTGATCGACGGTATCATCACAGAGGTGGGAGTTGTGGAGAAGGGATCGGATGGTCTGTTCCATATGGAGGTTCTGTTCAACGGCGCGGCTCCTCAGGCTTGACCTGATCTTGTGATGCGTGGGCAGCTCCGGAAGACGTATTCTTTGTAGTATCTTGGGTCGATGCGGCTTGAGCCTCAAAAAAGGCTAGCAATTCGTCCATCTTGCCCTCGATCGCGCTGAGGTTTCTTTCCAGCTGTGACGCCGTTTGTTCGCCTCTGGACGATTCAAATTAGACAAATGATCCCTACGAATCGAGGTTTGAGATTAAATGGTTCCTGCGAAGATCGTACTTTGTGATATCGGCAAGTGCCTAAGGGCAAGATGCCAATCGTGACCGTTAGCAATGCAGATAATTCGCCAGCAGTAGAGGCGAAGCGGCACGGGTGTTATGGTATGCTGTGATAGTAGGAGGTGTACCCCTTGTCCATCCCCATGAATCCCGCCATCTCAGGTGGAATGGCTCACCTGTGCAAGACCGAGCTCATCGCCGTTTTGCTGAGCCATGTTTTTATACGGAGGAATAATTGGCTTCGATGAGGTAGAAGGTCAAATGAGAGAACCTCTCGAGGAAGGAAGATGACTGTCCGAGCTGCTGCTGCTGGGCGAACGCAGGTTGGTTGCCTCAGGCAATTAAGTATTGCCCGCTTGTTCCCTCAGGCTGAATCTAGGAACAACGACTTCCCTCATATGAAGCTCCAACTCGGGACTGATTATCGACAGAGACCAGCTGAGATGGCTGTGTCGATTGAGTAGTTGCCGCGCTCATTGCATCGAGAAACATATGGTCTACACTCGATCCATGACCACATTCGTTTTCGTGGGTGGCTATCGCTCTACACTTGTGAAATGCTTTGGGCGCGCAGGCCCAGGCCACACTCTCTGTACTCATGCACTGTGGTATACATTCGACCGCAGATCAGGTACGACCAGATGCATGTGATTCAAAAGCTCCAGCGTCTTCGGTGTAGAGCTTCGTGCATGTCAGCGACGAGTCCCAATGGACTCGTACAAGGACATATTTGTCCGCCTTGTGCACCGCCCTTGTTGGACATTCTCCCAGGCCCAATGGAGAAGACACGAGCTCGTCTTCCTACCGGGAAGGTCATGCAAGTAGAGTGGGAACATTCCACATCGAGGTGAAATTGCTCGATCATCCGGCCCCATGAAACTTACAGTGCAGGAGATGAGATGGGAATTGATCGTCTTTGGGGTCTGGCCTAGAGATGGATGACGCGAACGCGTAGAGAGCGAAAAACAGAATTTCCCGGGGGAGATTGCCCATGCTCCATTCAAGAAGAACAAGCGCATGTTATCCATACATTGGAGCTTCACAACGTCTGGAATTTGAACTCCGGCCCTATGGCTCTACGATCTGACATAGAAACCAAACAAAACAGGTTTACGATCGAGATTGATTGGATTCGCGCGAACAGAGCTGCTCTGTATGCGCAAGGGGCGAGGAGAAGGGATCGTATCTGGTCAAAAGCTACCGCTTCGCGTTGCCAAGAATGGAATGCAGCTATCAACATTGCCAGCAAGGATCGTCGGGTTATATATCAGTTGGTTCAAGTGCGACCATGTCGGCCCCTTCGACACATTGTCGCCATTTACACTTCCTCACACTTGACACCTGGGTCTTCTGAAAAATGCGTGTCCAAACAGCTTGTCTCGGCCTTGTCGCCTCTCTCCCCACGGCCTTTGCATACTGGCCCTCTTACTATTCCCAGAATGTCAACGTATACAGCAATCAGCAGCCTGATGTGACCATTGAGACTCTATTCCAGTTTCCCAACAATGGCTCATGGATCTCCAACTTGGTGACACGCCGCGATGGCAGCCTGTTGCTGACCCGCCTGGACACCCCTGAGGTCTGGACCCTTGATCCTACCAACGGAAGCGCTGCCATGCTTCACAGCTTCCCCATGGTCACCAGCTGTTTCGGAATCAGCGAGATCGAGGACGACGTGTTTGCCGTCGTGATTGGCAACTTCTCCTCCAAGACCTATCAGCCAACCCCAGGATCTTTCACCGTGCAAAAGATCGATTTCACCAGCGCTAGTGCGAAAACAAAGCGCGCAGAGGCGCAACACACAGTTTCCGAGATCGCTGCCATCCCCGAGGCCGTTGCTCTGAACGGCATGACCACTTTCAGTCGCGAGTCCCACTTGGTCTTGATTGCAGACAGCCCCGTGGGTCTGGGGTGGAAGGTGAACACGCAGACCGGCGAGTACTCCGTGGCCCTGAACAACACCAAGCTTCGACCGGCCGAGGGCGTTGCTCTCCCCCTTGGGGTCAATGGACTGAAGGCTCTCAATGACTACGTCTACTACTCCAGCACCACCCGCATGGAGTTTGGTCGTGTAAAGGTCGATAGCGAGGCCATGCCAGTCGGAGACTATGAGACCATTGCCAGTGGATTCCTCCCCGATAACTTCGATGTCGCCTCTGATGGCACCGCATACGTTGCGACCGACCCCCAGAACTCGGTCGTTCGTATCACTCCCTACGGTCAGATTGCTCTCGTCGGCGGTGGTCAGCTCTCTACCAAGATGCCCGGCGCTACTTCCTGTCGTCTCACGAGCGATGAGAAGACTGTCTACGTCGGCACCAGTGGTGGTCAGGTCGCGCCTGTTCTGGGCCAATTCATGGAACCTGCCAAGGTTCTGAAGATCACTCTCAACTAAGTTGTGAATCTATCACGCATTGGGTTGTGAGTAGATGTGAACCTAATGGACGTCATGGGAAAATTGCTTATTCAAAATGGTGCGGCTTTTTGGAGGACTCTCCACCGATAGACAGTGTGTCATGGCTTGTCAATAAATTAATGTAATACCAAACTACCGATCCTTGATTGGGACCATTTGGATCTACTTCTTTCCAAACCCATCTCGATCAAGGTACCCATTCGAACAATCCCTCCATTATTCAATGTATGCCAGAACTACTAGCTAGCGACCAAGCCAAGCGTTGAATTCCGATTTCGAACTTTCGTTGCCTGGAAATTGCTTTTCACAGGGCAGGGGATCGGGCGGCCGACAGTCGATCGTCTTCGATTTTCCCATCAGCAGGATAAATCTACACCTACCTGGCCCTAGATCGGGAAGCGCCGTCGTTCGCTCCCGGGTACCGCAGTCGATGTCCGTAAAGTACAGCCGGTCCGCACTACTAGCCTAAATAATGCACTATCCGAGTGCCATTAGTATGTGCTATGTACCGTCTACGTACAACCCTGATGTAATCTGATATCACATGTCATGCAGGCGCGAGTATCGACCCAAGGCTAAGCTTCACTACTTCACCGGCTTGACCCAAAGCTCATTTCCTAGGTTGAATGCCGTTCAAAATAGTGGAATCTTCTCTTTCTTTGATTATAATATACAATATTGGTCACGGTTCTCAGTGTGCCATCCATACAAGAAGCCAACTTCGAGGCATGAAAACCCCTCAGCTGAGAGAAAGACCAGACACGTACATATGTTTGATGTCTTCCAACTCAGAACATAACACGGCCATTGGATGTATCCCTCTGTAAGAGAGATAATCATCGGACAAGCTTGTCAAGCCAACTAGAATCGCGTGCTCTCTGTCTTTCGCGAGCTCTCCGTTGCTGAATCAATGCGTAACCGCAACCCGCACCGCTCAAATAACCGCCCAAGTGAGCGGCATGATCCATTTTGGTTAGGCGTGACAGGGGCCAGACTCTTAGGAAGCGCGCGGGTGTGACCATACTGACAATCTCCGTGGCCACCAAACAGGCCAAGAAAATCCAGCCTTGGGTCCAGATCGTCTCGCGAAGCTCACGCGGTAGGATCCACATTGTAATTTTGTCGCTGTACGTAGGAGATCGAATTAGTACTGGATTTCTGACTGATCGTCATGGCGTATATAAAAAACGGGTTCACATACTCAAAGTGATACATGCACCATGCGGCTACAACACCGCTGGTAGCAGCACTGGCTCCCAGAGAAGTCATTCCTAAATGACCTAGGAGCACACTGCGGGACAACGATACCAGTGAGCCGACAGCACCAGAAGCCATGTAAATTGCTAGGAAGTTGCCACGGCCGAGCTCATCGTGAACTAACTCAAAAGAAAGAGGGTCAGCTTGGTGCGGTCTGGAAAGAGGGTCAACACAACAAGATGAGACTAACCTCTGGTTCCCATAAGACCAAGGACCATCATGTTGGTGGCCAAATGTCTCCATGTCTGATGACTGAACGTGCTGCCCAGAATGGCCAAGGCTCTGGGATAAAACGGCACAATCACAAAGTAGCGATTCAGCAATTTCCATGCCGGTGGAACGTATTTCCACATCAAGGTGACCGCAATGTTGGCACCGATTATGGCTCCTACGGTGGCTGCAGCTGGGGGAACATCCGGCCATAAGCGATCTCGCCGGGCTGGAGCCTCATAGTTTTGCGCAAAATAATAGCAGAGCCCAAGAGTCGCAAGAGCGAAAATGAAGGGTGACAAAAGCCGTTGGGTCTGGAAACCCATATGTTAGACCATTCTAAACGCAGGCCCATCCAACAAAGAAAACGGTACATACAGTCGTAAGCTCTGCAGAGTCGGTCGGCAATTCAGTCGCCGCAATGTGGTGTTTTTGCACCCAGGCAAGGTATGGTCGCTCATTCGGATCCGCACGAGGCCGAGCTGTCGCGACACATTCAGGTTAACAGTCTATCACCTTACCGGATCAGATTGATGGGGCCATACCTTCTGTAAGCCCAACTTCTTGATACTGCTGCAGTGCCGTGTTGCCTTGCACCTGGCGGCGCAATTGCTCCAGTTCCTGTTGTTCGCCCTCCAGCCATTGTTGGCGTTTGCGCTCTTTCTCGGCTAGGAGTCGTTTCTCATTCTTTTCCCGCACTTCCTTCAGTACGCTCTTGCCGTAGACTGATTTGTTTTCGCCCAGTTCTGCATCGTAGGATCCGCTTTGCGGCTTGTACAGGCCCAGCTCTTCTGCTCGCCGAACGAGCTTTTGCTCCGCCTCAATTTCCTCCCTTTCAATCCGCGCAAGTATCGCCGCATCTTCATCCAGCGGATACTTTTGACGTAGCCATTCGAGGGCAGTATCCAATTGTGTTTGGGGTACAGAGTGTGAGATATCGGTGGGTAGGTCAAGATCCAGAGTTCCCTGAATCCGACGAGCCTGGAGAACAGCCAAGGTTCTATTTCCGAGACCAGCAGAGATGGTGTTTGACGCAAAGATACTTCGGATTTGTTTTTCTGAGCGTGGCTTTCCGCCTAGCGAGCCTTCGGAGGTAGACTTTGCGGAGGACCTGGCGGCGGCGGCGGTCGTTCTCTTCGCCCTGCGCTGGTTGTAGATGTAGTTGATCGGAGAATCGTTGTTTATGGAATTGAACCCAGCCCGAGAATTCAATGTTCCCAAAAGAGGTTTGTGATGTCGCAAAGTGGAAAATCGATTCACAGAAACAATCGACAGGTTCCATGGCGTCATGCGGAGAAGATGAGGCTGTTGACGGAACGATGCCGGCGACAACACGCCGGGACTGCGAAGTCCCGCGCATGGTGTCCGCCATGTGACCAAGAGCGCATTGCTCATGGTCAGAGACTGGAAGGGGGAGAACCCGTTGATTTTGTCACGAAACTAAGTTCTGTCGTACAAAATGACTGAAATGGATTTCTGAAGAATGACATCTGGAACAACCCTCGATGGCTCGGAGCAAGGGTTCTTCCGACTGCGGGCACCACGCGGGAAGGGCAGGGAGCGGAGTACAAGAGATTCAAAACGTTTTTTGCATGTGATATTAGAGTGAGTATAGGTACAATGAATGACTTTGGTTTGCTACCTAGAAATGAAGTGCCAATTTGTAAAAATTGCAAGGGTGATATTTTCGGCAAATATAGATATCAGGCACATTGATCGAGTCAAGGAAAATGCTCAATAGTTGCAAAAATGTGCATCGTAGAAATATCATAACGGCCATTATATGAATATGTCTGCAAAGTCGCTACAAGAAACAGTAGATAATCAAGTGAAAGAAAAGACAACGCTCCGCACACATGCAGTATAAACATCGAAAAACGCCCATATCCAGCCCAAGGACCCCGACGGAAACGAAGTCCCTCGTGCTTATACGCGGAGAAGCGCATATGACGATGGACGCGTGCGAAAAGTTCTAAGGAAATATGCAACAGCACATCAACAATACGAGGAAAGTAAAGGACTCAATGAGAGTCTTGCTGTAGGTTCAGGTTATCCACATTGACAAAGCCGGTAAACGCCCGAGAAAGGAAGGTGCGCCACGCTTGGTTGACCTTCTCTTTCATCTGTCCAACAGCTGAGGACCCAGCGAAAGGAAGCTGTTCGGACGCGGCGGCGCCATCTTCGCCGATTCGAGTTGCAATCTCCAAGAAGCTCCGCACTGTTAGATCATGCATCTGACAGGCGCCCTCGTCCAATGTTGAATACTCAACTTCGAATTCGATCCTCGGGTCTTTGTGGGCCCGGGCGGCGATCTCGGCATTGAGTCGAGTCAGGTTTGCGTAGTACTGGGTATAAGAGAGCAGAGTAAATGGTTGGTTCGAGTAGGCCGGCCCCGGAGGCGCTGAGGAGGACGGAGGCTCGGGCATCGGGAAACTGGGTGGCTTCTTTTCCTTATCTTTGTTCCTGTTTTTCTTCTTCTTTTTCTCAACCTCAACCGGCGAAGTCTCAGCATGAGCTACTTCAGGTGTGGGAATCCGGTCGAATGTTTCAGCGGTCTCGGAAACATGTCGCTCCCCAAGGGAAGAGAGTTTGACTCCAGTCACATTGTATTCAACCACCCGCAGGGTGGGAAAGTAGTTGGGCACCATACTTGGTGACACTAGGGAAAGACTGTATCGTTCGGCGAAAGGACCTCCAATCTTGTGCAAGTACTTGCGCTCTTTCCTGTGCTTCCTTTTCTGTTTATTGCCTTTCTTCTTCGAGGCATCGATTGGAGACGCCTCTGAGTCGCGCAGCCTGTCAAAGAGTCCTTTTGGAGGCGATGGAAGGGCCGACCATTGTCTCCGTAAGGAAACCAAGTAGTCCTCCTTCGAGGCGATAGATATGTCATCATTCATAGACGACTCTAGCAGATTGTTCACCTTGACCTTGTGGCTGTCTTGCAAAATGAAATGATCAATATTCATATGCCCGTATAGACCGGAAACAATCACATCGCGGTAGCGATCCATCCAAAGCGTATACTTTTGCCAACAACTCTCATCCCAATTCTTCTTCTCCTTTGATCGGGCTGGAGCGACATGGCCAGTCAAAATGGCCTTCATCCCACGGTCACGCAGCAGCTGCAATTGTACCCGCAGCCATTCCATGTGTTCATAGCCTGGTTCCGATGCTGCATTGCACCCGTCCACCGCACTGTTGGAGTCGAAGAAGTACATGGTATTCAGACTGATGACCGCCAGCTGGCCCGGAATGACCTCAACGGTGAACCACCCACCTTCCACGAAGGAGTGCCTTTGGTCCTCTGGGATGAAATTGCGCCAGATTTCAGCATACTTTTTCGTCCACATATTTGATCCTTTCCGGAAAATGTTGTGGGGCAGAATGTCGTTGTTGCCGAACGTTGGAATCACCGGGACCGACAGCCTCGGCGCATTCGTTGGGCTGTTGGCGCTATCGCGCACTCCGAAGACGTCCACCCATTTTTGGGCCATGAACTTGTTGAGTGCGATCACCTCGTCAGTAGAGCGCGGGTGCTTCTCATCGTTATCGTGCCGAACCGAATCGCCTGTCCATATGACGAAATCGACCTCGTTTTTTAGATTCTGCTCGATCCATCGAAAGGTCTCGTTCACCAGCGACAATGGCGAATCACAATCCGTGCCTTCTGCGCCAAAATAACCAGCCGATCCTTTACCGCGGTGGCATGTGCCACCCTTCTCGTCGATCAATGAACCGGCCTTGTAGTATCGATCGGGATGAAAATCTGCGCCCGCACCCGAAGACTTTGTTAGCCATGGCCCAGTTCTTGCTGTCCTGCGCCTCGACATGTCATCCATTGCACCTACCTGTAATGTGTAGGAAGCGCCCACGCGGTTTCGAGATGATCGATTCTGTTGGTGTCTGAGTGACTCCGTTGACAGCCTCATCGGTGCTGTGCAGTTCGCGCGGATCGGCTAATGGCTGTTGCTCGACCGGGAGGACCGATGCTGCGGCAGTTGCGCACAGCCCGACCAGGACCGGGATCAGTAACATGTTGGTGAGACCAGTGAACAGATATCCCCGTTTGTCGCCGAAAGTGGTGGGATCACCTGGGCGCAACGAGACTTTGGGGCTGATGGTGAGGAGAAAAAGACACCCGCCTCGAAAGTTTTTGAGGTTAATCTTCTCGCACCGGCCGCGTCACGTCACTGTGCAGCACGGCCGCGACTATCTGGTCGCCCGAGCAGAGGAACCCTCCAAGGCGGCCTCGTCAGGGCACCAGTGGAGGCTGCAGGTTGCAGGTGGTTGGGGGGGTCCGCACGAATGCTGAGTCACCGTGGGCCCGAGTCCAACTTCTTGGTAGGCTGCAGTGGCCGAGACCGCCAGAGACGGAGAGAATGTTCACTTTCAGAGAGAGGGACGACGGGCACAGTGGTTCATGAGATAATGCAATGTTGCGCGGCGAGCAATCGTACGAGTGAAATGTGGAAATGATCTCGTGCGACCAGCTGCTCAATTTGTACCAGACCTGATCGTCCGAGTGCCGTGGAGTACGAGGGCTCAGTTGATTCTCGGCAATCGCACATGGTCGATCTCTGGATGCTCGTTCGCTCCCCAAGTTAAAGCGCTGTGCATCTCCTCCTGCCCAAGACCCACCACTGGGCTCAAGTAGCTCGGGTGGGTGCACATCTGGGGCATTGAATGTCTCCCAGATGGAATGTTGCTGGTGGATCTTCCGGTCTTGATATCGATGATGCTCCATGTAGTCACAGGTATTCTGGGTAGGTCCATGTGTGCTAGCACGCTTCTAAAATAAGCTTAAATTCATGACATGATCAATTCATAGCTAGGTAACTTACTCTGGTGCCATAAAGACCATCTCACAGTTCAAGAGACCCTGAACGCCAGAAATATCACTACCTACTAAGATTGCATTTATCAAGCTGAAGATCCAGCCATGCCTGCAGGCTGGTCAGTACTCCCAATCATCTTCATGAAGCTCCTAGTCTAGCCGCGGACAGGCTTTTGCCAGTTTGAAGAAGCCGAAAGTCTCATTTGACCACGAGGTTGCTATGGTCGATAGGGCAGCAGGTCGTGAATCCCGAAATCTTCCGGTAAAAACTAAACATGAGTATCTCTCGTCGATGGTGGGAACAATGGGGGTCGCGGAGCAACTCACATCTCCTCGGTGACTTTGTCGTAGATTATCTTGGCTGGGTTTGATATGCGTGGCCAGATCCCGCATGATAGCAGTTGTCTGCTTAGGCAGATAATTGCTTAGGTAGATTGGCGTTTGAGACTGACTTGAAAGGTAAATCCAGCCAGTTGATCTAGTTGGACCATCCTCGAACACGCGGCGAAACTTCCGGCCGATAGCATCGCGCTGCTTAAGGCTCAGACTCGAGAAATGATCAGCGGAGAGGGAATTCCCCGGGGCCTTCTTCCAAACAACAAGAGGTAAGGAAACTCCCAGGAATTACGTCGTCGTCACCTTGCTTACCTTTCTGGGAACCAAGAAGACGAGGCAGAACGGGACAACACTTTCGTGTCAAGTGTATGAATGCCCTGAAGTCGGTGATTTCGGGCGAAGGTTAGGAGATGCGAGTTCGGTCCCGATGCTGGGGATCAGGGGGTGAATTCGAAGAAACTCTGGCTTCTTGGCCAGGTCGCCTTGGCCATAACAAAGGTGCTTTGCACGGACGTATCTCGGTCCCATCTCGTCGTCACTCGTCAACATCCTCCTGGTGCATACTCAGGGAGCCCTCTTCGAGTTTCTCGAGAATGACCCGTGTCGGTGACGGTAAGTGGGGAATGGACTTGGCAGCGGTTATGACTTCGTCACCTTCACGGTAAGCAATGTAGGAGGATTCAGAGAACACATCTTAAAATAGTTCGAGTTGTTCCAAACTGGGTTTCACAGAGAGGTCAGTACTTTGTGTTGATCAGGCTACTAATGGTGAGTGGGTAGTGGGCACCGGGTACTGGTAGTGGGTACAGTGGGTAGTGGATAGTGATACAATCAACTGGATAGTACACTGGATACAGTGGACAGTGGACAGTGGACAGTGGACACTGTGGGTAGACTAACTGTGGGCAAGTTCAAGTTGGCGGATGCAGTGGAGATTTGACATATTATTATAGACTGTAGAAGTGTACCTAAGATGGGTCTGAGGCAATACAACCTGGCCACGTACGGTATACCTCGGCAGAATTTCAGAAAAGCCACCTGCAAAAGACCTCGCGCAAAATGTGCCTTGGGCTTGATTTTTGGTCGCTCGCTATGTTCTAGGTGGTACATTCGACCTTTTACTGAATATGTCTGATGATCATGTTGTACAATGGCTGACGTCAACGACATTGTGCCTGTGGAACTCGCACTGACAGCAACAAGACGCATGGTTGGGCGCATCCTGTCTAGAGAATATCCATTGCTTCAAGCTCCATTTTAAATTTGCTTCTATTTAGTCTCAGAGCTTGGTTGTAAAGTGCAGCAAGAACGCCAGCTGTTCGACATCCATTGGCCGGTACTTTAACGGGCAGTTGCTGGAATCAAGCGCAAAATGTAACTTGCTATGGGTTGTCTTCTCGAAGCAGGCTCTTGTCATCTCGATCGGTGTTGCACATCGTCGTCTCGAGCTGATTTGAATTCCCGCTGTGGTAAGACTGCTGACCCGAGCCAAAGCGACGCATGCCCTTTGAGATCAAAGCAACCAAAGAGACCGGACTATCAAAATGGGACTTGTTCATTGAATGCATTCGGTCGGGCCAAGACCTTGACATCCGTCTCGACTATCACAAGTAGCCTTGTCAAGCTCCAACAGCTAGTCTCAAGCTCAGTGATCATTGTGAGACACTGCCCGGCTGGGGTACACGGCATGCCTGTACCTTTTCATGACCTTCCCTGTTCTGAGCAACGAGAGAAGCTACCCGATGTGTTCAGGGAACACAGCAGACGACCTGAACGCGCAATGTGACTCAGCCTGCAGTTCCAGAAATCAGTGGACAAGACCTTGAGCCCTCGCCTGAGATATGGTTGAACACATGCCTCACGGCTGTGAAGAGATAGAGAGCCATTCTGACTTTGTCACACTGACTTGAGCAATGACTACTTATAGGTATTTGGTTGCACCAGCGATCGTCGGAGGGCACAAATAAATGATCACGTTGCTCTTCGTTCGACAGGTGCATATTTGCAAATCGAAAAGACCTAGTCACTTTGTTTCACCATCACAGGCGTCATGAACACCGACAAAAACATCCTTGAATCTGAAATCGATGTGTAAGTAGATTGTTCGTTACCTCGGGAAGCAATAGTAGACTTACACAGTATTACAGGCTTATCATCGGAGCAGGCCCCTCGGGCCTGATGGCCGCATACTGGATGGCCCGCTGCGGCGTCAACGCACGCATTGTTGACAAGCGAGGGACCAAAGTGTTTACAGGCCAAGCTGACGGTTTGCGATGCCGCACTTTAGAGATCTTTGATAGTATGGGGTTTCAACACCGAGTTTTGCAGGAAGGCCATGTGGCGGTTGAAGCCAATTTCTGGGTATAGCACCACCCGTCCCATTGATGCCCATGAGCTTGAAGACTGATCGTACATCTTGAATCGAAGGTGCCTGATGGAAGGGGTAATTTGACCCGACAAGGACCGCACTGCAGTCGAAAGGTCAACGAATCGCCCTTCCGCAACATGCTGCTGAATCAAGGTCGCATTGAGCGATTTCTGCTCGATAGCATTCGAGAGCATTCCGACCTTCAAGTTGAACGAGGTGTGATTGCCGAAGCCTTTGAGTATGATAGTGCAAAGGCGTCCGATCCAGACGCCCATCCTATTGCGGTGACGCTGCGGACCTTGAGCGACGAGGAGGCAAATCCGTCGAGTTTACGCGCGGAAGGTGGTCCGCACAAAGTGGCAAGCGGAGTCGCCCGAGGAAGCCTCTTGCAGGACGATTGGGAGGAGCTTCTTTCGAAAAGTCGGGCTAAAGAAACAAGGACCGAGATTGTGAGGTGCAAATACGTGATTGGGTGTGACGGAGCCCACAGCTGGACCAGGAAGCAAGTGAATATACCATTGGAAGGCTCCAGTACGGACCATCTCTGGTAAGTCAGACAAGCCAAATCATAGTACTGCTACGGTGCAGCGGCTCGTACTGACTATATAAAACTAGGGGTGTTATAGATGTCGTTCCCATCACCAACTTCCGTTAGTATATATCTTCTTCAAACGAACCCTGATCCTAGATACCGTTTCTGGGGGCGCAGAATGATATGCTAATGCAAGTGTATCTCCCAGCCGATATACGTCGTCTGGGGACAGTAACGCATCCCACGGGCACAATCCTCATCATCCCACGAGAGCGAAACATGGTACGACTATACGTGCCAGTCCAAGCCGTGGAGGCCAACGTTCCAGGAGAGGGTCGTCATGATCGCTCAAAGATCACCCTAGAGATGATCAAGCACCGAGTGCAAGTCATATTGGCCCCCTTCACATTTGACTACAAAATCTGCGACTGGTGGGCGGCATATCAGATTGGTCAACGCATTGCACCGACATTTTCCAAGGACAACCGCGTCTTTCTGGCTGGGGATGCAGTCCATACACACTCGCCAAAGGTGGGTCTCGGGATGAACATGAGCATGCAAGACGGATACAATATTGGGTGGAAAGTGGCACTTGTCGCCAAGGGTGTGGCCCAGTCTTTGATATTAAACACCTACGACCCAGAGCGCCATCGGCTCGCCGAGATGCTTCTTGACTTTGATCGACACTGGTCCGGGCTCTTCACCGAGAGTGAGGACGAAGAGAAGGCACAAAGTATGATCAAGGTGGTTGAGTTCTTCGAGGATTTTGCTGATGGGCGCAAGTCATTCTATGGACCTAGTCCTCTCGTCTGGAAGAAGCACGACGACTCTGGCCCAACTGCGTCTGCATCTGAAGGATGCAATCTTATTCCTGGGGAGCGTCTCCCGCCTGTCAAGCTTCGAATGCAGGCCGATGGCAACGTCAAATGGACGACTGCGATATTGAAAAGTGATGGACGATTCCGGGTGGTGGCTCTGACGGGTGATCTGCGAGCCTCAACACAAAGAAGCCGCGTCGAGGCGTTGGCTAAACGCCTGTCATCAGGTCGTGGGAGTGAAAAGTCCCTATTTGACCGCTATACTTCACTTACTGGCATACACGATTGTGCTCTCGACGTTCTTGCCATCCACAGTGGACCTTGGACCGAGGTTGAGTTCTTTGATTTCCCAGATGTTTTCCATCCCTTTGACACGGTCCACGGCTGGAACTATGACAAGATCTGGTGTGACGATGCGTGTCCTTGGGATCGAGACTGTGACGGTACAGGGTACGAGCGTTGGGAGGTTGATCGAAAGCGAGGCGCAATTGCGGTGATCCGCCCCGATCAGTATGTGGGATGGGTTGGTGAGCTTGAAGATGTCGAAGAGATGATTGATTACCTAGACGGAATTTTGGTGACGCGGCCGGCCACTGCCTGAGACACGAACCCTATCAACATCCAGTGATACATACAAGGGAGACCCTTCTAATCCTCATAGTTCCCGAGCCGAATGAAGTTGAGGCGGCAGATGAGTTACTGGCCGATCTACTATCATGCCGATCTTGGAAGGCCACCCTCTCCAACTGTCGCTTCCAGCACGCCTGTCAAGACCCGTTCTTTCACCAAATGCTGATCTAGCCCTGTGTCCGACTCCCTCGAGTTGACTCACCACTAAGCAAGGTGTTCTCCAGACCGCATACAGCGATATCCCTGTCATGTTATGTATATCGTTCTAGAAGCTTCTGCTTACAGTATAGGTTGAGTAATCGATTCGCAATCTCAACTGTATTATCGTATTTACCACAAGAGAATCGATGCAGACCTTCTTAAGTGAAAATGAAGTGACAATCACGCTGTTGCAATAGCCATTGACCAGGTTGTACTGTTGCAGTGACTCGGGCGCCTACGATGCCGGCCGGATAAATAATAATCCACTGTCCAGCTCGCTCGGTGGGATCACCGCCCAACTTAACCTTTTCAATTGGCGGCAGCCCACCTGGTCGGACTGTCTAAAGGGATGACATAATATTTCCTCCGGCTTTCAGGTGTACAAGTGATCCAGATCGCAGCCCGACCTGGACTGTCATCCTTTTTATTTGACTTTGGAAGACAAATATCCAGAAGGGGCGGGCTTGTGTCTCAAGCTCATAGTAGTCATGGAATCAAGGAGTCAAGCTGCAGACCCGATTTCAGAAGCTCGTACCTTGGTCACTGAGCTTTACTCGCCCGCCAATCAAAGACAGCCCGCGCGCATCAATGAGATCCAGGCACGCCTCCAAGATCTCCAACGAGGTGAATATGCCTGGCAGATTGCAGATGCCCTGCTGACAGGGCCCACGACACACCATCGATTCATGGGTGCGCTGACATTCACCGTCAAAGTGAATGTCTCGAGTCAAGAGGTTGATCAGTCAATGTGCGCGCAAGTCTTGAGGCGATTGATCACTCACTGTGTGGAGCTCGTGGCGCAGTCTGAGCAGGTGATGGTTATTCGCAAGCTTGCATCTAGCTTGGTGACGCTATTCAGACATTCTACTTGCCAAGCGGAGAGAGTCTTGTGGCAGGTGGCAGCAAGTCTGGCACATGGCGGCTACGTTGACGAGCATCAAGCCCAGACGGTGGACTTTGGCGACACTCTGCTGCCAACCCTCGACACCCAATCAGTGATGGCCCTCCTCTTTCTCTCTGTTGCGTTGGCGGAGACGACATCGCGACTTGATGACGAGCCGGTGGACCTTTCGGGTCCTGCCCTAAAGCGTGCAATGACCAACACGCGAGATGGCTTTGTGCTTGTGCAGTACGTTCTTGGACGGATGTCAGAGATGGGTGCCGGGACATTAGATGATCAAGTCCGACAGAACCTGGCCAGTGAAACGATGGGCTCGTGGAAAGCATGGCTTGGCGTGATCTCATCACGTTCTCTTCCAGAAGGAGAAAATATCCATGCCTTGGCTATTTCCTGTGGCCACACGGTCATCCAGACTCTGAGATTACCGGGTTTGAACGAAATTGCGGCATCAACTCTGACTTCGGTCATTGACAGTCGTCGTCCAGCCTTTGACGATGCTTCTATGTGGTCGCTTTCCCAGATCTTGGCGGACTCAGTTGTAAAGAGTCATCTCACTTCGCTCGCTGAGGGTGATGAAGCCCCGGAGAGTTTGGCATTTGTTGATCTCCTAGTAGCTTTCTTGTCACATCTGCAGTTGAAGCTTTTCGATGAGCCGATTAGCCCTGAGCATGCTAAGATCCTGGTGCTTGCCCACGACATTCTCAAGGCACCAGGGTATGCTGTCATTGATGACCCTGCCACTCCTCGTATTTTGGAGTTCTGGAACGAAATTGCGGAAAGACTCTTAGATGAAGTTGATAGCGATGGTTCCAAGTGGCACACGATCAAGACGCACCTGGCACAAGTTGTACTTGGCCTGTTCAATAAGTTGCTCTATCCCACAGCAGAGGATCAAGCGGAGTGGAGCGATGATGAAAGAAGCGAATTCAATGCGTTTCGTCATGATGTTTGCGATTACCTTCTCTCGGCCTACCCTATCCTTGGCGTTGAGCTCGTGAGTGTCTTCCAAGAGAGTGCAACAAATTGCCTTCAAGTGGGCGACTGGCGTGGGTTTGAAGCCGCCATGTTCTGCCTTGCTCGACTTTCGGAGGCAGTGGACGAGAATGGACATGCAGACCAGTGCTTGGACGCTATCTTTGGCAGCGATGCATTCTCCAGACTGTCCGCTGGCGGGGCGGACGACGTTCCTCTAAAGGCCCGTCAAACTATGGTGGATGCTTTTGGGAAATACGAATCATACTTCGAGCGCCGCAAGCCACTACTTCCGGGTATTCTCAATATTTTGTTTGAGTCACTGAACTTTGAATCTTGCGCGCAAGCAGCTTCTCGGTCTTTCCTTACTCTTTCGAAATCTTGTTCTCGTGCATTGACAGCAGAGCTGCCAGTCTTTCTGGATCAGCTGGATCATTTTCGTACTAAGCCGACTGCGACCTCATCTACCATGCCCAAGGTCCTCGAAGGTATTGCGGCTATTGTTCAGAAGCTAGACTCTGATGAGGAAAAAGTCCAAAATTTGGAGCGGATGTTAACCTTCTTCGTGCAAGAGGCGAACTGCGCCCGCGAGGAGGCCGCCAAATTAGGGCAAGAATTTGCTTGCATACACGGCCATTTAATTCTCAGTTGCATCGCCAGCATCGGCCGGGGTCTCCGGTCGGATGCCGACGAGGTGATCAATATCGATTCAACCGCTGAGCAGCGCAATGATGATGACCATCGCTCATTATTTTGGAGCTCAGGTCCTGGGTCTCATGCGCAACAACTGATCATGGAGGCCATGCGCCTTCTGATTGTTGATTTCCCTGTCGACAATAATATGATCGACGCGGCATGCGACATCCTCAAAGCAGGCTATACCGAGAGGTGTGGCCTCTTTGTCTTCCCTCCATCTCTGACGGTTGACTTTATACAAAGTTTCCCGCTTGGAATATCAGGTACTGATGTCATCATGGGGACTGCTTCATCCTTCCTCGCGTCACATTCGTCCCACTCCATGCGCATTCGCGATGAAGCACTCGCATTGATGCGCCATGTTGCCCAGCTTTTTGTGTCCATGCTTGACCAACCGGAACTCTACGACCCCGAGACTGCCAACGCTTGTATTGACTTCTACACCCGGCTCGTTCCCAAGTACTACGCCCTTCTCTTTTCCTTGACTGATCCCCTCCCTGCTCTGCCCTCCGATTCCGCATATCAGACTTCCCCCGCCTTTGCCATTCCGCTCCACTTTGCTCTCCATGCGTTGACTCGAGCCGAGGCGCTGCCTCTTCGTTCGGCTGCCGCTTTCTGGGTGACTCTTATTGATCTCCGAGGTACCTCGTCCGAGGAGATAATTGCGCTGGATCAAGTCCTCAATCCGTTCATCTCTCCACTTAGCCAAAATCTTGTTCACCAGATTTCAGGCCAGTGCGCACGCTCGGATCTGGCCTACCTAGGCGATGTTCTCCGCCGCCTTCTCTTCAAGAAGCAGGGTTTAGCCCGCCCAGCTATCCATCATGCCCTGGCGGCGCTAGAGTCGCGCAACGCAGATGACTCTGGGTCTTCGTCTTCGCTTCCTAGTGCCCAGGAAAAGTCTCGTTTCTTGGAATCCCTCATTGTTGCCCGTAGTGCACGCCAGCAATTTATTGAAATTGTGCGCACGTTCTGGCTGAAATGTCGTGGCATGAGCTACGATTATGCTCGGTGAGAGCAAGAGTCTCATCATCGAAAACCAAGTAATTCTACTCCATGTACGTCGATCGCAAGCGTCTAACAATCACTAGCATTCTTCTATGATCTTATGAGATAGCTTATAGACCGAAATAGCCCTGACCAAGGACTTACGAGGCTCAAATTACAAAGTCGTCAATCTCGATCTAGATCAATCAACCAAGTATACGCGAGCGTTGAGTTACATGTATGGGTTCTGGAGCACATATGACGAGACGTCAATGAACTCTGGAGTCTTGATCATTCTTCGGTCGTAAAGGGATTGTTCGCTTTGAGTCTGCGTCGAGCTCCTCTAATTCGCTTAATGTCTCAGTTATGCGATCCTTCCTTGAAATGAAATTTCAGAGATCGTAAGTCAAAAAGATGAGTGTTTAATAAAACCCCTGGAAAGTTTTGCGTAACAATAAGTGAGACGATCTCAGTGATTGCATTCATATCAAGCTTTCCATTTGCGGATACTTCATCTGGACGAATTCTCTCTGACGTAACGGGCGTATTTGCTCTGTCAAGTACTCGACGAAGCTCAGGAAAGATGCCTCAATCTTGTGCCGGCCACAATGAGCGCAGCAACTCCAGATCTCGGGCCACAGCAGGGCTTGTGTGTGAGCAATCCTCCAAGAATCGCATCATTTCATCATTCCAACGTTCCCACCCAGACGGCAAGGTTTCCCGTACCCGCGCACTGGGTGAGTGTGCGATACAAAAGAACAGGAGGACCTGACCAAAGAATCTGCCGACGCGGCGGAAAAGGGTCGCACGTTAGCGGTGACTCTTCGACAAGGAATGAAAACCTTAATGGAGTTGTTCATAACAAATCAACTTACTGGGAACAAAATGCAAACTTGATTGGAATGCAGCTTTTCATTTTTCGAAAGATTCCCTGGGTGACAGGCCAGTCCATGGCGTTGTGGAGTCCACTTCGGATCTGTTCATAATCGTCTTCTGTCAACAGATGGGGGATGCGAAGGGCTTTGTAGAGATATGGTCTGCCAATGTGGAACTTGGCAATCATGTAACGTCCTCGCAGCATGGCATCGGTCACTGCCACCGCAGGCGATAACGGACGATTGGAGTCGGACGGACGTGACGAGGTTTGGATTGGAGAGGCCGTCGAGGAGGGTGAGGGCTGAACGGAAGAGAGATCATTAATGGGGGTAGAGTAACAGGGTTGAAGCTGAGCATCGGAGAATTGGATGGCCGGTGGAAGATTATTGCGCCATTGTTCGAGCTGGTGATGGAGTTCAGCATTGACAGCCGGTTGAGGAATATTTCCCGAATCGGCTGGTTCCCAAGGTGTCAGTACAACGTGAGTTTTGAGCGGTCAGGGGCAGCATTCCCACATACAATAAAAGTACAAGGAATGGCGGATTCGCGTCAATATGATCCGATGTGCCACTTGTGCAAGGAAATGGTACTGAAAGTACGAATCGTCGACCACATTGGTCGACGAGAAACGGGTTGCTTGGTAGCCCGTCGACTCGAAAGCGATGAATTTGGGTATGGGAACCTTTTCTTCCAATCGCGAGAGTCCGCTGGGAGGCAGATGCAGCTCCTGAACCAAGATGGTCTCGTTCATGAGACAATTCCAGTAGACGCGAGATTTCATATCGCCCTCCCATTCATCAAAGTTGACATCATGACTGGAGGAGATCTTAGCAGGCCGCAGGTCGGACAGGCGTTCTCGCGCCATTGAAGTCAAGTTTCAGTATGGACTCACTTGGTCAGCATAGAAAGACAACAGCTCGCAGCGCGATGGATCATCGCCCACGCGTCCATCGGTCTGGGTATCTGGCTGTAATAGACACTGAAAACAGATTCGTTAGCATCGTTTCGATCAAATGACTTGAGGCGCTGGCGGCAGTTGCTGCGGCTTACGAGGACAGAAGAAAGAACTGGCAACTCTGGATATCATTGCTGCACATCAAAAAGCCAATACGACGACGAGCTTCGTTGAAGAATCGCAGACCAGGCTGTTCCTCGTAGACGACATTCATCCATTCGGGGGGTTCAAAGCGATAGCGTTGGGTGCCCAAGAGTGGGTAATTACCCTCTTGATACGCTAGAACTCCTAGACATCCAAGAGCTAGCACATTCAAGACAAGGCAGCTCTCCATGGTATACCCGAAACCACTCTCAATGGCGGCCCCCAAGGTGAAAGAGAAAAAGAACGCCTTGTCCATGATCGGAGTGGACGGATTGAACACGGCAAAGAAGGCATCCGCTAAGCCTTTGATCAACGACAGCGGCAGAAGTTCGAGCCAACGCTCCCCTGAGTGCAAGGGGAAGGGACTGATGAACATGGGCAGAGGAGGTCGCGTCGATTCCAGCTCGATCACGTAGTTCTGGCCCAGTAATTCATACGCCGAGAGCAGCTTGTCAGGCAGTATTGACCGTGCACCTGGCCACAAAATAACGCCATGCTGACTGAAGGAGATAGAGACCCGTCCCGATGAGTCTGGGGCAGTGTCATGTTGATGCTCCGCGTGAAAATCATCCTCATCAGGCGCGGCGGGAGTGAAGCCTGGAGTGGCAGAGGCAGGCACCATCGCCATCTGTCGGCCGCTTTCTCGACGCGCAGGAGATGGATGCGCTCCCTGAGATCGATCATTAGACAGATCAAGATGCCCCTCTAGAGATTGCAGCAGATTGCTCAGAATCGAGGATGGGATATTCTCCAGTTTCGTCTCTAATCGATGAAGCGTGCTCATGATCATTGTGAGTGACTGGTCCCGTCTGCATTGATGAGCTGTCAGCCTTGAGCAACTACACATAGACAGCGATCATTCGAGCTGCAAGGCTTCTTACTTGGACGATTTGCGTTCATTGTAGACACAGTCCAGTCCGAGGGACTTGCAGAGCCCACACTTCGGTCGGGACTCATCACATCGTGTCTTTTTGAGACGACACGTCTCGCAAGCCTAACATGTCCGTTAGCGTAAAATTGATTGCGACTTGGTCATGTTGCCCAGCTATATCATCTGGGCTCGACAGTCTAGAATACTCACCACGGTCGCTATGAAGTTCCGGGCCTTCTTGGTCTGACCCGCGGGTGGAGTCGGATCGCGCTCCTGTTCATCGGGCGAAAGTAAGTCATGAATGGGCATTAAGCCATTGTGATCGGCCTCAGATGGCTGACCGGCCCTGGTCTCCTCGAAAGAGCGCTTGCTCATGGTGCATCATCGGGAAGAATGCTGGCCAGCTGCCCTCCGACGACAGTCTTGATAGTCCAGTCAGCTCGGAAACCGGCTCCTCTTTTTAGATGACTCTTTCGCTTTCGCCGGACGGGGAAACCCATGCATTTTTTTTTCTCTTCTCGGGTCTCCAGTGGAGAATCGTCCACCTTCTTGACCAATGAGAAGTGCCCCGAGTCCATCCCCAGCTGGGACCAGTTAGTCCCAATTGGGAATACAAAATCAACAAGAGACTGAGATACCAATGAACACGGAGATGATTTTCATGAATTGACGGCAAACCTGGTTAAATGAGACTCCCCGATCATTCCAAGGTCGATCACTTAATCAATTCCCTCTGGCTCTTATGAATTTCTTTCGCCAGGTCGTTTCACTCTCGAGTCTATCACTACATTACGGTCGATAAGAGCATCCCGACACAAGCGTACCCTAGCTTCGATCCGTGAGGCTTATGAGTTTGCATTCACCTACCTCCACTATATTTTTGGGCGCTTTTTCTGATCTTCGTTACATGCCAATAGCCTCTTGCACATTCACTGTGACCAGCCTGCTATGTACATATATCGGTCAAAGTACGGGCGTCTCAGACGACTGACTATAGTTCTGGGTAGCGGCTGCTGTCTTCTAACCATGATTCCATGATTCCATGAATAGGGTACTTTCATGGTCTCATAGCTTGAATGTGTGCTTTGATCTACTAATGCTCACTTGGGTTCAGAGAACAGAGTGAATCAAGCCTCCATGAAGAAGTGATCTTCCACCTACACCGCTGTCTTCACTTTTGTCATGTGTACCTTACACCGGTGACTCCAGCGCCCAGAGAATGACTCGAGTGAGTGGCATGGAAGACGAATGTCAAAGATGGGAATTTACAATGATCTACATCCGATAGTGTCATAACATCATCATGTATCGTTGAGAAGAAAAAGCACCGCTAGTCATGCAACATATTCGTGAACCCCCTCCTCAGTCAATGCATTAAGGACCACGTCTCGAAAGGTGTACCACGCGCCGTCAATTTTCCATCTCGACCCGCAGCATGTAAATTGGGCTCAAAGTCCAGGACAGATCCATACTGTCGAATCAGACGCCTCCAGTAACAGGACTCTGCTGCAGGTGTCAGGTATCGATCACGGAATGTGCGTACCGCATTCTCGGCAATACGCTCCGCAACTTGAGGGTTATCAATCAAGTAGTCTAACTTGCGCGACAGATCCGAGAAATCTTCGCTGACTTCCACAAAGTTGGCATCGGGGCCGGTGGCGACCAGCGCGGCGTGGTGTGCCTCGCGCCAAATGAGAGGATGGGAGACCACGACGGAGCGACAGTTGAGTAGATACTTGCCCCGACCGGAGAAACTGCGGCCTTCCGTGTGGGCAAGAAACATGTAGCGACAGTGATCTTCAATAGGCAGCAGATTGAAGCGAATATCGTTCTCGTCATCCCAGTCAATCACTCGGACGCTTGCCCAGCTTTTGCCTTGCGTGGACTTGAGCAGCCTGCCGCGAACGGCCGGGTTTGTCGCAAGGCTGCCGCGCCAAACAAGCTGTTTCTTCTTCTCGGCAAACTTCAAACCTGGCGTCACAGTGCCATCAGGATGGATCTCTCCATCGTCGATGGCAGCGATGCGCCGTTGAATCTCGTGGTAGGGTCCGATTCGCACCTCTGGCCAGGCCCAGTATCCAAAATCTGGCATTAACCAGACAGCGTCATCGGCCTCGCGCTTGGAATAGGCCCAGATAGGTCCACGACCTGTCGGTTCAGTGGCAAAGTCCTCGCTCGTCAAGATGAATTCGATGTTGGGGAGTATGTGTCGATTTGGATCGGCCATTAAGGCACGGTGGAGTGAATGAAGTGTAGCGCGTGCTCGTGTAGCCGTCACAGGCATCGAGGCGTACTCGATGATATACAGCTAGAGAAGAAGATCGGGTCAGACAAGAATGATTGCCTTCTCCCGATAATGCCACGGCTTTTGGTTGCATACGTACCTGCCCTTGGACGATCATCGCGCGAACCATGCCGTCCTCTACTTCCCTCGAGTCTAAGTCGTCAAAAGTGATCGGCGAGATGGCTTTCTTCAAGGCCGCTGATTTTTCGATGTCCACAAATAATTTCGGAAACGCGAGTTGACACTGCTCATCGGAAAGGCCATAATTCAAGGCATCGCGCTTTGTGTTAAACTCCCAAGTGTCATTCTCCGTGGAAGACGGCGTCTGTGACGTTTGCTCGCAATGTGATTGACTGTTTAATCCCGATGATGAGGTTTTCAGGATATATTGGGATTTTCGATCCTGTGTGGACCGAATATGCAGGAGAAGAATGGCCAAGGTGCCTAGACTCAGCATCAAGCCGAGTGCAATGAAGCGCAGGGATGGTTTTGGTGCAAGCATCCTGGCACGATTCGGACTGGGACCGTTGGAATGCCTGGGCCCCTGGGCTTCTGCGCCCCGGTTAAAGAGGGTGGTGGATAGAGTTCGAGAGGAAGGAATTTTAGCCTGCGAGAATGACCATAAGAAGAAGGTGATTAGAACAACTCTTGTTTCAGATATGTCGACTTCGATCTGCACAAGAGAGACTTTCTGCTCGTTTGTGACGTCTGATCATCTTCCGGTTCTTGCATGATTATCAGTTTGCGATCATCTTATCTGGGCGTTTGCAGCGGGGCGATTGTTTCTACGGCAACGGCTAGCTATGGTCTACTAGCTGGGACATCTTTCTGTGAGATCTGCATTGCCTACGATGATCACATGTCAGCACTACTTTCAAGTTTCCGTCTTTTACTCTAGAGAGTCTCACGAACAAACGATTTCATAAGATTGGCTGTGCTGTTCTGCCCCTGAAACAGGTGCTGCTGGCGATGATGATTGATTTTGTTGTTCAACGGATAAGCAATTGATTCCACCGTATGCGAACCTAGCAGCTGGCAGTCACGGTGACAAGGTCTTTGATGGGTTAAGAGTAGTGCTACCTAGCAGTACTGGAAATAGCATCCGAAGCCATCATAGATATTAATGATGACACACAACGCAAACTCCACGTCCGGCGTGAGCCACGTGGTGTTTCTCTACATGTTTCACATGTAGACTACTAGACTAAGTTAGTAGACACTTACTAGAAGTAGACAGTGACACCAGTCAGAGCTTACCCTACTCCCACCACAACCTTTTATGTTCGAGCATGAAACGCAATCATTACCATTCTAGAGGTTTACCGACTTGAAAGATCAAGATCGGGGGGGGGGGGGGGGGGGGTATAAAAAGTCTAAGCGAGTCTTCAAATTGAAGACTCGACACAGCACAATGGACTACCTATCGAGCGAGACAGACGGGGGGCATTTATGTATTTAGGACAATAGGTAACTTACCTAGTAAATATGAGTATTGTAGTAGGGAATCCGGTTGCATGTACCTAGAGCAGATGGTTTGCAGAGGTGCGTGTGCCTGATGGTGGCCTTATAGTCGGGAGAGACTATTTGGACATTACGAGAGGGGTCAATCAACTTGATCACCTAAGGAATCCAAGAAGGAACCAAGGGATTGTACGACTTCATGGGATCCGGGAGATCCATCGGAGAAGGGAATTGAGGATTCAGGACAGTCTTTACAGTCGGATTCTTTTGCATTGCAATGATACACTCCTTTTGATCATCACTTGTGCCCCTCGACAACCAACGGATAGGTGTTGTACGGTCGGGCTGGGAGATCTCTGGACGTGCGTGCTGGGGGTGGTGGTTTGGTTCCTCTATGACTCGACCTGTCTGGTGAGATCAGACTGCCTTGAGCATTCCCCTCTATAGTATGTAGTATATACTATATTGAAGTAGTATTGAGCTGGCGGGTGAGACGGAAGCACTGCAACGGGACAGGCCGGTAGTTCCTAAAGGGCATCCATATTGCATAGTAGTATACCACGACTCAACATAGCTGAGATTTGCCCAGAGTATTATTCCAGAGGCCATCCGAAGGGCTGCACGTGGCCACGGCTCTATTCTTCCATCGTTGACTTCTGGGAGTAGGGCTCCGGCAGCCCGTGAGTCGTAACTTTGGCGCTTATCGTCGATCGATGCCCCTCTTACCGTACAATACCTCAAAAATACCGCTCATCCGCACTCACCCGCACACAAATGTCTCGAACCGTGCCCTGATTTTCTAAGATTCTGGTGAAATTCCGTAACATCCAAACAGCCTCGGAGGCAGCCGAGCACCGAACAGGAAAAATATCCAATCCTGAATGCGAGACAAAGCGTTATCAAATGGATTTCGATCTCCCAGAGAAAGATTTTGTCACCCACCACCTCTTGTCAAGTCAAGCAAGGCGCTGATCCTCTGCGGGGTCCTCAATTCCATCACGGCGACTTCCACGACTGGCTGGAACCATTTAAACTCATACCCCATAGTCGTGCATCAAGTTGCAACCCGCCTAACCCGCTAAGACTCCGCTTGCCATAGCAGAGCAGGGTGGAACTGCCCTTCTGGAAACCCCACGGCGTCAGCTTTTACGTCTCTCGGGGGAAAAGGGGGAAACGTATAACAGTGAGTTCAGTCGCTGCTAGACACCTTCAAAAAATTTACCTTGTCCTGCATGACTTACAATTAAGCGAAGATAAAGCCGTCCTATCCGTGCTTTGCCCAAAATCTCTGGAAAGACAAAAAAGCCAACCACGCGGAATCTTTGCACGAGCCTTCAGCGAGCTTGACTGAATCTCAGAAGATGGCACAACCGTACGTCTACACAGTCTACAGAGGCACATTTATTCAAACATCGTGTCCCCCCGACTCGAGCACCAGCCCACGTACAGAACTTGTTCGCAATCGTGGCGCACTGTGGGTGTCTACGGCAGATGGTCGTATCAAAGGTTCGGACTGGCAAGCCCACGATGATCAAGGATTCAGAGCTCTGATGAGTCGAATGAACTGGATTGATGTGGATGCCTCAACCACAAATGGCTTTCATGTAGAAGAGATCAAGGTCAAGATTGTGCGCGCAAGCGAGGGGCGAAATGAGTTTTTCTTCCCTGGATTTATAGGTACGCCTCCCGGTATTCCCCTTCCATCTCTATCATTTTGGGTTATCTGACGGTCTACAAAGATACACACATTCACGCCCCTCAATTTCCTAACGTGGGATTGTTCGGTTCATCCACACTGCTAGATTGGCTAGAAAAGTACACGTTCCCGGTAGAGTCCAAATTTGGCTTTCAGGCGGACCAACTCCAAGGAAAAAACACCTTACCGGAGAGTACACCAGCGTCTGCGTTGCGAATCTATGATCAAGTCGTGGCGCGTACGCTATCTCATGGAACAACGTGTGCATCCTATTTTGCCACCATCCATGTCCCCGCAACAAATGCCCTTGCAGCACTCTGTCATTCACGAGGACAACGGGCGTTCATCGGGCGTGTCTGCATGGATAATCCAGACTTTTGCCCCTCTTATTACAAGGACATTTCAGCCGAGGACTCCTTAAGTGCCAGTAGATCAACCATCGACTACATACATCGCCTTGATCCCAAGGGGGTCTTGGTGAAGCCCATTCTCACACCGCGATTCGCGCCCACATGCACCCGAGCTGCATTAGAGGGCCTGGGAAAAATGGCCGCTGAATTCAACCCGCCTTTACACATCCAGACGCACATCTCTGAGAACACAAATGAAATTGCCTTGGTCAAGGAATTGTTCCCTGAGGCCGATAGCTATGCAGCAGTCTACGACAGATACGACTTGCTCACCAAGCGGACTATTCTCGCGCATGCGGTGCATCTCACCCCCGAAGAGCGGCAGCTCGTTCGACAACGGGACGCCAAAATCTCACACTGTCCGGCATCGAACTCGGCTTTGGGCTCCGGCATTGCTCCTGTCCGTACATTCCTCGACGACGGCATTAAGGTCGGACTAGGCACCGATGTCAGTGGTGGCTATAGCCCCAGCATCCTGGAAGCCGTCCGCCAGACCTGTCTGGTATCCCGATTGCTAGGACACACGGCTTCATTCAAGCAAAGCAAGACCGAGCAAGTGCAAGAGAATGGCCACGCCGACAAGAAACCGTCCTTGGACCGCGAAAAACTGAGCGTGGAGGAAAGTCTTTACCTGGCCACTCGCGGCGGAGCAGCCGTAGTCGACATGGCCGCCGATTTGGGCGGCTTTGACGAGGGCATGATCTGGGACGCACAGCTCATTGAGCTTGGAAGCGTGCAAGATGTTACGCAAAGTCCGCTTTCCCAACAAAACAACGGTGTTTGCAGTCTCATCAAATCTGGGCCGGTGGGTAATGTGGATCTTTTCGAAACGGAGACTTGGGAAGAGAAGATTCACAAATGGGTTTGGAGTGGTGATGACCGCAATGTCAAGGCAGTTTGGGTCGGAGGCCGACTTGTTCATTCGAGGTCATAAAGGCTGTCCTTTTGCAAGATGGAGATACTAGAATACTCTGCCTGACGGGATGTTTATTTTGGAGCTTTTGCACCTATCTGTTCATATTGGTGAGCGATCCCTATGTATGGAGTGATAATTAGTAGACTCAAGCAGCCCTAGGTACGATCTCATACTGATCACATGAATACACCGCTGAACTTTATCAAACTTTATGAGGATGATTGAGGACATGGATGGATTACTCAGGTCCTGGGTGCCGTCCACCTTACTGGAACATCTTATCCATGGAATTGATACAGCGCGAGTTCGATTTGACTGAAATCTATCCATTGACCTAGAACAGACTGGAGATTACCTCAATATCGACCGAACTAATCTAAGAAAGTGCATTTTTACGTATGCACGAACCACACCTGTTACAGTTACATTGCCTAGTACTAAAAAGGTTGTGGTATGAATAGCATTAGGTTGTATTGAAGAAACAGGTTCATCACAAATACTGACTATAGGGTCTGTTGTGTCTTCAAGAAGAGAAAGTTGGAAATGTATATTCAATGAGATATTAGGGTTTGAAAAATCAATGGAGGACAGAAAAAGTCATGGAGATCAGCTTGAGAACAATTAACAGATGATGGGTGACGGGATATCATGGTAGTGTGAGAAAATATTTTCTATCGCCTTGCATCTCGACCATATAATGGATGGTGGATTCATATTAGGATAGTAAGAGGGGTTTCAAAAGTCGTGATGCATGGGATTCGTGAAGCGTTGGAAGGTTGGTCCTTCATTCTCGATTTGAATAATCTATTCCACGTGGAAACCGGTTAAAAATTTGTTTGCGGTATGACCCAAAGACTACTATCGCATTCGGGCAACTCACCAATGCTTGAACTTCTTCTGAGGAATGCCTTGGCCAGCATATGGGCCCTGAGGGAAATTGTATTCGTCGTCCAGATCGATTTTGGCAGCCATGAGAGGGCCCCACTTCTTTTGGACGTTGTTCATATGCTTTCGTAATCGTGCGAACATCTGAAGTTGCGGATGTTCATGAAACGAGCCCAATTCAGAAGTAGAAGATAATGCCGACTTGATCATTTTGGATGCAGAGTACTCCGGTCAAGTAGATAGGAAAGGGGAAGGCGAGAGGAGGTATAAAGTTATAGAGTGGTCAGCCTGATGAAAACACGAATGCAAAAGATACAGGACCGCGGCGCAGGACGGAATTATAAAGCAGAGAAAAACTTCTACATTTACTTGATATTACTCACCAAGAAAAGGAAAAATTTTTCATGGTACTTTGCCATTCTTGATATCTGCCAAACAACACGAACCACAGGTTCTTCGGCGAAGTCTCGGCATTCCCGAATTTACCCCGAAGCATGCCGACCGATCTCCGATCTGATGGTCGGGCCGGACCAAGATAATTGGTCCGGTTTGGATGCGTCTGATGTAATAGGCGCAATCGCTCTATGTGAAAACAAAGCTCTAGGCCTTGATACCGGCCATTCTCCGTGGTTAGCCACGATTTCCTCCAGACTGGTACGTCGACTACTGTTCCTGATGATATCTCGATCTCCTTGGCGGTCCACTCGACGGGAGAGATCCACGTAGTCGCCCTGGTCCCTGGCAAGACGCTTAGTTGACTCTTTCTGATGGAGCTTGGTGGAGCTGGCCATTCATTTACTCCGTCGGAGAAGACGCCGTTTCCTTGATAGTAGTGCTGAAGACGGCGCGATTTGACTGGCCTACGCCGGTGCTATTCTAAATTCGAGGCTTAGTAGAACAGGATCGCATGGAAATTTCCAGCCCATGTTGTCGCCACTCGAGTGACAAGTGTTTCTCGGCATTACCTCGGATTTTGGATGGAATGTCTTATCCTGCAATTCCAGGGTACTGTAAGCTGTATATAGGTCTTGAGACTCTGGTTCACTCTATTCGTAGCCATGACTAATATTGAAATTGCGCAGGCGATAGATGCTTCCTGAGGGCAATGTAGCCCCAGTTCAACTATGCAGCAAGCTACAGCCTCATGTCTTTTGTAATTCAGCTAAAATATTGGTATGTGAGCCTCTCCTTTGAGTTCACCGCGTGCAATCGGGCCTTCTGTAGAAGAATCTCAGCCAGCTTTAGCTTCAGGACTTGCGAAGAGCCCCTACCTGTTGTAGACGACGCCTTGGCACATCCAAACCCAGACTGCTCTTATCGAGTCGCAGAGTCCACATATTTGGTACGATATCATGAACGGCGAGGAGTTGTTCAATGATCACAAGAGTCCCACTCAAAAGGTAAACGCGTAGTCATCAACTAAAGACCATTTCAATTTCAATGCTCCTGAAAGTACCGAAAGGCGTTTCAGTAGGCGAACAATGCAGAAATGCATAGAATGGACAGCATTCTGAGCCACTTCTCCGGCGAACCTCGAGCTCCGCAGCGGAATCGACGCCGTCATAAACCCCAGATGACATGGGCTTGGAACAGTAACCCTCCTTTAAGCGAACAACGTAATCCAGAAGGATGTGGGCTAAGCATATCTTCAGCTCAGCATTAGCGAAGAAGCGGCCGCGGCAAATGTGCCGACCACCCCCAAAGGTGTTGTGCTCTCGACTTGCTTGCACAAATTGACTCGCTTTGTCTCCCGCATGACGCTGCTTCACAAATCGATACCCATCGTACACATCCGGATAATCGTGAACCTCTGGGTTCCACATATCGCTCGAGTCAACCATGATATGAGACCCTCTAGGTATCAACGTCTCATCCGGAAGCGTGGTGTCGCGGATCGCTTTCCGTTCCAGACCAATTAGGTACTGGTGAATTGGGCAGTGAGGCTTCATGGCTAGCTGATCATGATATCATGGTCTGGGATCTTTACCTAGGCCAGGGGTCTGGCGTTGAGACTCCTTCATCAAGCTGTCCAGCATGTCCATTTTCTGTAAGGCAGCCTGACACAACCCATGACGTGAAATCAACTCTTCGATCTCTCGTCGCAAGGGCGCGACAAGCTCGGGGTGTTCGGCAAGGTCAGTCAGTGTCTGTCTCAACGCTTCGCTCGTGGTAAAGAGTGCTGCCACTGCCAGAGCGAGTTGGATGTCACCAAGATGGAGCTTGTTGCTGGGCATGTGAGAAGTCCAGGAAAGAACATCGTTGTAGCGTCGTGCTTTGCGTCCTTGACGTTGTGCCAAATGACTTTCCTCGGCCCTTCTTTCTACCACTTCATCAATCATCACCCGAGCCTTTCTGGCGAGAGCCTGACATGCGGAGGTATGGGGCAAGAACCATTGCACGACGGACCGTAGAGATGGTCGCCACGTATGGAGCTCGCTCACTGCGCTGAAAAGTTCGCGAACATACGCCTGAGAAAGCATCTGCCATTCTGGGTCGCTGGCTTTCCCGGGTCCAACAAACACTGAGGCTGCTGCCCATGAAATGATTCCAGTGGTGTCCCTCTCCCAACTGATCTGATGCCAGGAATCACTGTCACCCCAGTGATGCTGCAATGCGGCCACAACTTGCTGGTCAAGTGTTGGTTAAAGTTCCTCATTTGGGGAGAGTTTGGTCCGCAACAAGTCAATCAGCAATCCATCGGACTGTGAACTGCATATGAAGGTTTAAACCCGGGAAGATGCGCAAATTTTTCTTCTCTGATCAGTTCCTGGTTGTCGAGGTCCCTATTTGCCTTAATTCAATCACTGAACGCCGAGGGCAGAACAATCTTTACCCCATGGAGGCACCAGCAGAGAGATTGGTCCATTGTACTTGGCAAGACCCTTGGCAATCAATCGTTTGGCGTTCGTCTTATACTCACGGTATGCCTTTCGACGGAAAATGTCCCCGGCGTAGGCGTTGACAACTGGAAAAACAATTTCTTGATATGTTTTCAAGTAGTATAGACTAACAATAATGGCAATAAGAGTCCAAGGGGACAACATTGGATAACAGTTCAAGAATCATGGTTCAGATTCGAAGAGATGCAGACTTGATCTGGAGTCAAATTCCATGCAAAAATATTCAACGAAGAAGTCACAAACATCCAAGACAACGTTTTAAATTCTCCGAAACTCTCCATAATCTTGGTATTGCAAGTTGCTCGAGGAGTGTTGAAGGAGCATGCTCTATCGCACTCCACATTGTCTCCACTTTATGAGGCCATGTCCAATTATGTCGTGTCTAAGTCAGTGAGTGCAGACTTTAGGAAATGGCGACGTTCCTAATGCACTGTTTGACGCCCATTGCCAGGCGGACGGAGCGCAATCTTGAAGCGTCGTTTCTCCCTCTGGTGTCCGGAATGGAGTGCTCTGTATCTTGACAAAAGCATAGTTGAACTCCTGACTCGCAGGATTGCAGCCTGAAGACTTAGGATGACTCGTCATCACCTCACAGATTCTGCCTCTGTTGGCCGCTTAGGCGTAAATAACCGGAAGCTCATCATCCTGCGGGCGGTGTGCGTCCGTGACTTACAACGCCCGAAGCCAATCGACGTCGACCAGACTCCGTCACTAGCTAATAAATTATGGGGTGGGGATCCACTGGTTCTCGACCCTTAGCTCCCATGTTGAGCGCCGGCTCGACTCGGCACTGCTATGTCTGTGCATCAAACACGCAGCACACTCGTCGCAGAAGCCAGGAATATGATACAAGGGCCCCGTCAATCTCCACCTAGCTTGATCTGTGTTGTCACACAACCACATGTCTCAGCTGAAGTAGATGGCTTCACGATCGCGCAGAGATCTCGTGCGGCGCCCCTGTGATCGTTGTCGCCAACGCAAGTCACGATGTGTTCGAGATGCAGGCAAAGACAATTGTACCTCTTGCGAACTGCATCATACAGAATGCACGTTTCTCAATGGCCCACAGCCACGAATACGGACCAATGGAGAAGTCGCCGAGGGGCTAACCAGGTATGCACATTTGGCCTGGAGATGCAGTCGAGAATAGAAGCTGAAGTGACTGGAGCAGATTTTCGCTGAATGATCTGTCACCTACACCAACATCATCCGTTGAATCCCCTAGGAGTCATTCCCGATTTGATTTCGCCAATTCTCTATTGAATGGCACGCTAGGTCTTGATCTGTATCGATATACAGAATATATTGGACCCGCAAGCTATCATGAACCTGCTCTACTTAATTTGAAGAGGCCCGCGGTCTCCACTGGCGGCCCAGCGAGATCATGTCCGCGAAGCGTTAGCCAAAACATCGCATTTCTGACGCACGCCGACGATGACTCTATCTCGCAATCGCAGTACTGGGCAGATCTTGATCAGATCGAAAGTTGCATCCGTCCGCTGGGCCAGAGTCTAGTGAATCTTTACTTCCATATTGTACACAGGACATTCCCAATCCTGGACAAAAGCGTATTCCTGGAGAAATACGCGCAGTCATATCGCAACTTTTCTCCGCCGTTGCTTGCCTCAGTCTACCTGCTCGCATTGGAGTGGAGGTTTTTCGACAGACAGCTGGCCAACTTGACCCAGGTACCAGACGCAGGGCGGCTGGAAAGACTAGCCATGCGAACAATAGACGATGCACGGAGGCGACCCAAGATCTCGACTCTGCAGGCGGGCTTGCTTCTACTACAGCGGAGAGATGCCTCCAGTATCGATGCACTTCCGGCCCAACTGATCTCCATGGGACACACCCTGGGCATTCATGTCGACTGCGAGGACTGGACAATACCCGAGTGGGAGAAGAGTCTGAGACGGCGGTTAGCCTGGGCCTTGTTCGTACAGGATAAATGGGGCACTCTAGTACATGGTCGACCTTCGCTTCTGCCAATGGAGATTGATGGAGACGATGAGACGAGCGACTGGGTGCTGCGCCCATGTACTCTTCGTGATTTTCCCGAAGCTACAGCTGGGGATGACGAAACCGGCGTTGTCGACGGTGCTACAGGCCGGGATGCCTTCCTCCAGTTGATTGAATTGAGCAAGATCTTCAGCCGTATCACAGCGACTTTTTGCTCAACCGGAGCAACGCGAAAGGGAGGTCTGCTTGACCGAATTGGAGCATCAGGAGCACTTGAGCTAGCAAAGCCTCTTGCGTTACAACTACGAGCCTGGCACGCAACACTGCCGCCGGGTCTTCAGCTGGACTCCACGCCCTCTCTAAAGCTATCGACCAACGGAGCACTGCATTTGTCCCATGCAGCCGCAGAGCTTACAATTCATCGCGCATTACTTCGAATTCTCACACCGGACGACTCTCCTAGTCTGATTGCGGCAATTCGGGGAGCTGCCCGAGCGCGCCTAGCATCTGCGGTCAATCTGATTGCGGCTTTTCAACTAGAGCACTTGCAGTCATTCTGGGGCTTCGCTGCCGCATCACAGGTAGCTCTCGTAGGATCTCTGGCTGGACTGCTGTGGCTGACTAGCGGTGACGCCGACGAGCAGTCAGATTATCTTAATCATCTGGAGAGGCTTCGCTGGAATTTGCAGGTCTGGGCTTCAGCCATACCATTTGCTCGTGAAGCCCTTCGAAAGCTCGATGAAGAGATTGGTGATCTAGCCTCGGTGGATCTTACTGTTGGGCCTGAACTGGAAGGGACTCAATGACGTCCACATATCTCTTACTGTGCATTCCTGGCAAGGTATTTAAATGCGACCTTTCATCTGTCCGCACCACTTATATACGATTCTCTGTGGCGACGACGGGAATAGTCTGACATCAATCCGTTACATATGTGCCAGCTTTGGTGAATGATTTGAAGGGAAGTCTACCAGGTAAAAGTATGCCTACCTGGGCAGTAATTTTGAACGATGAGACAATGGTGACAGGACACATTGGCCAGGTCTTTTTTTCCAATCATGGCATCTCCATGTACCAGGTCGATGAAAATCAGATCTAGCACGGTGGTTCATTCATCTGGGTCATTCACTATGACTTCTCCTTCTCCTGCGTCCTGGCGCCTCGGGACTTGGGAAACGATTGATACGTCTTCTAGTCGCGATCGGCAGGGACTTGTCGGTTTTTCACAGTCCATGGCGGCGGCGCAAAGAGCTCTCTGGGGATTCGCTTCATCGATATGTCCATCCAATCTTCACGTGTTACTCCCAGAAGAAGACAAAGACTGAATATAGGGCCGCCACCCTTTGAATGCAGTAATGTCTACCGCATTCTTAAAGCCGATGGGCTCGCAGATAAATCCATGCACCCATCGCCCATCGATCATCTCGATGGAGCCAATTCCCAAGGGCGGTGCAACAGTGCTCAGGAAACTTCCCATGAGACTCAACGGCATCCTCCATACTTCCACTTCGATTGAGTTTCCACCCTCGGCGACCCGTTGCAACCCGGGCTTAGGCACCGCTCCTTGTGTCGGCAACGCGTATAACTTGTAGCATTTTGCGGTCGTCGTAACCAGGTCGAGAGTCGCCCCTCGAGAAAGCAAATCCCTGTTCAATGGAAACCCAGAAAGGTGAGCTCCAACGACTGCTAATAGCATGTTCTCTGCTGATGCTGGCGCGGTCATTGCCGGTCGAAGTGCTTCGTCAATCTTTGCAAGACGGTAGATTGTGTAATCTGTGGAGAGGTCCGGTACGGTGGATGGATGACCTGTGGCATTGCAAAGCAACTTTGCGACAGTGGAACTTTTGAGCGAAATTGTTTCTGACACCAGAGCTTGGGTCTTAATGCGCCTGGTGCCCCATCAAGTTGATCCTATCTGCCCTCACGGTCCCCTCGCGCCGTCGCCCATCGCCGCGATCGCCTACCGCGCCGATCGCGCCGATCGCGCCGACGGGTTCAATGCCGGGGGCCCGCGAGAGATAACGTTCTCCGTACGGCGCGTACTCATGTATTGGTTGTTGCAACATGAACTGAGATGTTTTAACCATCCGCAAGTTGCATGTTGTGTTTTTCGAACCCCCCGTTCCTTCGCTGGGGTGGCATGATACGTACTGGGCAAGGACCAAGGGGAATTTATCTTTCAAAACAGCTGATCACACATGCATAGTAGATGCTTCCAAGGCTACGGCGGTGTTTCGAGCATTGATTGATGTTTGTATGGCATGTGATTCTGCCGCACACGCACCGCAGTCCATCGCCTAGATAGAATCTCTCCCCAGGAGCAATCTCTCTCCTCATCCCTGTCTTACATTGTGCAGCTGCCCCTACTGTGGCTGCATTCCATCAATTGAGGCTCCGGCAGCATAGACCCCAAGGGCTTTTATGCTTCCCTCCTGTGGGTTGACTCGTTCTTTGTATAGACCTTGTCAGCCCTTTCTGTGGCCAATGCTTGATCAAGAACTAGGTAAGTAGTGGGTTTGGTGTCATTCACAACTGCTAGCCCTAAGCTTGCCAGCAGTCCGAATCGATTTTCGATCCATGTGGATGAAGATACTAGGTTGTGGTTTACCAGGGCTCCGAGTGCTACCAACTCTGAGCTTCAAAGAACTCGGAGTCGTACGTGCAGACTCGTACTAGCAGCTAGCTCTCCTGTCATATCAAGCGAGAGCCTGGTCGGCTTCGACCAAGCCTGCAGACCCCGAGGCCTTGGATGAATTCTGCAGTCGGCAGCGCCACAGAGCTGCGGCAGGTGGTCGAGCCATAGCATCAATTGTCGCCATGCACTGTGCTACTACTGTGAGGCGATCGACGACACAGGGGGGCCGTTGCCATCGGAGCATCGTCAAATCACCGCGTGAGGACCTTGGGTGCTCGAGAAAGCTCAGCTGCACTTGTTTCGTCGAAGCAGGCAGAAACATAGTCCTCGCGTATACCGCTTGACCTCCCGCTGGTGACTCACGTTATTTTTCTTTCTCTTAATCTTCATTCTCTTCTCATTCAAAGTTGCAGAATTGTGGTAATGAGTTGAAGACGAGGAAAGACAGCCATCAAACCGAACCCAGCGACTTCATTATCTTCTCGAGTCTCGACCGCTCGCTGTTTTCGGAAACTCTCTCGGTTGCCGTCGGGCCCCGTTCACTGACCAGTTGACCAGTTGACTGGTTCACCGCCCGTGGCTGGCGCCCGCTCTTCCTCCGTCGCGGCACCCGATTGACATCACTTTTGGAGTCCGAGTCTGCGCCCGTAGCTCAGTCGCCATGGCCGCCAACGATGTTCGAGGATGGGTCATGAGCACCGTCTCAGGTGTCGGTAAGCTCCATGAGTCTCTCCAAAAGCGGTTTGTTGCACAGCTTCACTAATTCCAACCTACCTGCAGCCTGTGTACTCGGCTCGGGGATCATCTGTGTCGATATCATCGTACGCCACATTACCCGGGACAAGAAGTTTCAGATTGCGAACAGCAACAACTTCTTGTCCGCTTCATTATGTCTGAGTGCTGGTGTCATGGTAAGTCTGCGATATGGTGATTGGACTCTTTGCACTCTGGACAATGGCCCACAAGTCTAATCGTCATTGATAGCTCTTTACGTCCTTGTATAGTATGCTGCCCACGTCCAAAGAGTACTTGACACGAGCGGGCCATTCCTCTTCTGCATCCGCCTACATCCTGACCGGCTTGTTCATTGGGGGTGTGGTGGTCATCCGCATTGCCTCCGGCTTTTTACATCGTTTCATCCCGTCGCATGTCGTCGATTGCGCCCACACCCACGACGGGCCGGAAGATGACCCTGAGCGCGGTGAACAAATGCAAGATTGCGACGATGCGTCAAATCACCCTCACGCCCATAGCGCCCAGAGCGCCCATGAGCAGACCCCCCTACTGCGCCCTGCTGGGTTGCACGGTTCCAAATCGACGTCCCAGGTCACTCCGCAGATCCCTGGTGTCTCGAGCGCGAAACGACAGGGTTCCCTCAGAGCGTCCATCTCCCGGCGCATCAGCTCCCTGATGGACGGCGTGAAACATCGATGCGACGAAAATGGCCCCTGTTATGGCTTCTCCCAAACATGTGGGCAAGAATGCACAAAAGTCCTCGTTCCGACTCCCACGCCGCTGCCGTCTGGCCATGGGGACTTTGAACCTCGCCCAGAATTACTCCCATCGCGGCACAGTCTTGACGGTCAACTAGACTCGACACATCCCATTGCAGATAACACTAATTTGATTTCAGCCCTCGCAACCTCGGACGAGGAGCACCTGGGTGTCGGTGATTCCGGGTTAATTACCACGCATACACCGACTTCCTCGTCCTCTTCCCATACTCAGAGACCGATCGCAGAGCACGATCCAGACGCACACAAGATCTCGGACGACCATAGCTCTCATCAACATCATCACGAGTGTCAAGAGGGCCATAATCAGCACGAACACGATGATGCTGGAGAAGGCACCTCGAAAGCAGATCCTATTCACCATCACCATGTGCCTCAGAATGCCTTCCTCTCGATTGGCCTCCAGACCTCTCTCGCTATTGCGTTGCACAAACTTCCCGAGGGCTTTATTACCTTTGCGACCAATCACGCGAGTCCCAAACTTGGGCTCACTGTTTTCTTGGCTCTGTTCATTCACAACATCGTCGAGGGATTTGCCATGGCACTCCCATTGTACCTCGCTCTGAACTCGCGATGGAAAGCAATGTTCTGGTCCAGTATTCTGGGTGGAATCAGTCAACCGGCCGGGGCTGGTATTGCCGCCGTGTGGTTCTGGAGCTCGGGCCGCAAGGGATCTGAATCCGTCGGTCCGTCCTGGGGTGTCTACGGGGGCATGTTTGCCGTGACCGCCGGTGTCATGACATCGGTTGCGCTGCAGCTGTTTAGTGAGGGTCTAGGGCTAACTCATCACCGGAATATGGGCATGGCCTTTGCTGTAGTGGGCATGGGGCTGATGGGGTTCAGTTTTGCATTGACAGCTTGATAGGGAGCTGGCTCATTGGGGCACTGCTTTGACCACAACTCCTGTTAGGGAATCTCGATTGGGATGCACCTTTCAATCGTGCTGGTCATGGCTCACTGTTTGCTGTTCATCTTTATCTTCTCATCCTTCCGTGTGTCTATATTTGCATGGATGGCGGCGCCGGCTGAGAACTGAGTATATATATACACGGCGGGTTTCGTTTCCATTTGGGACCTGGTCATTCCCACTCCGCACAAATTGTTTCTCTTTGTATCTTGTCTCAGAGCCAACGTTCCAAATCATGTCATCGCTTATGTTTCGTTGGTATGGGCCCCTCCTCTGTTGCAGTACACGTCTGCATCGGAATGTCTTGTGGGTGTGAAAAGGCAGAGATCCCTGAAAAAGCGAGAGACCAATCAATCTTCCAGAGAGAGTGAATATGTACCTTGGCCGTGCCGGTGTGTTTCCTAAGCTGGAGTAGCTTCGTACTGAAAGACTCGATGCGTGGGCGTGCATACCGCTAGCAAGGCTGTGGTCTATCTAATGACCCCGAGAACCCGTGACCCTCAAGGTCTGTGTTTGGTGAACACGCCCAGCCGATGGCGCAGAGCCTTTTCCGTGGCCCCGCGATCAATTCTGGCAGCCCTCGTCGTCCGCTCAAACTTTTTGACACGCTCCATCTTAGTCCGCCTGGTATTCTCGTGCAGGCGTCAGTATCTGTTTGCTTCACTTCCAAGGAAGGAATTGATCCAGAACAGCGGTGCTTTGATTGAGGAGGCAACACGTCCTTCCCAAAGCGTACGCACCGACAAGGTTCGCCATCATACAACTCGATCGAAACATTTGTCGAATACTGACTGGAGTCTGGCCCAATATAAGTCTTATTTGGTATTTTGAATTAACCACGACTGTTTCAATATCAAAACTCCTCATAAATATCTTCCAATTTGTACCGTTACGTAGATCGAAACACACACGACACCCCCAACGCCAAATGTTCAAATAAGTGGACACGGGTTATTTCACAATCAGATCCACCTTCAGTGAAACCGCGTTCATTTTCCTTCCACGCTTTTTAGAGAGCTTGCACGGAGATTCTCCGAGCAGCACCACTACCATGAGTCATATTTCCTCCGCTCGTCTCGCGCAAGTGATTGTGGTGAGGTTGTCCCTCATCGTCAAGATCGTCGACGTCAATGCTGAATCGTCGTGGTCGAGACCAGACGCCGAATTGGTCGCCGCCATTTGCATTACCGACTCCTTGGATCTGTGCATCTTTCAAACCAAAGCGGTTGGTCACTTGCGTGAGAAGGTCATCGTGGTTGGAGCTTCTGCCGGAGCTGCCCTGGCTGGTCCCAAGACGAGACTGAGATCGGCGAAGTAGTTCCATATGCTGGGAAGCAGTATCCGCGGCATGTGGATGGTCCTTGGCGTCCGAGTCGGCCAACAAGTCATGAAGAGCGCCTTCATGCAGGGCCGCTGCGGACTTGTGATCGTTGGACGCAGTGAATAGTGCGGACAAAAGTTTGGTCATCTCCAACGTAACAGGGTCGCAAGACCCCCACACCTGCCGTAGGTTGTAGCAAATATCACGACAAAGCTGGATGGCCGAGTCAACAGAGCCACGACAGAATCGAGTCTCGACCAGTCGACGACCGATCCACACAACAACATCGGATGTCCAGGTGCGTTGGACGATACGAGAAGTCCAGAGTTGAGTAAGAACTCCTTCAAGATCATCAAACATCTCATGTTCACCCAGTAAAGTGATGAAGTCGTTCAGTTCGTGGAATGGAAGATCGACAATTTCCATTCCCACGGACTTGAAGTTCGTCATCAATTCTTGCAAAAGTAACTTTGATTTGGCACTCATCTCCGCCTGAATTGACGGGCTGTCGCACTTTGTAGCTTGGTGGCCGGTCAGGTAGAGACACAGTTTGCTGGCGGTGATGATGTTATCTCGAGTAGTCAAGGAGTCGGTGAGATGGAGGAACGAATGCAGCACGCCCGCAAGGTCACTAGCATCCTGGAACCGAGACGAGTTGCAAAGGTCCCGAACCATCTTCGTCGTGGTCGTTAGAATGGTTTTCTTGTACCCATCGTGGTGGGCCTCCTTCACGCAAAGCTTGTAGAATTGCTTGATCACATCTCGATCAGCGACCGGCATAGCAGACAGCGTGGCGCAGAAGTACTCGTAAAGTTTGTTGCGAGTTGCTGTCGCTGCCTGGGTACGGTTTTGCTCCGTCTGAAGACGGCAAAGATGGTCTCCAGTGATCAATGTTGGAATGAATTCGTGGCTAGACAGACTTCTGCTGAACGACTGCTGTGTCTGCATCTCACGAACCATCTCCTCCATGATCTGCGCAGCACTGGCTCGGCGACCGAAAACCTCTTCGAACGAGGCAGCAAAGACTGCGTCTTTACGATCGCTCAGGGGTAGCGTCGAGAGCTCCGGTCCTGACACCACCCGCTGGCGAAGCTCGTCAAGGACATTGTTGCCTCCCTCGATGAAGCCACACTCAAGATAGATAGCAGCGGTTTTCCGCGCCCATTGAGCCATCAAGGTGGTATCGCCATCGGCCTGCAAGCAGTCCATCACGTAATTGTGAAGAAGAGCGTTGCCCTGCTGGACAGATGTGGGTGTCGCCTGACGAGAGTGAGCCAAGGCGAGCTCCCGGAGCCAGGCCAAGGTAGTGTTTGAGAAATAACCCTGCGTCTTCTTGCCGAGCTGGAATTCCTCGGTGTACAGGGAGCGAGCTTCACTGGTTGAATCTCGCTTTCGAACGTAGAGCTGGGCAAGCTTGTGCTTCAACGTGATCGGGAGAGATTGGTTCATCTGGTCTAAACTTCGAGTGGCTTGAGCCGCAGGCACCCATTCGTTCGTCTGCAAGGGCTGCTTGTACAACCCAATGGCTTGATCGGTGTAAGGATCGTGCGACTCGCAGAGCTCGGCGAACAACAAAGTTGCCTCAAGGGTCTTGTGATGAGTCGGACCATGCACATTGCGACAAGTGTTGACATAGTCAGAACAGACTCTGTAGCGTTCGGGGAAGTTGGAGCCCTTCGTATCAGTGCCCAAAATATTCATGTAGCCCTTGTAGATTTGGTCAAGCAACGCTTCAGTTTGCTTCCTGTCGCTTGGTTGCACGTTGTCCTGCACAACAATTGTGGGCCAAACGTGGCGGTAAACCTCCAGTGCCGAGTCCCATTGCTTCTCTCTCTCGAAGAGATCAATAAGAGCAAGGGCGGCCTGCATACCCGCTGGAGCAATGATGTCACCTTTGAGGGTGTTTTTGTAAATTTGCTGGTAGGTTGTCTTCGCTTCCTTGTCCATCTCCAGACGCTTGGCCATCGCAGCTTCACGATACATGTTGTCGATTGTGTGCTTGTCAGTCTCACCGAGCCGAGACGTCAGGAAATTGCTAACCGTGTGCAACAGCCCTAACGCCTGGGGGAACTGGAATGTGGTCTCATAAAACTCAACCACGGCCTTCGCAACTGCCAAGACAGATGCGACAGGTACCCTGTCGGAGGCAATTAAGGAGCCAAACGCATTGTCGTAGACAATGCTGGCTTGTTCGAGATGGAATTTACGGAAATGGCAATAAGCAAGAATCAACGCCAAGTCCGTGACGGGAGGTGCCAGCTCAGTTGTGAATTTCTTGTGGGAGCCAGCTTGCTCCACGTTGGGGTAGACATGTCGAAGAACGGCTCTGGAACACTCGCTTGCCCCAGTCCAATCCTCATCGCGCACGTATATACTTGCCAAGTTGTGACAAAGTAGCAAGGTAGGAACTGAGATGTTGCTAGGCGAGGATGCAATGGAATCAAGAAGCTCTACCATGAGCTTTCTATCGTTTCCAGAAACTGAGTTGGGGTCATTCGAAGCCACTGGCTTGGCCATGTCCTCGGCGAGCGATAGCGCCAAATTTCGTGCCTCTGGGGTATACTCCTTGTGAGTCCCCTTGTAATACTGCCACATGAGAATGCACAATGAGCGATCTAGGTCGTGCATCTGCATCTCACGAGTCTCGGCTCGGAGCAATTGCACTCGCTGCATCATCTCAGGTGACTGGATACCGGACGTCTGAAGGTCAGACACCAGTTCATGCATGATGACCTCTGCTTCGTCGTTGCGACCCTGGCGGCGTAAGAATTGATAGTATATCAAGGCAACATTTGCCTTCTTGTCCATCATGTCAACGGAGTCAATATCACGGGCATTGAGCCCCGCCCAGAGACTGGAGAGAACAGTATGTGCCTGGGCGTACTGGCCTTGCTGTTCGTAAAGCTGCGCCATGTACAAAGAGTACTTGATCCGTCGCTCGTCCGTGACTCCCATTGTGCGAGTGATATTATCGTACTTCGTCCGTGCAATGTCCCGGCTCATTTCATCACTGCCGTCCGTGGAGAATTGCCCGGCCAGGAACTCTGCAGCTTCGGTGGAGTGTCTCGAATTCGTGCCGTGTTTCTCCACAATTCCGTTGTAGAATTGCTTCGATATCATAAGGCCGGATTCGTTGTCACCTTGACTCTTATACATGCCGACGAGGATGCCAAGGTACTTGAGCCGCTGATTGAAATCAACGCCGCTTATTTCAGAGTCCGTGAGAATGAGATACCTCATAATGTCTTCCTGTTGAGGAGTCATAGTGCCTCGCTCCATGAATGACTGGGTCATCATTTCGGTGCACTTGAGTGTAATCGGATCAGACTGACCCAACAGCTCTTGACTGAGTCTCCATGCCTCAGAGCAATGTTCATCGGCATAAGTAGCATGTGCATACTTCGCAACACGAGCGCTGAGAAGAACACTCTCCAGCAACGCCAAAGATTTCTCGCCGAGGACCAAGCGACGAATGTCAGTGGCAATGCGGTAGAGGTCAACAACACTCGATCGCGTGAATTGAGATTCCTTGCAAGTAAGCTCAACCCGAACAAAGAGAATACTGGTAGGAAGCAGCTTTCTGAAGCTTGAGGTGAATATGAACTCGCCATCATCAGTCACAAGGTTCGATGAGAGAAGATGGGAAAGCCAGTAACGAGCTGTGTACTCCAAGATCACGTATTTGTCAAAGAGCCGGTGGCGCTCGTCCATGCTCAGCTTGTCCATGGACACGTCCGTCTCCTCCCGTACTCGTAATTGCACCCATCCAAGGCATCGCATGAGGAGATCCAAGTGTGCCTCCTTGAGATTAAGTGGCGTTTTGACATTAGCCGATTTAGCCTTCATAATCACATGGTCGCGGATTGAAGTGTGCGCAAAGGAGACAACTCCAAAACGAGTGACAACAAGAGGCTTCAGAGCTCTTGACCATTGACTTTCATCCTGACTTTCAGTTGCTGCAAGATTTGGTCCACTGGTGTTCACCCGAAGAAGCTCTTCGACTTCCTCCACAAGTAGCGGCCGCTCGGATGCAGCCAGCCACGATAGAACAGACACAGGTTCACGCTGACTGAGGTCTAAGTTATTCAAGTGGAAGTCGAGGAGCTCTGTCATCGGTTGTGGCAAGGATTGCACAGCAGATACCGCCTCCGCCAAAGTTCGCTGCTGCTTTGCGTACTCGACAGCCATTTCAGCCCAACTGAAAGAGCCCTGTGAGCGATTCACTACAGCAGCCACGGCCGACTGCAAGTGATCACTCTTATTTGTGGTAAGCAGTGAGTTGCGGAACTTCTTGGTCACGAAAGCAACCAGATCCTGACGTGTTTGTGCAGTCTGCATAGTCGTCTGTTCGACACCTGTCGGTCGGATCTTAGAGCTAAGTGGTCTGGTGAAGACAATCATCTTAGAGCCCGCGTTCTGCTGAGAGAGGATGTTGGTGAACTTGTTCAAGACATCGGTTGCGTCGGCATCGCCAGCCTTGATCTGATCCATTCCATCAATCACAAACATAAATTTGATTGTTGAGCCCAAACCGGCATGAATTCCCTGCCAGAGATGTTCCTCGACCTCATATTCAGAGGCACCATTCATGGCCCCTTGCGCGGCATTGGCAACATGAGTTAGGATTGCCTCCTGTAGCTGTCGATCACCGACACAGTGGTCTAGCATTTGATGCAGAATTCCCTTCAAGAGCCGAAGCGTCAAGGTTGCTACCGGAATATCAGCACCTGTATTGGTCAGCCACATTCCGATGATACTCATTTCGATGTCAACACGTACGAATTGTGTATGGAATCACATTCCAAGACTCATGCTCAGATGATTCCTGCAAACGCTCGACTGTCCATTGCGCGAGGGCACTCTTTCCTGAACCTGCGTCGCCAGTCATGACTAACACTGGCGCCTTGCCGATGGAGAAATCGTACAAAGTACCGTTGAACCACTCGAAAGATCCTTCAGCGAGAGAGTGCAAGCGAGAGTCTAGAATCAGCTGAAGAGGGCGATCCTGAACACCGAGGAATTGACGTAAACTTCCGAGCTCGGGGTTGGATTTGATCAGCGAGCTTTGTTTAGCTACACGGTGAGTGGATGATTCAACGATGTTGTTCCAGTGAGTCGAGTAGCGCTTGGCATAGGTGATGAACGCAGAGTCGACGCTGTGCTCAATCAGATGGCTTGATTCTTTTGCCTTGAATCCCTCAACGACGCTGGTCGTGGTGTTGCAAACCATCTCAAGCAAATCCGCGAAGACCGCAGTAGCTTGAGGCTGAAGTTTTGTTGAATTCTTGTAGGCTGACTCGTACTGAATCAGCAGATAGAGCCCAACCGCAACGCGTCCGTACCGTCCAAAGATACTTTCAAAGAGGTCAGTATCATCCAAATCCGACTCTAGCATCACGATCATGAAGCCCCAGATGAGTTGGGAAGCTGCTTCAGCACCCGGGGCGAATGACTCGGTGGATTTGCGGAGAGCATCGACAGCGGATGCAAGCCGCGATGCCCATCGAAGGCTGCAGTCGAGTCGACTCCCATCCCGCGGCATCCATCGTAGACGCTCAGTGGCCACGGCGTCGAAGAAACCATCGACGGTGGGACTGCGCTGGCTGATCTCGCTGGTTGATGTACCTAGTTGCGTCTTACACTTTTGCGAAACTGCCTGAAGCCTGTCCTGAAGTACAGTCACCTTTGGCATACTCATGCTCAAGCCTCTTACTGCTCTGGTAGACATTGTAGTGGTGCTTGTTGTAGTTGAGCTTGGAATACTCGAGTACTGACTGCGCGAGGAGGCTTTGGCGAGACTGATTGGATCACTGCTGTCAGGAAGATCCATGACTCGGGTACCAGGCGGTGCTGGCTGAGATGGCATTGGCAGTCCCACGGGTAATCTTCGAGCGGACGAACTATGCAGACCAGTGTCGGCCGTCGATGAGGTCGATTTAGTGGGCGCAGGTCCGTGGCCAGTAGGCACTGGAGCTTCTCGGAAAGCTCCAGGCATTCCCGGCTCAGAGGAGACGCTGGTTGTTTGAGTCGCCTTGGCTGGACTCATACCAACTATGCCGGCACCACCTGCAGCTGCTACAGGAGCGTGACCTGGCAATGATTCTGCAGTCTTCTGGATTCCATCCTTGGACTTGAAGTCATTACCAGTAATGGAGGATTCGCGAGATGCCCCAGTGGCTCCATGTTGACCGGGCATAGCAGACTTTGCGGCTACTCCAGTTGCCCCGGCTGCGCCGACGAGGCCAGCTGCACCAGCAAGTCCTGTAGCTGCTGTTCCTTCTTTTCCTGACATTCTCGCGGACTGCGACCCTGCGTGCTTTGAAGTCTCACTGGCGCCACCCATGACAGCGGTGCCTCCTCGTACAATGCCGCCGTCACGAGACTTGACAATGCTGGCCTGTTTGTCTGAGCTCATGCCAAGGTTACCTGTACCGGCGGTGCTCATACCACTGAGATTGCTCATGCCGGTGGTGCTTGTACCTTTCGGGCTTATACCGCTGGTGTTCCCACCGCTAGTGTTCATACCACTGGTGTTCATACTGCCGGTGCTCATGCCGGGGGCGTCCATGCCACGGTTGGTGTTCATGCCGCTGGTGTTCATGCCGCTAGTGTTCATGCTGTTGGTGTTCATGCCGCTGGTGCTCATACCGGTGTTGCTCATACCGCTGGTGTTTATGCCAGCGTTGCTCATGCCAGTGGTGTCCACAGTATCGGTATTCATCGCCTTGGTATTCATGCCAGCTTTGTCCGTACCCGCAAGGTCAACTCCACGGTTCACTCCTAGTGCTCCAAGTGCAGCCCCAGCTCCTGCTCCAATCCCAACACCTGCTGCGGTACCCCCACTGATACCGCGGCTCTGATCCGTGGACTTCGGCTGCTGTGCATCCATCTGGGTGAATCGTTCGTCGTTGAGATTATTCTTGTTGGAGCTTCCCTGACCGGATGCACGTCGCAAAATGTTACCAAGAGGACCATTTCCGAAGGCAGCAAAGCCAGGCTTTCCTGACTTTGGGGAAGACGATTTGTCAGTCGGTGAGATGCCACCGTCGGCAGTCAAGCTACTAGAAAGCTCCTGTGGCTTCGTCTCGCTTGTTCCGTAGGCGCTGTCAGTCGAGCGTACGGCACTACCTGTGCCAGCGTCGGTCATCCCCGATCCCATTTGTTCTTGATTCAAACCTTGTTGAGCTTGATTCGAAGCGAGCGAACTCTGGGCGTCCCGATTAGATGCTTGGTCCTGACTGCTGCCAACACCGCCATGAGTGGACTGGCCAGTATCTCTTCGAACGCCTGTGGTGATGGGACCCCTCTTGATATCATCATTGTACACGAGTACTCCTGGGGTGATACTGGATCTGCGGTCACCGGCTCGGGTACCGAGTTCCTGGGCGCTCATGGCGTTGACCTGATCTCTGGCGGATGTCTCACGAGGATCATCTCCTGTGACGATACCCTGGGTGCCTGGGATCTGCGAAGTCTCCTGCTTAGCAGTCGCTGCACTGCCATGTGCGGCGTCCGAGCTGGCCATTGTAACTTGCTCTCTAGCAGTTTGAGTGTCGGGCACGCTCTTCCGACCACTGCTCATGTCTTTCTCGTAGTTTGAGCCTGGGTGACTGTTGTCGGCTTCCTTGGAGCCAATTGAAAGCCTCTTGCTCAACTTCTTGGTCAGGCGGGAGCCGAGGCTCGAGCCATGCTGCTCCGATTCACTTCTCATTTCGTTGGCAGACATGGTGTTGTTTTTTTTGGTTCGATTATTAAATTCGCAAGTAATTGACAATAATAGGAATAATTAAGGGTCGTGATAATTGATAGTCGTGTAGTTGCGTAACAGTTTAATTGGAAGTATCATACGGTCATAGATTCATTGAGTTGAGAAACTTTGCGAAGAACCTATATGAATTTGGACATTCTGCTGGTATAATAACAAGAGGTACTTCCCTACCATGTCATGGCATCATTGCTTCACGTCGGCCATGTCGGAAACATGGCAGTCATCGATAGACCGGGATCTTCTGAAGCGCCATGAACTTGCCAATGATGCACCAAGATCTTCTCTACCATCAGCCAGATCTGGAGAGATCAGGCAAATGCTCGACGAATGAGAGCCATGAGTGGCATGCCAGTTTGAGGCATGAATTGAGTCGATGATGCGAGGAAGGAAGCCTATCCATCGGTGAGGGGAGACGGGTGGAGAAAAGTGACACCTTGAGTCGATATACTTGTTTCGAAGCTTGTGAGTCAAAGATGTCTCATCTCATATGAAGACAGTATGACCCATCCGTAAATGCGTCGAGGTGTGACTGGCTAAAGCCCAATCTTTCACGCTTTCGGAAGCTCCGTCTTGTCAGTCAAGCTGGGCCACAGCTCACGAACCTCCGTAGCTTGTCTAGGCCGTCTTTCAGCTCTTCTGTCATGGTTAATTGTGGGGTCAGCCTCGAACTTTCCATGAAAGGGCTGGATCTTTGGCATGGGGTGTAAGGAAGGGAGGTCCTTATTCACCCAAACCACGGAGCCTCAAAGTGACGCGAAGACTTGTCCCAAGTACTGAGAGTCGGAGCTCCCATGAAGGTCATAGCTCGCGTCTAGGCTGTATACTAACTCTTCGTCAGCACGCACACAAAGGACGGCCTCTTCCCCTCTCGATCTGGACCATATCTTTCTTGCTTCGGCCCTTGATCAGCGCACGCTGTCCATATTTCAGCACTCACTGAGAGGCTGTGACCCGTGGATTCCGCGAAAGATGAAGTCATGGCGACTTGCGTGGGCCAGGTCTGGTTCAGTTCCGAGAGTTCCGGGAGTGAAGAGTGCGGTCTCCATGAAGTAATAATCCCACTGCTGGCTGAATTGGGATGCCTGTCCTTGAATTGCTGCAGAAGATCACTCCGAAAGTCATGACGAAGAGATCAACATCGCAGGACAAATGCTGGGGGAAGTAGTCACGGTCGCGTGACGGAAGCTGGGGAGGAGCCACAGTCGATCGTGCAGCGTTTCGGCCCCAGCTCGGCCAGCGGGTCTCAAAGTGGACCTCAATGGCTTGTGGCGTGCATGAGACATCGCACACGGAGCCATGGTCCTCTCAGCTCTGTCTGCTCTGAACTACACGCATCTATTATATCGAGTGATTCGGGCGGTTGTTCCATGAACAATCGAATTGACTGGATTTGAGCATGCTTGGAGTAAAGACGACCATCTTTTCTCTGTTCAGTGTGTCTGTGTTGAGCTCGACCCTGGACGGCTCTGGACGTCAAGGGATGTGCCCACTGCCCACTAGAGTTTGACTTGATCGTGAAGGTCCTTGCCGGTAGAGGCTCTTCAGAAGTTCAGAGTCAATCCATAACCGTCATCTTCATTGGCAAGATATGTTCCATCCACACAGGTAGGTAAGGATTGACACCTATCGATACACTGATGCAAGTGTGCAGGTTCTCCCTCTCAACTTCCAGGTCGAATGGACTCGGCACAGAACGAGCAACTCCTATCAAATGGATATATATTACTCAGAAACGTTAAAGAACGAGCCCTCCTAACTTGATCACCACCTACCCGTTTCTGTAACTAGGTGGTTATTTCCGTGAGCGACTCCAGGCCTGATAATAGAGTCAATAAATGTCCTCTCTCAGGTTGCCACCGAACAATGAATAAACGTGGTAGAGTAACCACTAACCACATGTGAACATCGACATTGTACCTATCTATTTCCACCTTCTCCCCTTTTCCCTCCCAATAGATTGCCGACCTTGAATCCATTTACAATCTGGCTTAGGTGGTGTCTTCTGAAATTCGAAAATGACGGACACCAGCGGTAGCCTTGTACCTAAGGTAGACTGAGGTGTGTTGGATCAGCTCGATGATGAATTAGATAAAGAGCGCAGATGGTGGTTGTGATGTAGAAAACGAGAGAATGGATCCGGTTAATATCAATCGTGAGGCGCGTGCATCACTGTGCAGTGATATAGTCACACCAACTCCAAGTCTTGACCATATTCAGACAGTAGATGAAGCTTGATCTTGGGCGCGAAATCTGACATAATCTACGACGTTCAGTCGAGCAGCCTCGCAATGGTTAAACTGTTTCGATGAGGCCCGTATCATAGAGCCAGGCTGTCAGAATGCATGAATGGGTGATGTCTACAAGGTCCACTGGAAGAGTGTGACGTTCGGCCTGGAAGTTGGTCACACTTCGAGGATCATCTCATACTGGGAGTTGGATGAGTGACAGGAGCGATTGTATACGGCCCGGCAACTCTGTAATGCATGTGAGAAGTCATGGATGCCGGGAGTGATTACTTCAAATCATCGAGGGACTGTGTTCGAAATCAGACCAAGAAAAGACAGGAAGGTATCATGGTGCCGTAAGATCAAGGAAAAGACGGTCCACGATTCTCCTTGTGGCTTATCAATATGGGAGATCCCCGAACAAAGCTCCATTTCTGGATTTGGAAATGAAAATGCATGGAATAGCCTATGTACGAGGTAAAGCAAGCGTTCACGGCTCGACTGGACGTTTTAACCAGCCGACCAACAACCAAATTCGTGGAGACAATCCTCCACCTTCAGGCTGGAGGAATCCCAGCACCCATTTCCCCGAACATCCTGTCTTTTTTCAAACCGACTCGGTTGCCGAAAAAAAATTCAAGTGAAAGCGAAGCATGATATCATCCGTACAAGTAGCCAGCCGTTATCTGGTAAAGCACCTTCGTTCGATTGGAAGACGTGATGGGAGTGGTCGAGTTTCGCGAGGAATGTTGTTTCAAACATCGATCAGGTCTCGACGCTCCTTCACGGCTCGGGGTTTTCTTTTATCGACGAGTGGCAATTTATGAGCCGGGGTTGGGGTTCATCTAGAGAGTGGTCATTCATGTCAGCTTGGTGTCGATCTCGATGAAGAGTTGTCGAGTAAGAGTATGACGGGAAATATGGTTTCGAAAGCAGTTCGGCTTGTGATGTGAGAGTGCAGATTTTGTGCGAAGGATGGTTGGAAAATTCGAAGAGTATGTACCTTGCGCTTGCCACCGGTCATGGTAACGTTGACGAAACGGCGGGTGTACAAGATGCGCTTGTAGGCACGGCCCTTGGGCTTCTTGGCCTTCTCCTGGGGCTCAACCTGTTCTCGAAATCTCTCGTTAGGATGTGTTGCGACGATGTGAAGCGATGACCTGGCGATGGAGCAGACGCTCGCGACACATGTGTGCCGCGGATGTCTCGTCGAGGTGGCGCTGGGAGTCTTCGAAGGGTTTACTTGCCTTGGGAGTGGCAGCCTTGACCTTACCGGCACGGGCGAGAGATCCGTGAACCTTACCCATGTTGGATGATTGTTGACGATGGTGGTGGTGATGCGAAGTGTTGAAAATGGACGAAACGAGTCTTTCGATGTAGTGAGGAGTGCAAAATTGGAAGTGTGTCCTGAGTGGGGCGGCTTAGCGAGGCCACCGAAAGGCTTTCTGACCAGGGAAGTTTCTCCGGTTGCGTGATGAGTCATCCATCCCAACCGGGCACCGCATTCGCCGTCCTTCTGCCTGAGGTATCTAACTGACTCCAGAAGATACCAGAGATGCAGGAAATGGAGGAAATTCGAGATCCGGGGTGGGTCATCTCATAGTTCCAAGTCGTGGCTAGCCCGAGTCCTTGACAGGCGGAACGACTGGCTTCCACGTAGAAGCGTGCAAGCAGTGTTTCGATATGGCTGGGATGTCTGACCCACGCTTTCCAATGCTCGTTGCTCTTTCATACCACTTACCTCACTCGCAGGTTCCGGAGCAAGAACATAGACAGAGCACAATATGGATTGTACGCAATACAACTGTACCTACACCTCGACGGGCACTTGTAGATTTGAAGTCGTTTGGTATTGGAGTTCCATCGGCTATGCGATCGGCCCAGGGATATCCTCAACTTAAGAACACGTCTTCTCCAACCTCCTTTAAATATTCTTTTCCTCCGGGCTCGACGCAAGTTGACTACCAGCCTACTAGAGTTAGCATTGACTGAGCAACAAGCCAGACTTCGAAGGATTGACAGGAGCATGGACGTAAGTTCAGTTTCAAAGCAGTGGTACACGACCGGAGAGTGGGAGACTCTTCAAGCGATTCATCTCGATTCTTTCTATGTCAGGGAGACTATGTGCGCTCCGCACTGATGCACGTTTGAGGTAGCGTAGATTCAATTCAAATTCTGCCCTAATGCATTTCAGCTGGAGACGCTAATGTGAGCCGCGCTTCCCAATATCATACACTGACGAGCGCTGGCACGAACACTAAGCAGCTTTGCCTTTTGCAGCAGCTTCTTCTCGTTCCCTCTTTCTCGCCAGATAGCGTTCCTTTGCGCTGGAGACATCGGTCGCTGTTTTTCGGCTGCGAACCTTCTCCGCGATCTCTTTTTGCCGTAAGGCCTCGGCCTCTTCGTCCCTCCTGGCTTGCTCTTCTAGTTGCTGAGCAATCATCTCGGTTTGACGGGTTCGTTGAGCAGCACGGCCAGTCTGATGTCCAGCATGGATGCCACTTGGTCGCCCACCTCCAGATCGCACCTCTGCAGCTCTCTGGGTAGATGGTGCGGCCTTGGGCTTCGGCGCTACATTCAATCCAGCTGACAATAGCTGGCGCTTATCGACCACTTGGCCCTCATCGTTGATAGCAATCCGTGCACCACGGGCCTTGAGCTCCTCCGCAATCTGTGCCTCGGACTTTTCGTCAGAGGCTTTCGTCTCGTCTTCAACGGCCTCCCCAGCTTTGACCCGACGCGCAGCTTCTTCGGCAGCCTTCACGGCCTCTTCGTGCTGAGCCTCACCGCGGGAGAGGACGTCCCGGTAGAAACCAACCATGCCCACGCCACCATTCTTCTTGCGCCGCTCTTCTTCCTCCAATTCACGGCGCTTCTCTTCCTCTTCCATCTTCCGTAGCTCTTCTTGCTGCGCCTTGTACGCACCCGTGACGAAGCTCTCCTTATCCGCAAACTCATCACCCTCGGCTTCGCGCTCCTTCGCCAGTTGGCGGTCGCGAGCACGGGTCTGATCACGCTTTCGTATCTCGGCGCTGCGAAGCAGATTCGTCATATACTTCGGCGCTTCGCTTTTGTTGACTGTCGCCGTCTTGTTCGACTTGCTGTGTAGACTGTCATAGACGGCATCGTAGGAGTATATTGAGGGGTCGAGCTCTTCGGCTTCTTTGGAATGTTTCTTGCTGCTGTGTAATGCCGACAGATTGGTTAAGTCGTTTTCTGGGCCGCTAGTCGTCTTCTTCTTCTTCGACTGTGGCTCATTCAAGCCAAATTGGACCTCTTCTTGACGCTGCTTCTCTCTGGCTTCCTCCTCCTCTTCGTCATTGTCGAACAGAGAAGGCTTCTTCAATGGCTTTGGAGCCGATTTGGCAGTGAATCCCAACTGCATCTTGGGCTTCGGAGGTGGTCCGCCATTCGTGAATTGTGTTGAAAGTTGAGGCGATGCATCTAGTCCACCAATTGTCGATACCTCGATTGTGCCATCTTGAGCCTCGCCTTCGTCTGCGGAATCGTCATCGAAGATATTCTTTTTGCGCTTCTCGCCCGGTTTCAATCCGGCCGATTGCTTGATGGCCATGTTGAGACCGGCCGAGAATGGGCGCGCCATCTGAACCGAATTTTGGGGAAGATATCACGGAAGCGATTCAATATTGTAAGGTGCGCGTTTCCAGTGGACTCTTATCAGTCCGTTCAGGCTCCTTTGTAGCTGTGGAGTATAAAGATCAGAAGCCGAATATTGCGATAATGCGATAACAGGCCGATCTTGTTATCAGTACGTCATGTGACTGATTCCGGGGAACTCTGACGAGGGCCTGCCGTGCAGGGCATGCGGAGGGCGGTCCAGGGTTGGTCGGTCGGAGCTCCTTTGATCATCCACGTGATTGACTCGGCGTGAGCTCCGCGGCGGAGGGACCCATTAGATTACAGAGTGCCTCCCTCAAGCAGCAGCACGGTACATGATTACTGAGAAGCAAAACCGCCAATTTCAATCCAACATCATGTCTTACTACTTCACTATCCTCTCTCCGACTGACACACCAGTCTTTAACATTGCCTTTGGCACTTCCAAAAGCGGTGGTGATGGCATTGCGCGGTTTCGCTTTCCAGACACAGCGCAATATATGAATCAATTCATCATACATTCCAGTCTGGACATTGTTGAGGAAGCCCAGTGGACCAATGGCGCTATGTATGACACTCTCCTAACAAATATTGTACCAACTACGTACTCAAAAGCATCAACCCTACAAATACTGATCCCATCTCTCCAGGTACCTGAAACATGTCGACACATATCCTCCAGCCGCGGCATACATCTCCGCGTTTTTGACTCCTAGTGGCGTGCGATTTCTCCTCCTTCATCAGCCTCCCCAACTTTCAAACTCTGGCGGCAGCAGTGGATTCGGTGCATCATCTATCCTGGGATCATCCAGCAACCTTGCCCGGGGCTCAACCAGCTCGATTGCTGCAAATCCGACCTCTCCCCAGACGGAAGAGGCTGTCCGACAATTCATGACCGAAGTCTACGAGAACTACGTCAAGACGGCGATGAGTCCATTTTACAAGCAAGGAGCCGAAATCCGTAGTCCTGTCTTTCGAACGCGGGTCACGGCTGCAGGGAAAAAGTGGCTCTGAGGTGCGCTGAAAGAACTGCTTCGCTACGAAAACGTCTGACTAGCGTGGCGTTCACGGCTTGCGTTCTTTGAAAAAGATTCCTGCAATTTGTCGTGTTTCGAGACGCTGTCGCTCTCAAAACGCAGCGATGATTTGCACCCCTCTCAATGATACCCCAAACTCTGAATCATTTCATCTATATTCGAATCATTTTATCTATATTCAGTCCCCTTTTCTGCGTAATACTGAGTCACCTATCATACCAGCAGAAGTCAAACACCTACCAAATAATCGCTAAAAATCCGAAATCGACTAGTATTCTCCGCTGGAGATAACTAGGAAATGCAAAACGCCTTAGAAACCTAGACCGTGGAAAAGTGTGCCAACGCCTTCGCCATGAATCGTCAATGCATCGCTAAGGGGGCTCGTTACCGGAGGGATAATCCATCAGTAACTTTTCCCAGTCGCCATCGGGAAGTTCAACACCTGGTTCAGCCTGTGGTTTGCGGAACCTGCTTCTTCGACGCGACGGCCTTGAAATTCTCAACGGCCTGAACTACGTCTTCAAGTCGGCCCACTGATCCAAAGATTCCGCCCTCCATTTTGACCGAGTCCATTGTGGAGGTGTGCAGAGAAGCCTCGGCTGCGGCTGTGCCATCGTCCAACAACAGACAATCGAATCCTCGGTCGTTGGCCTCGCGCATGGTCGTTGAGACGCACACGTCCGTCGTGACGCCCGCAATAATCAGATTCTTGATGCCCTTGTTGCGGAGGAGAAGTTCAAAATCGGTGTACGTAAAAGCCCCGCGCCCTGGCTTGTCGATAACAGGCTCATCGGGGAGAGGGCGTAGTTCGTCGACAATATCGTGACCCATTTCGCCCCGGACAAGCAGACGACCCATGGGACCTTGCGAGCCGATCCCGAGACCAGTGGCGTTGTTGCGGGAACGATACGCTTCGCGACTCGATAGCGTGGATAAATCTGGCCGATGACCTGTTTAAAGAAGATGTGTGAGTGATTCGCATGTAAATAGCGGCAAGGGAAGCGGGCAACATTGTGAGGAGATCCGATATACTTACCCTCCCGAGTATGATAAATGGGAAACCCGGCAGATCGAAACGTGTCGAGGATGCGTTGCAATCGAGGTATGAGAGCCTGAGCCGGAGAAATATCGTAGCCCTGGTAGTGCATGTAACCACCAATAGCGCAGACTAATCTCCACACAAGGAGTCGTTAGCGGTGGGCTCTTGTACCTGGTACCAGTCCGATGGTGGGCTTCTTGATGGCTCGAACCTACAGTCCTTTTGCATGTCTATGATCACGAGGGCAGTGGTGTAGGGGGAAAAGGAACAATCGTGAGGCCAGTCATACGGCGCGGCAGACAATTGGCCCTTTCGCACTTTGTGATGAGGCGGCTGGCGAGGCTTTTCCGTGATCGGCCCATGATTGTGAGTCGGGTTCAAGACGGTCAAGGTCCAAATACCCGGAGAGCCAGCTGCGACGAGCATAAAGGGACAGTCCATGAGACGAGACGTGCGGCGGCGTTTTCGAGTTTCCTCGGTCAGGCCATTTCGAGGACGATAATGTCCACCACGGTCGCATCGCAACCACACTTTCGCCGTTCGACCTGGTTTCTTCTCTGTGGGTGTGCTGGATGATTTGACCACGACATTGTAGCCGTGGGCTTTTCCGTGATTTTGAACGGCCGTGAGGAGGGAGTTTCTATACCCAATCTCCATTAGTATTTGGGTGTCTTGCGGTGGAAGGGACGGAATGGGTATCATTTACTTGTCTGGATATGTGCTCTCGGGTGGGGGAATCAATTGCATGGCCAAGTCAGGAATGTCCTGAAGGTCACTGGGCGCGTCCAGGTTCAAGTCAGATGGGTCCGCCATGCCGGCAGATCTGGGTCGGTCCAGGATCTCCGACGATGATCTGTCAATGGAGAATGACGTGAGCATCACTTCCACATATTTGTGGTTCTTCACGGTGGGCTCTTTGTCTTGTACGTGGGAATTCCGAAGGTGAAGCTAGGTCGAGCATAGACAGGTGCGTGGAAGCAACGTCCGTGGGCTCCCAGTCGCGGAAATCCCTGTGCGTGGGAATAGCTCTCGCCGGCAGTATGGGAAGAAGGCGTGAAGACAGACGAGAATACCACGTGATAGACGCCTTGCAGACGTGGGCTCGATGCATGTAGTGTGTACACGCAGAGACCCCGGAGATAGAATCGACTTACACGTCAAAAGGGAAGGTTAGCCGTTGACGGCCAGCTTGGGATGATATGAGATTACCCCAGAAACACAGCTCCGATCATGCCTGGAGCCATAGACATCTCGCGGCTGATTAGAACAATCTAATCGCTTGGTCGGAGTTTAGACGGCGGATCTGTCCCGAGCGGTCAGACCAACCAGATCGAGTAGGTCACGTGGACCTTGGATGATCACCACCGGTGCGATAGCATTCCGCCGCAGACGAGGCTGGGCTTAGGGCTTGATAAGGAACAACAGATGCGCAACCCAGGCCATGATTGATATCACCGTTCAAGCATCTCGAATCAAGTCAAGTCAGGTCAAGTCAGATCAGGATCCTGAAGAGGGCTGTCTGACTGCGGCTCTAGTCACCCTTTGCGACTTGCGTCGCAAAGGGTCTTACGGTAGCGGTAGCCGACCTCTCGTTGAGTTCAGTCAAGAAATCTGGAGCGCCAGAAGCTGTGCCTGGACTCCGATGCACTCTTGAAAGAACTGCAGTGCGGCATGCTGCCATGAGTAAGTGGGATGCTGGGTACGCCGCCATCTTGGCAACACATTCCGACGGGCCAGGCCCGCTCGGTCCGGGGCTGGTTGAGAATGACCTCTCGTGGTCAAGAAAGAGTCTGACTGAGCGAGGACGGAACCTGCTTCAGTGCAGGTCGATTCATTCCTGAGTTCTACCTTCATTCACAAGCCATGTCGGGACTATGAGGGCGTAGACTGTGGGAGAAGTGGACCCTCAGCTGTAGTTCAGCAGGCAACCCGGCGAACATCAGAGACCGTTGTGAGGTACTGGGCCGCTATTCACCAGGAATCTTAGGGCAAGTAAGTACTTCAAATGGTGATATTAGTGGAATACGCACGGAATGGATTCTTGTGTCAAGCTTGGAAGGCATGCAACTCACCATTGATGCAGCTCTGGCTCTCAATTTAGGCCTTGACGAAGCTTTGAGGTCCCGGTCGATGAGTATTTGAAGCTCGTTGGCGTACGTAGCTAGTTCGGTCGGTGGGGAAATACCCGGCTCTGGAAGCTTGAGAATCCAAAATATATTCAACGTCACGTACTAAGGACCTGCGGGCGATACGGTTGCTGCGGCGTGACTGCACGTCTGATACACATGAAATGGCAACCACCGGGCAATATTAATCAATCCATGATTGAGTTTATCTGGAACCTAGGTGCTGCAGTGGACATTCTTGTGTAGTACATCTACCCAAAAAGTTGAACCTAGGACTGAAGGTCCCACTGATTTCCGCACGTGTCCGGCCTGTCTAAAGATGGTTGATTGTTACTTTACAACTCGAACTTGAAAGGGTCCGACTTTGGGTGCATCGCGTGTCACTGTTCATAGTCCATGGCGATTTACTAGGCTCAGGTAGGTGAATCAATGGTTTAAAAAAACGCGCGTCTATGGCCGGTGCTTGAACAGATGACATTAGATGCTGCAAGAACAAGTTCACAAACCTAGTAGATTATTCGAATCTTTCAATGTGACAATGAAGCTATGAACAACTCAGGCAAAATCCACGGGCGCCCACAAATTAGTAGTACTGAAACATCAGACGGCTGACGGCGGCAACGTGAAAGTTTCATTCTTGGAGACACACCTCAGCGAAAGTCGTATATTGTTACATGACTCGGGGGACTGCTCTTACAGAAGATTCTAATGCCTAGACCATATTGCTTTGACTCAATAATATAGAAGAAGATTGCAATAAACTACCGGAGGCGGTGGACTCCCTCGTGCAGCAGAGCCAACATCAGATGCATGTGACGAGCCGCTGGGCAGCTCTGGGTAGCTCTGGGCAGCTCTGGGCGGTGAGGGGCACCTGATGAGTCTGTCCCAAAGCAGGATAGCGGCCTGTTGCCCGCCCCTGACAACCGCAACGCAACATCAACACTCCTCGTCCGATCGAGTCGATACCGCGCCGCTTTGCGAGTAATCACCTTCCACCGGAGAGTCGTGCGATCACTTCATTTGCGGCCTCTTACCGCAAGGTAAGGCTCGTCTGGTAAGTGTCGCTTTGCGCCATTTCGCGGCCTCGTCCCTGGCATTTACTGCCTTGCTCTCTCGGTGGAGGGTGCTGCACGAACAACTTCTGGAGCGCCCTGCGTCACCGCCTCGCTGAGGGGCTCTTATCAACAAACGCCCAGGGTCGCTGGCGTTGAAAAGCCAGCCACTACCAGCTCATGTTTTTAGCTCCAACGGCTCAGATCTAGAAGTCTAAGCTCTCTATTCACTACAGACTAGCTTTGCGCTGGTGATTCATTGTTTCTAGCCGCCGGTGTTCCTGATTCTTGACTTGCGGCCCGTCCGGTGCCCAACGCGGTAGCAAAGATGCCCGCCGTCGATGATTCACCCTCCAAGGGCCAGGGCGCCAACAGCCCTGCAGAGTACACAATCGAGTGGTATAAGGCGCAATATGAATCGATTCAGGAGGAGCTACAAGATTTCCAGCTTTCCAGCACCGAGTTGGAGGCGGAGATGGAGAAGGAAATGGAGGATAAGGAGAAGCGAGAGCGACAGTTGCGGGAGAAGGTGGATAACCTGCGCTATGAGGTAGACGAGTGGAAGGTTCGTGCCTATTCCTCTAGAAGACTGTCGCTAGAGAAAGGCGACCAAGCCTTGCAAATAAGATGCGAATGCTAATTCATTTGAAACGCAGACCAAATACAAGCAATCCAAGACCGAAGCCAATAACGCACAGAATACCCTCCAGAAGGAGATCACTTCTTTGCGCGACACTAATCGCACGCTACAGTTGAAGCTGCGTGATATCGAAGTTGCGAATGACGACTATGAGCGCCAAGCCCGCAACACGACTTCGTCCCTGGAGGACCTAGAGTCTAAGTACAACGTCGCGATCGAGCGAGGAGTTCTGTTGGAAGAGGAAATCAGAAGTGGAGAACTCGAGCGAGAGAATCTGCGGATCGACAATCAGCGCTTGCGAGACGAGCTCTCGGATCTGAAGGTTGAGGCCGAGATTGTTCAAGAGAAGTTGCGCAATAGCGAGGGTCTGGGCTATCGTCGTCGCAAGCCCACGCCCTTGTACCGCAGCCCTTCCACCCCGCAACCGCTGGGAATCTTCGATCGTTCGCCTGGTGGTGCGGATACTTCTCCCCCGTATTCGCGACTCCTCCGGCCAAGTCGACGCTAGCAGCCTCAACTGCAACTCCGCCCTCCCCGCCCATTTCGGAAGCCTCCGCCAACTTTCGCAGGTCTTTCAATGCTACCCCTACGTTTCCTCGCACAAGAGCGACTGGTGCGGAACCAGTCAATTCTCGCACCATCCATAACGCCCGAACCCAGCCGACTCGGCCAGCCCCGCACTCCCGCGCTTCCTCTCTTGCATTTAGCACAAGTAGCTACAGCAACACTGCTCGTCCCACCCCGTCCGTACCGTATGCTTCCCGAAACAGTCTGTCTCGGTCGACAACATCACGTCCTCCTGCACTGCCCAAATCTGGCTCCCTCTACCAGATTCGCGGACTCATCGGAAAGATGCAGAAGTTGGAGGAACGTGTCCAGTCGGCCCGATCTCGTCTGCCTGCACCCTCAGAAACCTCTTCCCGAGGATCGCCTCGCTCTCGCCAAGGCTCGGTCATGGGGGAGAGCCCAGTTCCGTCCTCCGTTCATGGTCAGAGGAACAACCGCAATCGCATGAGCGGCAGTAGCTATGGCTCGTCTGTGCGAGACAGCGAAGGCAATCCGTCCCATCCCTCACAGGGCCGCCAGTCAGGTGGGACTCGCACTGGCGATAGCCGACCAAGTAGTCGAACGAGTTACTCGAGCCGTGGCTCTTTCAGTCAAAGCGTGCACTCTGGTGTTCCTCCGCTTGGACGTCCTGAGAGTCGGCAAAGCCGTCCTGGTGCCAAGACACCGCTTGGCCACTACTCCACAAATCCGCTCACGGAGGCTCGCCGGCCACGATCCTCCCTGAGCAACCATAATGGACAGACTCCATCCGTGGGCAGTATGTCCAACATTGATGAAGACCATGACCTCCCGACGCCGATTGTGTCTCGCCTTCCTAATGACGTGAGGCGACCTTCGATCTCGGCCAACGTGAGCGGGATCAAGAAGCGTACGACAAGCGGCATGTCCGCCATTCCGACACCTCGCAGTTTCAAGACCAGCATTGGTCCCGGAACAATGCCTCCGCCCCTGACACGAAAACAGACTGATCTGGGGGAGACGTTCTGAATTGTTCTTGACGGCATAAATTCTCCTCTGGCTTTTCCTTCCATGCGAACGGAAGGGAGAAATCATAAGGGATCAATGGCTGATGGTCTACCATCGCGGAAGATGACCGCTGTTTCTTGATCTGTTTTTCTCTTTGGCGAAAAGGCATTTGGTTTGGATCTATCCATCTCTAGTCGTATCATTTTCTGTGCACCGTCAACGCCACCTGGATTGTGGTATGATCGGTTCACTCCTTGGCCCTTGGTTTGCATTTTTTTTTGTACAGACCTGCGATTTTTCCGGCGCCACCTTGGTGTGGTAGATTGTCTCATTCGCCTGTTCTTGCTCACTGGCCTGATTACCCGCCTGGACCAGTGGGGGCCTTTTATATTGCACCCAATTTCTCGAGTGCAAGTTTCCGCCTTTTAACCCTTCGCAGCACACACCACTCCCTTGACCTTGGTGCGCCATGGCCTCTCGATCAGAGCTGCTGAGGGGTCGTCCTAAGCTGTGTCTCAGCATTCAATTTTTTTTTCTTCGACTTGGTCTTTGCGAACTCATCGCGAGGCGTTCTTCCAATACCCACAATGCCTTTTGATTGCACTGAATAGTTTTGTTCCCCGTTACTCGTAGGCTCGCTCAGAGGAGGGTTAACAATGTGAGTAGAACATAGATAGATAATGGAGTGGCTTCTCACTCCTGACAAGCATGACATCGCAGGCCAAGACCTTCCATGATCGAGAGTGGTCTCCCCGCACTTCCCGCCCCAGTTGTAATTCAGAAAGTTTGTGTGGAACTGTGATCGAGGTATTTGCCTTTTACCAAAGACATTGCCCGCGTTGATAGACTGAGCTTGGATGTTGTAGACCGACCCACCCACCTTAGGAACCTAGTGATAGTGGGCCTTGCGGTCTTCAAAAGTACTCAAGGACCTTCGATACTGCCTATTCCACCGTTTTCTGGTCAAGGAAGCCTGTTGATGCACGACTCGCTTGCAGCTTGCTCTAAGTATTACAACGGATACAACCTATATAGTTATTAGGATACCAGTAGTCGCCTGCTTGACCTACATACAGTACATATACGAATTTCCTGTTTTCTACTTCTTTCTCTCCCTCTTCGAGATTCCATTGGCCGCAGCAAAGGGACAAGGTGACTCAATTTCATTATCTATTCCGCCGAATCATATGAGTTTCTCCTGTAAGTACTGTGCTGGCAAGTCGTATGAAATGATGAATGATGAAGAGTGTGCCCTTGTTTATCGCCAGTCCTGGCGGCAGAATCCAAAAAGAATTATGCCTGGTGGGACCTCGAGTGGTTGCCGCTGGTCCGTGCGCCGCCATTTCTCAACACTTTGCCGGTCGGCATGAACACCGACGTCATCCACTCGACCGAATGCGGCAGTTCGTTGGTGCTGGGCATCCACGGTACCACGCTGAGAGTGGGCACTTGGGCAGGTCCAGTAGTAGGACTGTACATCGAGAACAACAAACAGATGTCCATGATCAGTGGCAGGATACCTACTAAAGTAGGATGTAATCTTCAATTCTGATCCAGGTACCAGTATCTCAGTCTACCGTCCAGATGATGATCTAGAAGTTCGTAATTCCGCTGCACAGCCCGCAGTGGGGTACTTGAAGCTTTGAGCCATTCAGATGAAGCATCGTAGTACCTATTGAAGTATACACCTCACTTGATACCTAGTGACTGCCTAGGACGCCACCAAGGTCTTTTTGGAAATATTTCCTCTTCCCTATGCGTATCGATGACGCACTCAATCTTGTACAGTCGAGCAATATGTCCATCACGAACTTTGGAGACGTGAATCCACGACTGGGTTCACTGTTCAGTGCCGGCACCTACTAGTACTGCTCACTTGACTCGAACAGTTGATTATGTAAGGCGGAGAGATGAACGATGACCTCGATGGAAGTTTGGCGAATCTCACATGAACCACCTACCTAGGTTCCTTATCCTCCGGGATAAGATGAAGCCTACTGTCAAGGTTCCTCTTCAATTGTGTGTACTTATTTGGGGCCTCTTATCTTATGTGGTTCTTGAATGTGGCGAACAATTCGATCTATGGTCACTGTGACCTTGAATCGAGTCCGGGCGTGCCCGACTCGACAGAATATCTCGACGTGGCTTTGCAATCCCGAGGAATGTGGGAAATCCAGAAGCCAGCTGGTCTTGACTTCCCATTCTACTACCGTCTGAGTCGGGGTCATCTGATCGGTAGGTAGTACCTTACGTAGGTACTTATGCCTAGGTCGGTAGGTCTCATTCAGACTGGGAAATGTTCTCAATCGAGTACGAGTAGTCTGCAATGTTCTCCGAAGCCGGGATCTGGCTATCTTCTGATTTTCATAGAAGTGCCGTATGCTGGAATCCTTTATGCGCGCAACTACCTTCAGTCGTGCAGGATACAGGTATTGTGAATGTGACATCCTACTTTGGACAGCGGTATCAATCTCATCCAGACCGCGAGGCTTTGTCGGACCTTGTAGTACGAGATCCGAACGGGTCGGTGTCCGAGCTCCATGGGGCTAGAGGATCGGATCGGAACTGGACTCGGGAGGGTCACAGCTGCAGTTGGGGACAATTGTAGCCGTCAGGTTGGATCATGTCAGGAGTGAGAATCCATGAGCGAACTACTGGAGGTAAAGATTCATGTATCATCTATCTCGTAGCGAGAAGGATGGTACTGTACTGCAGCGGGATGGTTAGGTACCTGTCACCTGCAGCAGTCTTGGGGTAGATACACGGAGGAGGTAATGGTCTCCCTCAATATGAAGAATCAGTACTTTGTGTACTCCACACTCTATAGTATAGAGTCTATACTCTCTATACCTATCTATGGTCTATACTCTATACTCTATACTCTATACTCTATAGTTTATACTCTATAATCTATACAGTGTACTCAGTATACTGTATGGACGATGGGAAAGGGGTGTTTTCAATCATGCCGGCATGCATAGACGGTGGAGGACTCTCAGGCGGAAGTCGATGGAACCTTGGAAGTCATTGGCGACAGGTACGAAATGTTCGTATCCCCCATGTTCATCGACCAGAGTTCGGCAACCGCCATCCTCACATCCTCTCTTACCCGATCAGGACGCAGGGCGGGGGGAGGATGTGTGATTGGGTTTTGCGCGTGCCAAATGATCAAATTTGGCGTGGACAGGGTGGGAACTGCCACCGTCGTGGGACATCGTGGGACATCGTGGGACATCGTGGGACCGGGAGGGATAAGCGTTGGATGAGTGTCCCTTCTTCGCAGGTGCCCTCACGCTGATTGTTGCACGGCGGGACTGGAAAAAGTGGACCCGGCCCAACAATCGAGCAGTCCATGTTGGGGGACAGGTACCTCCCCACCCATTGTTCTATGCACCGGTACCTGACCTCCTGGCCCAGGGACCCCCGACTCCCGACTCGGTGGGACATCCTCCTCATCAAATTTCTGGGAGGTCCATCCATCTTCCATTGAAGGTGAAGATGCAAAGAGAGAGAGAGAGAGAGAGAGAGAGAGATGCACCCTTGGGGGCTCATTGGCAAAGAATCCAGAAAATAATATATTCCCAGTCGCTCGTCCAATTTGGCATCCGTCCGACTGCACTCGTAGACCTTTCCTCTCCTCTTCTCTTCCTCACCCCTCCCCTACTCGTCGAGCCGTCACTGTCACGCACCTCTTTGGGAAGTCATTGATGCGCATTGGGAGACGTCTTGGTAAGTGCCTACCTAGTACCTGCCCAGTTCATGCTCATTTTTCCTCTCCATGCCCCGATCGGTGGCGTGCAAAACTCCCCCTCTCTGCTGCCTCAAGCTCGCGATGGGCTCCCATGCAACCGTGCTGCTCCATGCCTGTTTTCCTGCGGCCTGTTTCCTCTCCCGTCAAGGTGTTTGTTGGTGTAGTCCGCAAACGCTCAAGAGCTCTCGGCCCGCGCAGTAGGGCCCGCGCTAAACGGACGCCGCATCGGGAGATCTCAAGGGCCGCATCTGCACCATCAGCAAAATTGCTGACAAGGTCGAGCCTGCACCGAGAATCTGGTGACGCTATCAGGAATGCAGGGTGACAACGTGGTTGACAATGGGAGCGCCGTTTGAGGGCGAGACCGCGCAGAAACCGAAGAAGACAGCACCTGGGCTAAAGAAAGAAGAAAAAAAGCGAGAAGAAAAAACCCAAAAAAACAAAAGCCTGGACTGTACGAAACTAACTGGGACTCTTTTTTTTGTTGGATGCAGATCGGACCAACCATTGCCAATCATAAAGAATAGACTCGGAGACCCCAACCGCAGTCTTCTTCTTTTCTTCCTCTCTTCTTCCTCTTCTTCCTCGTCTTCCTTCCGATTCTCGCCCATCACGCGCTATTGGGCTTATTTGGCAATTCCTCTTCGCCACTGCTGTACACTACCGCCCTTCTCCCTCCCTCCCTCTCTCTCTCTCTCTCTCTCTCTCTCTTCCCCCCCTTACAGACGACTCGTCCGGCCCTCAGGACCAGCCTTAATTCCTCCGGACCTAGAGATTTCCTCACCTCTAGCCTCCCGAGCCCGACATCATTGATCACTCGGCCATCGTTTCCCGTCTCCGAGTGACTGTCACAATTTCCTGACCCCCACTATATCCTCCCCAACAACTCGGTTTCCGGTCCTAATATTCTCCCTCTTCACCCATCCTCACACACGCCATCATGGGTGCTCCCAACGGTACTGCGCCTGTCAATGGCCACGGCAGCTCCGACACCGCCAAGTACAATCTCCCTTCACATTTCATCGGTGGTAACCACCTCGACGTAGCAGCGCCAAGCTCCGTCAAGGACTTTGTCGCCCGCCATGGCGGTCACTCCGTCATTACCTCGGTGAGTGCCTCGACGACCCCAGGCCGAGCCAGAGAAAAAGAGACAGAACAGGCGACTCAAAACCCAGAGACGGGAAAATTCATGAAGGACTGGAAAGAATGACGGCAATGGACAAAACTGGGCCCGATAGACTGACACCCGAGGACTCTCGTTCGATCTCAATAGGTTCTGATTGCCAACAACGGTATTGCCGCCGTCAAAGAGATCCGATCCGTGCGGAAATGGGCCTACGAGACCTTCGGCAACGAGCGTGCCATCCAGTTCACCGTCATGGCCACTCCCGAGGACTTGCGCGCCAACGCCGATTATATCCGTATGGCGGACCAATACGTCGAAGTCCCCGGTGGTACCAACAACAACAACTACGCCAACGTCGAGTTGATCGTCGATGTGGCCGAGCGAATGGATGTCCACGCCGTCTGGGCCGGTTGGGGTCACGCCTCCGAGAACCCGCGCTTGCCCGAGTCGCTCGCCGCGTCGCCCAAGAAGATCATATTCATCGGACCTCCCGCCTCGGCCATGCGCTCGCTGGGTGACAAGATCTCCTCCACGATTGTCGCACAGCACGCCGGAGTGCCTTGCATTCCCTGGTCCGGCACGGGTGTCGAGGAAGTGACCGTCGATGACAAGGGCATCGTCACCGTCGAGGATGAGGTCTACAACCGGGGCTGCACCCACTCGCCCCAGGAGGGTCTCGAGAAGGCCCGCGAGATTGGCTTCCCGGTGATGATCAAGGCGTCCGAGGGCGGTGGTGGTAAGGGTATCCGTAAGGTCGAGAACGAGCAGGACTTTGTGAGCCTGTACAACGCCGCCGCCAACGAGATCCCCGGTTCCCCCATCTTCATCATGAAGCTCGCGGGCAACGCCCGTCACTTGGAGGTCCAGCTGCTGGCCGATCAGTACGGTAACAACATCTCCCTCTTCGGTCGTGATTGTTCCGTTCAGCGTCGTCACCAGAAGATCATCGAGGAGGCTCCCGTCACCATCGCCAAGCCGATCACCTTCCAGGCCATGGAGAAGGCCGCCGTCAGCCTGGGTCGCCTGGTCGGTTACGTCTCGGCCGGTACTGTCGAGTACCTGTACTCGCACGCCGATGACAAGTTCTACTTCCTCGAGTTGAACCCCCGTCTTCAGGTCGAGCATCCCACCACCGAGATGGTCTCGGGCGTGAACCTGCCCGCTGCCCAGCTCCAGATCGCTATGGGTATCCCCCTGCACCAGATCCGTGACATTCGCTTGTTGTACGGTGTCGACCCCAACACCTCCTCCGAGATCGATTTTGACTTCTCCAGCGAGGAGAGCTTCCAAACTCAGCGCCGCCCCCAGCCCAAGGGCCACACCACCGCCTGCCGTATCACCTCCGAGGATCCCGGTGAGGGCTTCAAGCCCTCGAGCGGTACCATGCACGAGCTGAACTTCCGTTCCTCCTCCAATGTGTGGGGTTATTTCTCCGTCGGTACCGCCGGTGGTATTCACAGCTTCTCCGACAGTCAGTTCGGTCATATCTTCGCCTACGGTGAGAACCGATCTGCCTCGCGAAAGCACATGGTTGTTGCCCTCAAGGAGTTGAGCATTCGTGGTGACTTCCGCACCACTGTCGAGTACCTGATCAAGCTGCTCGAGACCCCGGCCTTCGAGGATAATACCATCACTACCGGATGGTTGGATCAATTGATATCCAACAAGCTGACCGCCGAGCGCCCTGACCCCATCGTGGCCGTCATCTGTGGTGCTGTCACCAAGGCCCACTTGGCCAGCGAGGCCGGCATCGAAGAGTACCGCAAGGGTCTCGAGAAGGGTCAAGTCCCTTCCAAGGACATTCTCAAGACTGTGTTCCCCGTGGACTTCATCTACGAGGGCCATCGCTACAAGTTCACCGCCACCCGCGCCGGCCTGGACAGCTATCACCTGTTCATCAACGGCTCCAAGTGCTCCGTGGGTGTCCGCGCCTTGGCTGACGGTGGTCTGCTGATCCTGCTCAACGGTCGCAGTCACAACATCTACTGGAAGGAGGAGGCCGCTGCTACTCGTCTGAGTGTCGACGGCAAGACCTGTCTTCTGGAGCAGGAGAATGACCCCACTCAACTGCGTTCTCCCTCGCCCGGTAAGCTGGTCAAGTTCACCGTGGAGAACGGTGAGCACGTCCGTGCCGGTCAGCCCTACGCCGAGGTCGAGGTCATGAAGATGTACATGCCGCTCATCGCTCAGGAGGATGGTATTGTGCAGCTGATCAAGCAGCCCGGTGCCACTCTGGAGGCCGGTGACATTCTGGGTATTCTGGCTCTTGATGACCCCTCCCGTGTCAAGCACGCCCAGCCCTTCACCGGTCAGCTGCCAGAGTTGGGCCCCCCCGTCGTTGTCGGTTCCAAGCCCGCCCAGCGATTTGCTCTTCTGCACACCATCCTTGAGAACATTCTCCGCGGCTTCGACAACCAGGTCATCATGGGTACCACCCTGAAGGAGCTGGTGGAGGTCCTGCAAAACCCTGAATTGCCCTACGGCGAGTGGAATGCCCAGTCCTCAGCTCTGCACTCTCGCATGCCTCAGAAGCTTGACGCCCAGCTGCAGACCATTGTGGACAAGGCCAAGGCGCGTAAAGCTGAATTCCCTGCCAAGCAGCTTCAGAAGACGATTGCTCGCTTCATCGAGGAGAACGTCAACCCCTCCGATGCTGATATCCTCAAGACCACCCTTCTGCCCCTAGACCACGTGATCAACAAGTATCTGGATGGTCTGAAGACCAACGAGTATAATGTTTTCATTGGTCTGCTGGAGCAGTACTACGAAGTCGAAAAGCTCTTCAGCACGGGCACCAAGCGCGACGAAGATGTCATCCTGAAGCTTCGTGAGGAGAACAAGGAGAACATTGTTCCCGTCATTCACACCGTTCTTTCTCACAGCCGCATCGGCTCCAAGAATAACCTCGTTCTGGCCATTTTGGACATGTACCGTCCCAACCAGCCGAACGTGGAGAATGTCGGCAAGCACTTCAAGACTATCCTGAAGAAGCTCACCGAGCTCGAGGCTCGCGCTGCGGCCAAGGTCACCCTCAAGGCCCGTGAGGTCCTCATTCAGTGCGCCTTGCCCTCGCTGGAGGAGCGCCTGTCTCAGATGGAGCACATCCTCCGCTCCTCGGTCGTCGAGTCTCGCTACGGCGAGACCGGCTGGGAGCACCGTGAGCCCGACTTGAATGTGCTCAAGGATGTCGTCGACTCCAAGTACACCGTCTTTGACGTTCTGCCCCGCTTCTTCATCCACTCCGACGCCTGGGTTACCCTCGCCGCCCTGGAGGTCTACGTCCGCCGTGCCTACCGTGCCTACACCCTCAAGAGCATTGATTACTCCGCCGGTGTCGAGCCTCCTATGCTCACCTGGGACTTCACTCTGGGCAAGCTCGGCCAGCCCGAGTTCGGTCCTATTTCTTCGACTCAGCCCTCGACCCCCGGCACTCCCACCGCCGAGTCCCACAACCCCTTCAAGCGGATCAACTCCATCAGCGACATGTCATACCTTGTCAATGACCCCTCCAGCGATCCCATTCGCAAGGGTGCGATCTTCCCCATTCAGTACCTCGAAGATGCAGAGGAGTATCTCATTCGCGCTTTGGAGGCGTTCCCTCGTGCTGGTTCCAAGAGCAAGCGTGCCGTTGAGGGTGGTTTGATCGCCAACCTGGAGGGCAAGCGTCGGCCCGCGATCAAGACCGAGAGCGACGAGCTCACCGGTGTGCTCAACATCGCCATCCGCGACATTGAGGATCAAGATGACTCTCAGATCGTCGGCCAGATGCAGAAGCTGCTCGCTGATGCCAAGGAGGAGCTTTTGGCCCGTCGCATCCGTCGGGTGACTTTCATCTGCGGTAAGAAGGGTGTCTACCCTGGCTACTTCACTTTCCGTGGGCCTACCTACGAGGAAGATGAGAGCATCCGTCACAATGAACCTGCTCTGGCCTTCCAGCTGGAACTGGGTCGTCTGTCCAAGTTCAAGATCAAGCCTGTCTTCACCGAGAACCGTAACATTCACGTCTACGAAGCCATTGGCAAGGGCCCTGAGAACGACAAGGCTGTTGACAAGCGCTACTTCGTCCGTGCTGTCGTGCGTCCTGGCCGTCTTCGCGATGACATTCCTACCGCCGAGTATCTGATCTCGGAAGCCGATCGCTTGATGAACGATATTCTGGATGCCCTCGAGATTATCGGCAACAACAACTCTGACCTGAACCACATCTTCATGAACTTCTCTCCCGTTTTCAACTTGCAGCCCATTGATGTTGAGCAGGCTCTTGCTGGATTCTTGGACCGCTTTGGTCGTCGTCTCTGGCGTCTGCGTGTGACCGGTGCTGAGATTCGTATTCTGTGCACTGATCCCACCACCGGCATGCCTTACCCTCTGCGTGTTATCATCACCAACACCTACGGTTTCATCATTCAGGTCGAGCTGTACATTGAGCGCAAGTCCGAGAAGGGCGAGTGGATCTTCCAGAGTATCGGTGGTACCAACAAGCTTGGATCCATGCACATGCGCCCTGTTTCCACTCCCTACCCTACCAAGGAGTGGCTCCAGCCCAAGCGTTACAAGGCCCACCTTATGGGAACTCAGTACGTGTACGACTTCCCCGAGCTCTTCCGCCAGGCCTTCCAGAACAGCTGGACCAAGGCCCTCGAGACCATTCCTTCCCTTGCCTCGCAACGCCCGCCCATTGGAGAGTGCATCGACTACAGCGAATTGGTTCTGGATGATACCGATAACTTGGTCGAGGTCTCCCGTGAGCCCGGTACCAACAGCCACGGTATGGTCGGCTGGATCGTTACCGCCCGTACACCTGAGTACCCTCGTGGCCGTCGCTTCATCATTGTTGCCAACGACATTACCTTCCAGATTGGTTCCTTTGGACCCCAGGAAGATAAGTTCTTCCACAAGTGCACTGAACTGGCCCGCAAGCTTGGAATTCCCCGCATCTACTTGTCCGCCAATTCCGGTGCTCGCATTGGTATGGCCGAGGAACTGATCCCCTACTTCTCTGTTGCCTGGAATGATGCCTCCAAGCCCGAGGCTGGCTTCAAGTACTTGTACCTGACCCCCGAGGTCAAGAAGCGTTTCGATGCCAGCAAGAAGAAGGAGGTCATTACCGAGCTCATCACTGACGAGGGTGAGGAACGTCACAAGATCACCACCATCATTGGTGCCAAGGACGGCCTGGGTGTCGAATGTCTGAAGGGTTCCGGTTTGATCGCCGGTGCCACGTCCAAAGCTTATGAAGACATCTTCACCATCACTTTGGTGACCTGCCGTTCCGTCGGTATCGGTGCTTATCTTGTGCGCCTTGGCCAACGTGCTATTCAGGTTGAGGGCCAGCCCATCATCCTGACCGGCGCCCCTGCTATCAACAAGCTTCTCGGTCGCGAGGTCTATACCTCCAACTTGCAGCTGGGTGGTACGCAGATCATGTACAAGAACGGTGTTTCACACATGACTGCCAACGATGACTTTGAGGGTGTCTCGAAGATCGTTGACTGGATGAGCTTTGTTCCTGACAAGAAGGGTGCTCCTATCCCGATCCGTGCCTGGTCTGATGACTGGGACCGTGATGTGGCCTACCACCCTCCTGCCAAGCAGGCTTACGACCCGCGCTGGCTGATCGCCGGTAAGCAGGAGGAGGACGGCTTCCTACCCGGTCTCTTCGATAAGGACTCCTTCGAGGAGGCTCTGGGTGGCTGGGCTCGCACTGTTGTTGTAGGTCGTGCTCGCCTTGGTGGTATCCCCATGGGTGTTATCGCTGTCGAGACCCGTGCCGTTGAGAACGTTACTCCTGCCGATCCGGCCAACCCCGACTCAATGGAAATGATCTCTCAAGAGGCCGGTGGTGTTTGGTATCCCAACTCCGCCTTCAAGACTGCGCAGGCGCTCCGCGACTTCAACAATGGCGAGCAGCTGCCCGTTATGATCCTGGCCAACTGGCGTGGTTTCTCGGGTGGCCAGCGGGATATGTACAACGAGGTTCTGAAGTATGGTTCCTACATCGTTGACGCACTTGTCAAGTACGAGCAGCCCGTGTTTGTCTACATCCCGCCCTTCGGTGAGCTGCGTGGTGGTTCGTGGGTCGTCGTCGACCCGACCATCAACCCCGAGCAGATGGAGATGTACGCCGACGAGGATGCCCGTGGTGGTGTCCTCGAGCCCGAGGGTATCGTCAACATCAAGTACCGTCGTGACAAGCAGCTCGACACCATGGCTCGTCTGGACCCCACCTACGGTGAGCTTCGCCGCTCGCTCGAGGACACCTCGCTCTCCAAGGAGCAGCTGTCCGAAATCAAGGCGAAGATGGCCGAGCGTGAGGAGCAGCTGCTCCCTGTGTACATGCAGATTGCTCTCCAATTCGCCGATCTGCACGACCGTGCCGGCCGCATGCAAGCTAAGAACACCATCCGTGGTGCTATGCGCTGGCAGAATGCCCGTCGCTTCTTCTACTGGCGTCTTCGCCGTCGTTTGAGCGAGGAGCTGATCGTCAAGCGCATGGTTGCTGCCTCTCCCAACCTTTCTGCTCGGGATGGCGCCATTCCTTCGTCTACTGCCTCCGCTGCCGAGACTCCTCTACCCTCCGCCGAGACTCCTCGCGCCGTGCACCTTCGCAACCTGCACGCCTGGACCGGCCTTTTGGACCAGGAATTGGAGCACGATGATCGCAAGGTTGCCATGTGGTACGAGGAGAACAAGAAGGCTGTGCAAGCCAAGGTTGAAGCGCTCCGGACCGAGGGCATTGCCTCCGAGGTCGCCTCTCTGTTGATCAGCAACAAGGATGGTGGTTTGCGCGGTGTGCAGCAGGTGCTGTCCATGCTACCCGTTGAGGAGCGGGAAAGCGTGCTCAAGTACCTGTCCTCCGCCTAATCGCGTCTTCAGAGTCGCATTTATGAAAGAAGTAGTACGGACGATATTTGCATGAAAATGGTTCAAATTTGGTGGCTGGTTATAGAATAATTATGATTTGACGTGTCCCCTTTGTGTGTCTGGATAAGGTCTTTCTACTATCTTGTTTGTGTTCTCAATTCTTTTTTTGTCCCTGGTCTTTGCGAAAGGATTCATATGCATTGCCTTTTCTGTTTCAATATTGAGATCTCAATTTTCCAACAATTTCAATTTTCCCTTTGGAATCGGGTATTGGTCCTTTTCAAATTCAATCAAACCTCCATAATTTATGTACCTAGTATTCCGACAAAGCCCCGTCTGAACCATGGCAATGTGTCGTTCTTGAAGGATCCACTATCCCTGGGCCCGGCGGATCGCATTTCGCTTGGAATGGATCCCACCATCACCGATCAACACCCACGTGGCTGGGTCTTCATCGAAAGCCACGCAAGCTCTGTGGTGAAAGCTATGTCAACTTGGGCGACCTAGTCGACAAAATTACGTTCTGATCCAATCCACGCACTGCAAGCTTATCGGACTAATTGAGGGAGGGGGACAATCCCGGCTTTACTCATGTGGCGACGACTGGCGAAAACGAGATAAGACGGGGAAACTCTTATCTGCGCTGATCGTAATCTACAACTGCCGAGATACCATCTTATCCAGATCCCTTATCTAAGGTTCGTTATGGTCAAGTAGGTATTGGATGCACATGAATCACGTAGCCGCTATCGTTCCTGCGAGTATGGGGTAGATTCCATCGATCGAGGGCGTTGCAAGACATATAGCATGGCGCCCTAGGCTACGCAGCGCAAGGACGGGATCACTAAAGTACTTCCTTTCCCTGTCCATCTATTCCCTGTCCATCTACTTGCAATTTTGCGGGGAACTTCCTTGGGGAGTTTGTCTTTCTCTATCTGTCGTGGAAGCTCCCCGGACCGTGTGAACCATGGCACTGGCTTCAGTCACTTCTTCATTACGTCGTCGCGGAGAACAGTTCAGGGAAGATGCAGAGAAGAAGAGAACAGCTTCAGGCTGGGTGTTACCAAAGCAGACGACTACCTTTACTGATCCCGGTAGTTGGTCCAATGTCGATTCCGACGTGACTCCCATAGAGCAACGAACTTGGTCAACATGGACTGTACTGGGATTCTGGTTCAGCGATGCTCTTAACGCTCAGGGCTGGGAGGGTGCTGCTTCTATTATCGCCGTCGGTCTGACATGGTTCGTTTGAAAAGCTTTCTACCCTGTCCAACATTGCCAAATTGGTTATAGTCTGTGGCTTACTTTCCCTTTTTTTTTCTTTCTCTCTATAGGAGAGAAGCACTATACTGTCTAATCATTGGCTATTCTATGGTGATCATACCGCTTGTACTCAACGGTGCCATCGGAGCCCATCTTCATGTCAATTTTGCCGTGGCCTCACGATCGTCGTTTGGATTCTACCTTTCACGAGCCGCCGTCGTCGTTCGAATGATCACAGCGCTGTTTTGGCATGGTACGAACGGATACGTGCGATCTAATCATTCAACCCAGGTGGCAACTGTGACTAACGCTCTTCCCACAGCCATCCAAACATACACCGGTTCAACCGCCATGACTCAAATTATTCGCGCTATTTGGCCCTCTTACCTGAACATTGCGAACCAACTCCCTGCCTCAGCAGGTATCACATCGCAGCAGATGTGCTCCCACGTGCTCTTCTGGAGCATCCAATTCCCGTTCCTGTTGATCCCGCCACATAAGCTCAGATGGTTTTTCGTGTTCAAGACAGTCGTCGTGCTCGTCACGTCCGTTGCCATGATCATTTACTTGTGTGTTCAGGCCGGCGGGGCTGGCGACATCTGGGCACAGGAAGCCACTGTTTCGGGGTCTGCCAAGAACTGGTTGATTCTGTCTTCCATGTCAAGCATTACTGGATCATGGTGCGTCTTTTCCGAACGATTTTTCCAACATTGGCCCGTGTTTGTTCAAATGCGCTTTCAAGCCGGCCGAATTCAATGAATACTGACACTCGGTTGGTGGAACAGGATGACAATGGGTACCAACATTCCAGATTTCACCCGCTACTTGAAAAAGTCCAGGGGTGTTTATTGGCAGGCGCTCTTCATGCCGTTCATCGCATCCTTGATTGGCATCTTCGGCATTGTTGCCGCCAGTGCAGGTAGAGTGCTCTATGGCATGTACATCTGGGACCCGGTCCAAATGGCTGCCCAGTGGGACGGACCAAGTGGTCGATGCGGCGCGTTTTTCGTTGGTCTTTCCTGGGTTGTGGCGCAGATCGGAACGAACATCTCTGCCAACGTGATTTCTTGCTCGAACGATATGGTGAGTTACTAAAAAGATGTACCCTCAGAGGCAGACGTCCTCACATCCCAGCGAGATATACCGACGGTTAATCAACATGCTTTCGTGTTCAGACAACACTCTTTCCCAAGTACATCAATCTTCGCCGTGGAGCCATCATCACCACCATAATTGGAGGCTGGGTCATGGTCCCCTGGAAAATCATCTCGTCAGCTGCCTCGCTCTTGACCTTCATGGGGTCCCTGGCCATCTTCCTGGCCCCGATTTCCGCAATTATCGGCGCAGACTATTGGGTCGTCAAGAAACGACACATCGACATCCCATCTCTCTATCGACGCCGTGGTATCTACCGGTACCAGGGCGGCGTCAACTGGCGCGCCGCAGTTGCATTTTTAATATCCGTGACGCCCAATATTCCCGGCATGATTCACGCAGTGACGCCGAGTCTGTCGGTGGGCACGATCCAGCATGTCTACGATATCAGCTTCCTGTGGGGATTCACAAGTGGGTTTGTGATCTACTGTGCGCTGAATTACTTCTGGCCGGCGACGGAGACGCTGCTTGATTGTACGATTTCGGAGGAGACGGTCATAGTTGATGGGGTGGCGGTTTATAATGATGGGTTGAAGAGGCCGCTGGGTGGAGATGAGAAGATGGAAGCTAATTTTAGTTCAGCTGCGATTAGTCGTGTTTGAATCCTGAAAGAGGAGTATTGGTTTGGTGTATCGAGTTGTGTCAAGCTCATTTGAACGAACGATACATGAATACTAGTCTGGCTTAGAGCTCCAAAGAATTGACTGCCAACCTGAATCGTGTAGCAATGTATACTTGCCTTTTTTCTTTGATGGATTTGGCTATTATCGAGAATATTTTTGTCAGTGTCTTTTTGAGAATTTGGTTGCGAGGGTCCTTGCGAAGGCTTTGCAAGAGCTCTTAAAGCAGCCGGTGAAAATGTGAAATACCACCCACGAATGTGAGACCATCTTACAGTAATGTTCGCGCTAAATTCGTGCAAGGTCTGTATAGCGTGACAGCTTCCCAAGCAGCTGAAATGATCGGCGTTTTAGACGATCGCAGACCGCTGTATCTGCAATCCCTCTTATAGAACAGCTTCGTCCTTGGTTTTGAGAGCATTCCGGGTACTATCCGCCCGGGCCTGAACTCGGGTGTCTCCCTCGCCATCAGATGTGATCTGGTGTCATAGTCAGACATATCAGTGTCTTGGATTAACTCTGTTGCCATCGCCCAGCTTTGATGAAGAGTGCCCCGAGAGGCGGCCAACATCGCCTCCGCGCATATGACCGGGGCGACGATTGTCAGAATTGCTAGGATTCGACCCCCGGTCCATCGAATGAAAAATAATCATCCTCAGTGGTGTCAGTGCTCCCTTGAGCATGTGCTCCCGTTTACATACTCCGTATACCGGCGTCGGTGAAACAGTCATCATTAAGGAGCTAGCACGAAAGCTAATCTGCTGCTCAATGGGACTGGGAGCATCACTCACTTTGCCCAAGATCTCAACAACTCGGCCATTACCTGTAAGACCACATCGAGTCCTGGCATGATTGCTGGGAATTAACTCCAGTTCATTGATTGGAGTCTCGTGTCCATCGAGGAGCTAGCATCAGGGCTACTATAACGCTCGATGGAGGCGTCAATGTGCTCTGACATATCGTCATCCCGTGAATGCTACAGATGATTTGTGATCAACCTGAATCCGTGGGGAGAGAAGATTAGGGGTTCCTCCCTTCTTCGGACATACTTGCATTGTGTAGACAGGTTGGCAATGGGTGTTTCAAGTTTGGGTAGTTATGGGCTGTACCGATCGGTTCCGATGGCGCCATGATGAATCCTGGTATCTTTAGTTGCATGGAATAGAATCAGAGTGAACACATTGAAAAATAGGGTTCCCGCCTAGAGCTTCAAGAAATTGCCGCCGAGATGAATAGCCGAGTCCCCGCAAAGAGACTGCCAACAAGACTGCCATAAGGCCACCAACAACGCCGCCACTCCCATAGGGACTCCTGCAACTGAACACCTCCAAAAATCTTCCAAAAGTGTCAATCCCTATCGAGTGCACGATAAAGAGACCTCGCCTCGGTTCGTATGTAAACCATTCGACGAAAAGAAAGATGAGTACGTGGTCGAAGGAATGAATGTTGCAAAACACCCGCACACTCAGTAAAATACAAGCGTGTCTTTACAAATACTGGGGCGAGACTTGCGGATTTCCCAATTTGGAACCTGGCGTCTCTCAATCAAAGTCAGGTATGACTACATCAACATCCTGTAAGTTCAGTCAAATGAGTCGGAGTAATCACATTATCACCGCCGGGCCAAGATCGACATACTACTTCTTATCGTCACGCGTCGCCACCTTATCTTGACCAACTGGCGGCTAAATCGCAATTGCGGGGAAATCATCTCTTATCTGCCATCGGCGCGGCGAACGGCGCGCTTGGTACAGGGCCGGAGGCCGGCCGACGTTCGGAGCATGAGATATCCCTCTTCTCTCTGATGTGATGGGCTGTCTGCCTTGTCTGATGGACTATATAAATCCCGAGTATCTTGTTTATAGGAACGAATCTGTCCATTCGAATAAAGAGAGCCCTTTGGTTTTCAGTGCGTACAGGACGACTGTGTGCTCAAGATGGCACCATCAATCAAGCTCTCACTGGCGGACGCTCGCCCGTACTCTTTCAAGTTTTCCCCCGCAACGACAGCATTCATCATCATTGATATGCAAAGGGATTTTCTGGACCCGAACGGGTTTGGTTCGATTCAGTGTGGTAATCCTGAGATATTTTCTTCTGTGCGCAAGATTGTGAACAATGTCCAGAAAGCACTGGAAGTCGCTCGCTCGATGGGAATGCACGTCATCCATACACGAGAAGGCCATCGTCCAGACCTCTCAGATCTCCCTGCAGCAAAGAAGCTGAGACAAATCAGTGCTCCCAATGGCCATCATACCATGGGAATCGGCGATCAAGGACCTATGGGTAGGCTTTTGGTGAGGGCTGAATGGGGTCATGATATTATTGACGAGCTTAAGCCACATCCTGGGGAGCCGATCATCGACAAGCCGGGAAAAGGGAGTTTCTGGGGCACAAATCTGCACAGAACACTTTTGGCAAGAGGGATTACGCATTTGCTTTTTGCGGGTGTGACGACCGAGTAAGTCCCCTATTGTTTGACGGTGTGCTGCATTGGGGCAAGCTAACGGGCAGACCAGGTGTTGTGTGACGACCACATTGCGAGAATGTAATGATCGAGGGTACGAGTGTTGCCTTCTGGCAGATTGTACTGGGGGCTTCGATCAGCAAATGGTGACCACTTCCCTCGATATCATCTGCGGCCAGGACGGTCTCTTCGGGTACATCGGCCATAGTTCAAGCCTGATCGCCGAGGCAGAGCGGTTTGGGGAAATGCAACCACAAAAGTCAGCATCAAGTCTGAAAGATGGTCTTCCGTCCATAAATGATCTGCTGGGTCAGTACAAGAGTGGACTCATTGACCCTGAAACAATTGTCCACTTTGTGTTTGATGAACAAGAAATCTGGGACAAACTCGACGATACAGTTTGGATCTCCAAACGATCTCGAGAAGACGTACTGGCAACAACCCGAGAGCTTTCTGCCAAGTATGCTGGAAAGCCTCTGCCACCCCTGTTTGGCATTCCATTTGCTGTCAAGGACAGCATCGATGTGGCAGGAGTGGTAACGACGGTGGCGTGCGAGAGCTACGCCTACACCGCCGAATCAACAGCGCCTTCAGTTCAACATCTACTCGACGCGGGTGCCATATACATCGGAAAAGTCAATCTGGATCAACTTGCCACCGGACTATCAGGCTGCCGATCGCCATACGGTATTCCTGTGTGTGCCTGGAGCATAGATCACATCTCCGGTGGCTCCTCGTCGGGATCGGCCGTTGCGGTGGCTGCTGGGCTTGTATCCTTTGCCGTTGCAACCGATACAGCAGGCAGTACTCGAGTTCCAGCGGCTTTGAATGGTATTGTGGGATTCAAACCCACCAAAGGCACCATCTCTGCCAAGGGCTTGGTGCCTGCATGCAAGAGCCTCGACACAATCACTATTATGGCGCCGACAATACAGGATGCGCGCGACGTTTGGTATACCATGGATCAGCATGATCCCTCGGATCCGTATGCAAAGGTGCCAAGCAGTCTATCGACATGGAAAGTGGATTTCCGGGGACCGAAGGAAGGAGGGTTCACCTTTGGTATTCCTCCACTGTCTCTCCTGCAGACTTGTTCTGACGAGTATCAGAAGCTTTTCGCCGCAGCTGTTGAGAGGTTGCAGTCTTGTGGTGGGAAGCTGATCGATGTCGATTATTCACCCTTTGCCAAAGCCGGTGATCTGCTGTACGATGGAAGTCTCGTTCACGAGCGCCTGGCATCCATGGGCCACGAGTTTTTTGTAAAGAACTTGGAAACCCTCCACCCCACGACCAAATCCATCTTTGAATCTGCCCTGTCGTCCAATGTCCAAGCGTGGCAAGTGTTTCAAGATCAGGCCGCACAGATTCAGTACACCATGCAAGCACGAAAGATCTTTGACACGTTAGAAGGTGGGATCGATGTCCTGGTCGTACCAAGTGTACCATGCCACCCGACCATCCAAGAGATGCTGGACGATCCGCTCGCTCTGAATTCCAAGCTGGGTACATTCACGCACGCAGGAAATGTTGTCGATCTGTGTGGCGTCAGTGTCCGAGCTGGATGGGTGGACAAAGGCGAGGGATTGAAGCTGCCTTTTGGGATCACGTTCCTCGGAGGAAGTGGGTATGACGGGAAGATCCTTGACCTTGCAGCGGTCTTTGAGGATTCTGTTAGAGAAGCCGGCTGTTGAGAGTTGGAGAAATTCGTCCGCTTACCTATTCTGCCCTGAATTTCAATTTTAATTGATGGCGAGCCGCGAGTGCTTCATATATGTAGGTTCGTCTTCATTTATGCATGTGCAAGGACAAACCTGGAACTTGGAAGGTCTGAGGATCATCGTCCGCCCCCGGCAAGCACTCTTTCGCCTTGACAGATAACCCAAGTCGACTCTAGATATATATATATAGGTATATGTCTATCTACGTACCTACCTACACTCCGGAGTAATTGTTCTGGTTCATCGTTCACAGTGGCCTGCTATCCACCTCTTTGATGTTGCACCAAGTAGGTTGGTATTGGACTATGTGCCAAGATGACCACCAAGAGCCGTTGAGCATCCATCCATACATGTAGACACTCACCTATAGTCAACAGATAGAAGTACATAAATCTGGAAGGCATATCCTTCGCCGGCCTGCAAGATCCAGAAACTGGTACTGAATCCCATTCGGTGCTCGACAACAACCGGCGATATTACTGTCTGCCGAGAAGGTGACACCACAGTAAGTATGACAATTTCCCAGTATGTCCACAAGCCACGTTCATATGACGGTATATCGACCGAGCTGGCCAGGGCCCCGTGGCTTTTCAGTGAGACGAGCTGCTGCTGACCGGTGACTCCGAGACTCACCACTCTCTGAACTATGAATATTGACGGCTCACCTGACTCGAGTCGATTGTTGTCACACACCAGCCCTATGTAGCAGTCGATTTCACCGCCTGCCAGATTCAGCCCACCGCCCTGACTGGACCCACTTTACTGATATTGTTGGCCAAATGGCGCATTGAGTGAGAGCGCATGAACAAACTGAATTGCTCTCGGCTGCCGGATGATTGTGAGGTTCCTGAAATTCTGCCTCCTTTCCGTCCTTTTCTCTCTTCCTTTTCCCCTGGTGTATTTTGCGCGCGCACCTGCCGGAGGAGATCAGCTGTTACAAAAGTGACCCGACTCGCAGGCCCGAGTGCTTTTTTTCCCTTTCCCTTTCTTGTCTATACTTGACCCGGCTCTTCAAGCTCTGTCTTCTTTCATCACGCCAGTGAGAAATCACACAACAAAGTTCACAATGTCAAAGGCAACTTTGGCTGTGATCGCCGCCGCCAGTGCAGCCACCGGCGCCGGAGTGACGGCTCTGCTGTACTCGTCCAAGTCTTCTCCCTCCTCCTCCTCCTCCTCCTCCTCCTCCTCCCAGACGCAGACTTCGAGCCCACAACAACAAGGACCTCCTCCTCCCTCGATCGCAGGCAACGTCAAGGTGCCCACCGCCATTCCCACACCTGCACTGGCGACCAAGGCCGTCGCGGTTGACGGGCCCGTCAACCCGGCCGGCATCCTTCAGTACGGCTTCCCCGGCCCCATCGCCGATGAATTGTCCACACGAGCCCTGCACGGCGGCTACGATCGTCGCACACGAAACCCGGCTTGGGTGGCCGAACACATCACGCCCCAGTCCTTGGCCATGCACAATGCCGACCGCAAACACAGCACCTTCGCCGAGGATACCTCCATCCCGGCCCTCTTCCGCGCCAAACTGGCCGATTACTTCCGCTCGGGCTACGATCGCGGTCACCAGGTGCCCGCTGCCGATGCCAAGTGGTCACAGGGCGCCATGGACGACACCTTCTACCTGAGCAACATGTGTCCGCAGGTCGGCGAGGGTTTCAACCGTGACTACTGGGCGCATTTTGAAGACTTTTGTCGCAAACTGGCCACTCGCTATCCCTCGGTGCGAGTCGTCACGGGTCCCATGTATTTGCCCCATCGTGACCCGGATGGCAAATGGCGCGTCAACTACGAGGTGATTGGAACACCGCCGAATGTTGCCGTGCCCACCCACTTTTACAAGGTCATCTATGCCGAGGACGGTACCGACTCGCCGACCAGCAAGGTTGCCCTGGGTGCCTTTGTTCTGCCTAATGCGCGCATTCCTAATGAGAAGAGTCTGTCGGACTTTGAGGTGCCCTTGGAGGCAGTGGAGCGTTCAACGGGGTTGGAATTTGCTGCCAAGTTAGATCCGAGCCGCCGCCGTCGATTGTGCCAGGAGATCAAGTGCGATATTGTCGTGCGCGAGTTCAACAATGCCCGCAAGCGCAACTAGAAGAGAGAAGCTTCTATCTGAGAGCAATGAGATGGCTAGGCGCTTGTTGAGCACATTGAAAGGAGAAGAACCTTGACAAGGTCTCCTTCACAGCCAGAAGCCCTAATCCAGTCAATACGACCTCGGGACATGTATACACTGCATACTTTCATTTGGGCGTTTTTCTACTAGGTTCGACACATGAGCATCAAATCAGCATTGGATACCGTACCGGCTTATGCATGGGGTACGACTGCGCACTCATCAATGACTTGCACGCGAGAGAACATGGACATGGTGCATATTTCACCACCATGTCGAGTTCGTCATTCCAGTAGAAAACTTCCTGAGCTTAATCCGGGTCCATGCCTAATTTTTCATGGTCCGAATGCTCTCTCTCAGCACTGAAACGCCACGCCCGTCTTCGTAGCCACATTACCCCCGCCTCCCGCGAATCCCGTTCCCTCGGAGCTAATTTCGACCAGACCGGGCTGGATCACCTCTTTATCCTTCTTCTTGGATTTCTTTTTGACTTCTGGTGACGTCGTCATTGCACCCTCGTCATGGTTCGTTTCTCGGGTTGCATTTGGGGTAATGTCTGTTTCGCAAACGTAGCACAGGACCTGTCCATGAAGAGCAGCAGATTTGGCCTGTTCTTCTTTCGAAGCGTGAGGGTCGGGAACATCACGAGGCGTCATGAACTTGGTGACACAGGGCGAACAGATGACATGACCACAAGGTTTCGTGACTGATCTCGACAATCACGAGAGTTAGTCGACCACCAAACGGGCCTCCCAGGGCCAAATGGAGGGGGAAGGGCAGTCAAGATCTTCGAAAGGAACGGGGTGAGAACATACGCATCGCTTTCACGGCATTGCTGAGAGTCTTCGTGCAACTCGGACACACTCGCGACACGGTCCCATCTGACCCTTTTTCTTCCGTGAAATGGACCTCCACCAGTGACTTGAGCGAGTAACCGTGTTTGTGGTTCTCGTTCGATCCAGGACAAATGGGCGTCAATTTGACAGCCTTGCTCGCGGTAATTGCATCATGATCCGTAGAGGGGGTCAGGGAGGGGACCCAAAAGGATGGCAAAGCTGATTTACTCGAATCCTGAGACAAAAGGAGAGTTCCCACCACGGTTAGCCAAAAGCCCACATTTGACTTCATCAAATGACACCCCAGAGATGTTTCAACTTCCATCCTTGCAAGATGAACATACCTTCTCCTTCTTTAACTCCGCCTTCAACCTCCCCTGCTCCTGCCTGGCTACCCTCGCCATCTCCTTATCGTCCAGCTCAAACACCTTTCTCCTCTTCCCATCAACCTCGACCTCTCTCGCCTTGAACGCCGCAATCGCCTGCTCCTCCTCAACTTTCCTCTTTTTCCCCGCTCTGCCCGCACCCGACGCCCCCTCTAACCCCATCGAGACGAGCTCAAAGGCCCTCAAATCCTTCTGTTTCGCCTCTTCCAACATCCGCTCCTCATCCTCCGCGAGCCGTTTCCGCGCCTCCTCGCGCTCCTTTTCCAACCGCTTGATTTCCTGCCGCTGCGCAAGAAGATCATTGATGGCGCATTCACGGCAGAAGAGATCACCATTAGTAGCACAAGCGACCACTGGCGCTCGCGCAGGCTGCAGACATAATCGGCAGGAGGCGAAGGGGAGGAACGAGTCGCGGCCGATGACGCTGCGCTTCGTGCCCCATGTGGAGCGGACGAGGTTGCGCTCGTAGGAGGTGAAGTGGGGAAGCGAGGTGTTTCGTTTAGAATGAGCCATTTGGGGATCGCGCCAACCAGATGTAAAGGGTGGAAATCAGAACGAAAAGAAGTGATGAGGTGGGCGAAATGATCGAACGCTTTGCATTCGAGAGTGGCGGTCGGAAGTCAAAGACCAGATTGGCCTCGGTGACTGGAATTGCTGGAGGGTTTGCGATGTTCAATGTGGATTATAATCGTTCGAACGCCCAATTGATCGGACAAAGGACGTTGAGACGTGGTTTAGTGGGAGAGGTACTTAAGCAGTGGAACTTGATGTAATGAAGGAAGGACCTACGTATTTTTGGCGGTGGAGTGGCAGTAATCGGAGCTACGCCGCGGAAATTCTGGCGGAGACCAGCGGCATAAACGTGGTTGTGTGGAGAGCTTGGTCCATCACACCGCCCCACTCGAGTTAACCGTAAAATCAATAAGTACGCAGGGCGTCGGAACTTGGGGAGGCTGAACAGACAATTGGAGCAGGGAAATGAATGACTATAAAGATATGAGTAGAGTACAGAGCCAGAGTACGATTGCCATTTTATTTCATTTGCAGCCATGCTTATAAGGGAATGCCTATCGATCGTGTTGTTGACAACTTGACACTATCTAGTATCTACACGTGGCACTACGCTTGGCCAAGTGGCCCATGTGAGTCAATTGCATTTCCACGAGAAGATGGCAATCATGCAACATTGCCATTTTAATCTTTGTTTCGTACAGAGTGGGCGATGCTCGTAGACTGTCGAACCCAACGACCTGAGTGATAGAATCGAGCAGGAGCGGGAAGAGAGCCGAGCAACAAGCAAATCCCTTCCGTGGGCCCTTGAACATCAAGCCAAATCTAAATCCTCACAACACCAGCATAGAAGTGCAAAGCCATGACCTTAGTCCACCCAGAAGCAGTCAGATGCAGAAAATCAGACGTGTTTTTTGTCGCCAACGGTGATGCTATGATGATGCAGGCTGCGGTATCAAATGCAATAACGACCATGACAGAAAGAATTGAAAGATGGAACCCGCTCGATACTCCAGGAAGAGAACGGAAAATTGACGATCAGGAGGCTCATGTCAATGAAAACAAAAATTTCAAAAGTCGAATTGGGGTATAATTGGTTGAATGTTCATCAGGTTCACAAAAGCCGATGTAGAGGAGTGAGAAAAAGAGACAAAAAAAGAAAGGGAAAAATAATCAAAATAGCGTAGTCGTCGTCCACTTGCGCAAAACAACCCAGGCCATTGAACTGGCCAAATGAGCGATGCCCTTATCTGGCCAAGTGTTCAACCTCATGCGCCCACCTCCTGCGGGCGAAGATTTTCGGAAGACGGAGTATTGACCCCGCGCTCTCCCAGAGAGCTCGATGACGGAGAACCAACTTCTCCCGTCGAATTGAGGTTACCCCCATAGACGAAGAGACCGGAGCTGGCACCAGAGGGAGCGGTTGTGGTTCTCTTGTCGTCCACCGACATGCCGTGATCAGGTGTGACGTCGGTTACTCGCTCTTGCAGAGTTGACTGCGATTTGGATCGCGTGAGAGTGCCGGACGGCAAAACTTCTTGAGCATCCTTAAAATGATCGATCGTATCGTTGTCGTCGTCATCGTCGTTGCGTATGCTCAGACCCGTCATTGTGCTAGCACTCATGACGGATTGCCGACGATCAGCAGCGAGCCCCTCCGACATTATGGACTCGCCGCTGCCAACAATGATCGGATCTGAACCGCGATGCTCCTCATGAGGAGTGGGTTTGCGAAGCTTGAGACGCTCCTCAGGCGACATGTTCTGCCACTCGGAGCCAAAGGTAACAACCGAGGCCTTTTTACCATGGACGGTGAAACTGGGTGTCTTTCGGGCAAGAATGTTGCTCTCACTGCCATCATCCTCAAGGGGCCCAACGCTCGAGACAGAGTCGCTATTTTTCTTGTGGCGCGATTGGTGACGATGAACACTGTGGGACTCGCGCAGTGTTCGGTGAAGGCTGCGTCGGACCCGACTAGACCGGTGATCACTATGAGACACCTCGGACGACTCATCCTGTCGATCCTCACTTTCCTTTTCCGGTACCGGACCCGATGTTTTTCGAGTTTTCGACGGCGAATCATGATCCAGCAGGCCACTGTCCATGAGTAGACGCTCTTCTCCGTCGTCAAAGCTGACCGGGGATGTTATTTTTGATGCACGGGACCCCAGACTAGCAGCGTCGAATTTGCTTCCCCGGCTCACGGTGGAGACTTCACGCTCAAGACGAGGTGCGCTCTCCGACCTGCTAGCAGAGGCACGGGCGACTGAAAGCGACCGACCAATGCGGCCAAGATCAGAGGAAGTGACCGACGTCGGTATGCTCGGACGGCGCAGGTCTTCTGTTGTAGGCTGACTCAAGAAGCCCACATCGATGCGCGGCTTCTCCGCTGGGACAGTCGCAGTGGATTCTGGAGAGATGTCATGCGATGATTCACCACGGTCGACGTCAGAGGTAAGTTGCAAACTAGGCTCAGATTGGATGGATGGTCCAGATACGGAGGGCAAACGAGGGGGACTCGTATGCGTAGACGTGGTCTGCCCAGCTATAGAACCATTCCGGGTTGCCGCATCGGTCTCCTCTTCTCCAAGATCTCGGAGAAGAATTTCGCGGTAGCATTTATTGCGCGAGAGGTCTTGTCGGACCCACCGAAGCTTGGCCGCCATACGCGCCGCCGCCATGATCACGCTTTCTCGGGCCCGGGGGGTCACTGGAGTGAGGATTTGCAAATGGCGGGCATTACGCAAAAGCTCATCTAAATGCCGTTGGTTAGCAAAGAGCTTTTCATTGGTATCATGAATCTTTTGGCTCATTAGCTGCCGACGGCCTGCCACGAATTCAGCAACGACGTCGCTATCGATGCTGGGAGAAGTTGGTTCTTGATCACGGGACTGATGTGAAGTTGACGAGGAGATGGAGCCAATACGCTGGCTGCGGCGGTAACGCTGGCCCTCGTAATTGGTCGCAATCATCCCCTTCGTCCGAACACCAGTTGTTCGGAAAGCGGCTGCATAATTAAGCTTGTGAATCCAGTCATTCATATCGGACTCTGAATCGGCTAGGAACACCTCTTCGACCGAATTGTGCCGGACGAATGAGAATGCATGCTTGTGCTTTTTGTAGTTGCTGTCCAGCAGGGCCACTGCGTCGTTTGTGGACATGATGCCATCGGGTTTGAACTCCGCCAAAGGTGGCCTAAAGATAAGCGTCCCTCGTCGTCCCTTCTTTTCATAAGCCTCGTGTTGCGTCATCAGATTCCGTACCCAAGTCACGTTGCGGAAGAAGTACAGTTGTGAGAATGTGAGGACCGCGCCCCATTCGGCCCACGGGGATCGTGCCCGTTTCTTTTTGGGGTCCTTGCGCCAGAGTAAGCCGACCTTGGCCACCTTGATGTCTACCAGACCTGGATGTGACACTGCAGGATTATCCAAACTAGCTTGCATGAACGCATCCGGTCGTGAACGCTGGGAGATAATTTGGAGGATGCCTGACTTGGCGAAAGCTAGATGAAGGTCATCCATGTTTGGCCGACCCTCGGAGCCGATATGGCTGTAGGTATCCTCAAGGTCCATAACTTCTTTTAAGCTCGGTCTGAGGGTGGAAAGCTTGTTGTCCAAGATCAGAGTATAAGGATCCACAGGCTCTCTTGTCACCAGCGGCAGATGCTCCGAGCTGGTGCTTCGAAATAGCGTTCGCCGCGGCTTTGCGAGATGACGATCGCGGAGGTTGGCGTCCTCGACATGAATGAAAGGAGTATAGGCAATGTTCTCGTAAAAACACTCCAAGATGTCCTCGGAGATACCTTCTCCGCGGCAATTCTTCACGTAGTCGAGCTTCTGCATTTTTCGCTTGTTGTTCTTATTGAACACGTCTGTGTGCAGGATGAGAATTGAGAATGCGATAAAGTAAGCCTGATCTGTCGAGGCAAAAATGCCAGGGTTGCATTCGTGATAACGATCGGCGAAGGCTTGCAGGAAGCGATCGATTTGCTGGGTTTCCTTAGGTAGCTCCACTTCCATCAGAAGTTTGCGAATGGCCATATCGATAGGATCCCCGAAGTAGGAGAAGGACCGCATATACTTGCGTAGCGCCACTTTGTAGAACTCGTCGTCTGACTGTGCCAGAATGCCTCCAATCATACCCCGGGGCAAGGTCTCCTCCAGTTTAGTCAAGTATGCCGCCGGGGTCTCGCCCTCTTCGCGAGCCGGAACTGGGGGTAATTCAGGTTTTAACGGAGTGGCCGTTCCCCCAATCCCGGGAGACCCATGTCGGGGAATGGGTGGTTCCGAATTCTGTCGCAATCGTTGAGAGAAATTGAAGATATCGCCGAAGCTCTTGCGCCCACTTGTTGAGGTCGAAGTGCGGCCGGAGGAGGCCAACCAGGGTGCGGCGGAAAGATCATCCACCACATGCTCCGCGAGGGAACCCATCGTGGATGATCTTCCGCGACCTGTTAGCGAAGGGTTTGAACGAATTGAGCGAGCAGAGTTGGTGGAATTGTTGCGTAAGAGTGGAGGTGCACCCGCCACTGCCAGGCCGACGGAGGACCGTGTTGGAGACGGAAGTGGGGAAATCTGGTCTTGGTCGGAACCATGATTATTTGCGTCGTCGGCCGGCAACGCTCGATTTGTGGGTGAGGGGACCTTAGGGGGCAATGGAAAGAGAGGGCTGCGGTGTCGCTTCAGTCGAGGCATGCGGAATCTTTTCCCCGTCGCCCCTGCAGATGATTGTACGTCTCGCGGTGAGTTTGTGCAGAACGTCTGGTCTCCATGACTTTGATCGGACCGAGACGATTCTGAGAAGCGTGGATCAGGCACCGAAACCGATGATCGCTGAGATTCATTGAAGGGAAGATCTCGGCCGGCACTTCGAATGGAGGTTGTTGACAGTCTGCCTGGTTCTTCTGCGCCCGGGGAATGGATGGTTGAAAGGGTCGAGTCAGCGATCTGGGAGTCGATGGATGGATGTTGTTGCCGTGCCGGTTTCCGCTGGCTTTCCCTCGAGCTTCGGGGTAATTCCTCCATTGAGTGTTTTCGGGACAAGGGCAGCAGACGCAGTTTGTGTCTGGGTTTCGCGGGTGGTTCCAGATCGTGACTCGTGGGCGCAGTGGTGATGATCGTGGGAGCTTGGAGATGGGTCAGCCGTTTGTTCAATTTCCACTCTTCCCGTGATCTGTGTCTGGAGTGCATCAGAGCGTCACGAGAAAGACTGCGACTGGAGAAGCTCTCCGTGTCGGAAAGGGGGAAGAGGAGAAGGAGGCTAAGGGGAAGGGGCACCAAGGATGGGGGAGAGGAAGAGCCGGGCAAGAGAAAATTGGATCGTTGTACTCACGGGGCAGCGACGGCACTGGAGGCGTTCCCTCGGCCTTTGCGTATGACTTGGACAGCTGGGGGTCGGAGGCGTGACGCAATCTCATGAAACTGAATCGATTTCTCCGCAAGCTAGGGGTATCCCCGTTGGAGGGACTCCCCATAAAATCGACCGGCGCAGGCTCAACATCTCGATGCGCGCCTCCTTCCATTGGAACCTGCAGTCTATGGTCGGCGTCTTGTCCCGCGGCCGCGACATCGTCGAGCCCCGTCGGAATATTGGTAGACGTCCGAGAGGTTGATTCAGAGTAACGGGGGCTGTCGGCGGGGGCTGGGGGTCGGGGCAGATGTTCGCTGCGCCGCACCTGCGGCGGAGCTTCAATGGTGCTTCGACGCGAGGCACTCCCATCCGCCACGAGTCGCAGGCCTTTCCAATGCATGGCTGCGAGAGACCGAGGTGTTTCCACCCATGCGTGGCTGTCAGGAAGTGTCCCGGGGGCGGGGGAGGAGGTGAGATTCTAGGCAGAAGTCGTTTGGACAGTCGGGCAGGAGCGGTAGTGGTCACTAGCGGGAAAGGCAGCGATGGTTGTGGTTATGGTGGTGGCGGTGGTGGTGCTTGTATTCGTAGTGGGGTGGGGAGTTCTTAAAGGAGGGATCGCCCAGAGGGAGTCGGCGAAATGCTCGACGGGCACGAGGGTGAAGGGTGAGGAGAAGAATTGAGGGGAGAGGGTGGTTGCTTCTCGACAGAAACACGATCCAGGTCAGGTCAATGCCAGCCCTGCATATTGGAGTGTTCCAGAACACGGCTTATGGGCTCAGACGTGGAGTGGAGTGCACGATCGTCCACTTGTGGACAGGGAACCGATCCAAAAACGAAAAACCCCAAAGGGGGCAACGAGCCACTGGGTCACGAAGCCTCGATTAAATGCAATGGATTTGAGTTTCTCGATGGAGGAAGAGAGACAAAATTGCCTGAGAACGTGAGGGGCGGTGCTGGCCAGTAGACGTCAAATCGATGGGGCTGGGCGTGGTGAGAAGAATGTAAGTTGGATATTTCCCCACGGAGGTGGTGGACACTGGACAGATTGATTGCACTGCTGGAGACTGAAGGACGGCTAAGTCACGGGCATTCGCAATTCACATACACGACACGTGAAAGCAGTTTCCGCGTGGGAACTTTCCGCTTCCACTTCGCGAACCACTGCAAAGTCACACTCGGACTTTCAGTAGTAGTGGGTTGGCATTTTTGCCTGAGATGGCAAGTGCCTCGTGGCTGATGGTCACCACTAGCGACTGTCACCAAGCACAATCGTAGCGGAGACTCTGCCGCGAGAGATACAAGTGAGAACAGGACTTCGAGCTAAAGAAAGGAGGGGTTGGTGCAAGGCCGACGAAGTTTTGAAGGTCTACTTGGCATTCTTGGACTGAACCTCCAACTTATAGGAAATAACCGCCCTGGTATTTCCATATCGATGACCATGACCTACTTACCTATTATCCTACTAGTAGTAGTTACTTAGTTAACTACTACCTAGTACCTAGTAGTTACCTACATAGGTTGTTCAAGTCATTCAGTGGTGGGTGTAGTTTTACTAACACCCACGCAGCAAATAAACGGGATCGACACGACTGACAAGCAAGTTCTCGTCAAGTCAGCTTGTCTAGGGCAGTGCGTACCTAACTTGTACACCATAGCCCATACACCACAATTGAAATGAGAATGACTGTCCAGTGTCCACAGTGTCCAGTATCTAGTAGACACTGTCTACTGGTCTAGACCTACGCGGCAATCAATTCAAAGCCGCATGGATCCGACCGGCGCCATCTAGACTAATAGACCCTGCATGACATGTCACTGACTGAACGAGGACGAAAAGGCCTCGTCATGCTTCAACGAGTGATTACCAGATTAGAGAAAATGGAGTCGATGGACTCATCAGTCAAATGCATTGGTCGGAACAGACATACTGAAGGTTCCACCTAGCCTACCTACATGCAAGACCTGGCAAAGGCCACATCATAAGATGACAAAGCATTGCGAGGACGGAACGACTGGCGCCTGTACTGCCCCTGCAGGTGGAGATGGACTGGAAGGGAGCAGAGAGAAGGATATCGTTACTGATGCAGAGGACGATACTTGAGAATTGTGGTGGAGGACCACGTGACGTTTCACGGTAGGCCGTCAAGTCTCTGTCTGGAGGGAGACATTACCACGGTCTTATATTTGTTTGTTGTCCCAGCACCGATCGATCATCTCGTCAACATGCAAATGGCCATTCAATTCGGGAAACTCCATCATTTACAACAGTCCCACGACCTCGAGACCGTGCTCACGGGGATGCGACATCAGCTGACGATCTCAATACACCTCACAGCCGTAATTGATCTGGTAGAATAGGAACCCGAGGGCAAAAAGCTCGGTACGGGCATCAACGAGCCCTAGCGTGCCGCATTCTTCTTGATCCGCCTGGTCTTGATTGAGCAAGCGGCAGGAAGGAAAACTACAGGTAAATGCATCTGCACCGATTCTGTCTGTCCTGTCAAGTTCAGATTTTAGCTTCAGCTAGCCGCAATCCAGCAGCAGGTTCTAGGGTTGAAGATTGCCATGAGCGAGATCAAGTGATTCCAGGAACCACTGCCCGCTTTCCCAGAGTGAACGGCTGGACATCATCGGAGTAACAAAGTAGTGTCGCAAAGATTGGGCGAGATAAGAATTAGGTAGATACAGGATGAGTTGTACGCGAATACTCGAGTCAGGTTTCCAACCCATCTCGCCTTGATTCTTCTTATAAGCATAATGGCCATTTGTACCATCCCTTAACTGGAAAGTTACTCCAGAGTGGTGGTGGTCATGGCCATTGTTAGATAGGAAGGCTTGTGATAAGATAAGATAAGGGATCATATCATACAGCCTAGCGTTCACAATATTAATTAGTCTAGAAATAGCAGACCGAGTGGATGTAGTGTCACCAATTGATGGTAAGCTACGCCTACATACGGGAGTTGAAGAGGGACATACGACTCAAACAGCCGTCTACCAAGAGGTAAGGCAGACACACCGAAGAGAGGGATAAGGGAAGATCTGCGGCGTGGTTATTGGCTGGCATGCCCATCGATCGTAGATGTACCGTTTTTCGAAGAAAACTGATGTACACATACCTGCATATATTCACCCATTGATGGCTATCTCTGCCCATCGGACAACGGCATTTCCTCATATCGCATGCTTCCACAAAGTCAGCCTTCTATTCCACAACACATAAAGTACTGATACAATCTCTGCCAGCCAAAAAATGTAGCTATGGGTAAGAAATCTATTTACATTATCGATGCTGGGTATATGTGACGTTTGGTCATAAGAGGATTCGTCACAACAGGTAACTTAAGTTAGTTAGTGACTAACTATCGTAGGTCTCCGCAGATAACTAACGAGTAGCGTTCTAACTTCCAGGCTAGGCAGCGGCTTATCATTTCCGGGGCCGGTCCGATAGTTGATCCGTGCGTATGAAGAGGCACTGTGCATTTGTGCAATGTGCATGTTCATCTCCACAGTACGCCGTCGGCCTCATGATGGTCAAGATAAGCGCGATGTACTATGTAAGTATGTAGTACATGAATGGCAATGACACCCGAGTGATTGATTTGGCGAGGAAGGACGTTTACTGCGCTATCTTATCGATACGAGTCATTTATCGTCCAGGTCCAAAATTAGAAGCTCCAAAGCTTTACTTCAGTATCACTTCGCCACTCAGTCAGCTCACAGGTACCTATTAACTACTAACTTACCTAGTCCTAACTGTAGGTAGCTTTGCGCCCCGCAGTCTGTCCAAACGTTTGAGTTTGACCCTTTTCGGACCAGCCCGACCCACCGAGACGACTGACTCAAATAATTTCCCAATTCCTTAATTCTTGATTATCTTAGTTCCGCTTCAACCGTTCAGTCTGAGCCTCAACGACGTCGGCTAGGCGCACTCCCCTCGGCGATTTCTCTGCTGTTCAAGACTGATTGAAAGCCGTCTCTCCTCAACAATTGGTCCTCCACTTTTTGACCAACCTTGTCAGACCCATCGACGGGCATCGACACGTCGCGATGCGTGTTCTTCGCAGCATCGTCCTGCTCTCGGCGCTGAGTCCACCCATCTCGGCCGTCCCCGCGGGTTCCAGCATTGCGCCTGATGCAGCTACACCACCGCAGCTTCAACCCGCCAACTTCATCGACCAGCCTCCTCAACCGCGCCGGCCGTGGAATTGTCTTCGAGATTGGGTGATTGAATCTTTGTGGGGGAAGCCCCGGTCATCATCTCTCAAGCAGCTCAGCTTGCCAAAGAATGTGCGCGACCGTTACGGGAGCGACGTTGTTATCCGCTTTCACCTGCGACATCCGCACGACGCCGAGGCGCTGGCCGCGGCGTCCAAAGTTCTTGTGCTGGATGTCTGGGCGACTACAACCAGATATGTTGATATTCGACTCGCCGAAGACATGGTAGGTGATTCGACTTGACTTCTTTTCGTCTTTCGCATGACGGGAAACGAAGCGCGAATGAAAGACCGTTGGTAGAGATTCTGACCGGTCCTTTTCACCTTTAGATACCCTCTTTCCTCGATCTGCTCCCTCCTTCCTTGCGATCGAGTCATACTCCGCTCATGGACGATCTGGTCGACATGATCTACAATACCTACCCACGACATCTCCACCCGTCGTTAGAAACCGAACCGGACTTCCGGTCTGGGAGCAGGCGAGCCGCGACCGCGCCGGTGGAAGATGTCTTCTTCCACGACTATCAGCCGCTATCGGTGATTGTGCAATGGATGAGATTGATGGCGTCCATGTTCCCCACACATGTCCAGCTGACGAGCGTAGGAAAATCCTACGAAGGTCGGGACATTCAAGCTCTGCGAGTTGGAGCGTCGCCATCGCCGCTGGAGCCATCGGGCCCACGCAAGACGATCTTGATCGTTGGCGGATCTCACGCGCGGGAGTGGATTAGCACTTCGACCGTCACCTACGTGGCATACAACTTGATCACTCGCTACGGCCATTCCGCCGAAGTGACCCGACTCCTGCAAGAATACGATTGGATATTGATCCCCACGCTGAACCCAGATGGCTACGTCTACTCTTGGGAAGGGGATCGTTTGTGGCGCAAGAATCGACAGCCAACCGGGCTGTCACTCTGTCGAGGCGTGGATCTCGACCGAGCCTGGGACTATGAGTGGGACGGCGAGTCGACTCGGTCGAACCCGTGCTCGGAAAACTACGCAGGATCGGAGCCATTTGAGGCCCTCGAGTCTCGTCGGTTGGCCCAGTGGGCGCAGAACGAAACCGAGAGCGGTCGTGCCGACATGGTGGGCTTCCTGGACCTGCACTCATACTCTCAACAGATCCTGTACCCATACTCCTACAGCTGCTCCGCCGTCCCGCCAACCTTGGAAAGTCTAGAGGAACTGGGCCTGGGACTAGCCAAAGCAATTCGCCAGTCTACCCACGAGTCGTATGACGTAACATCGGCTTGCGAAGGGATTCTGACCGCCCAAGGGTCGTCCCGCACCAGCGCGGGCGGAAGTGCCCTGGACTGGTTCTACCACAACTTACACGCCACGTACGCGTTCCAGATCAAATTACGCGACCGAGGTAGCTATGGCTTCCTTCTTCCACCAGAGGACATTGTTCCCACGGGGAAGGAGATTTTCAATGCCATTTTGGCGTTCGGCAAGTTTGTTTGGGGGGAGAAACTACGTGAGCTAGAGGACTTGACAGTACCGACGGTCAAGGCCCCGTTCAACTTTGAACAGAAGCCGCTTTCTTTGAAATAAGACATACGTCGAGATGATCGGTCAAGAGACGCTTCAGCTGCGGTTCATCTACTCGAATCTTAATGACTCATATGATCTGTTCACGTCCCTCCAATTGTAATTCCGCTCTTTTTTTCTTTTCTTTTTGAACCGTCTTGTCCAAAAAGCTCTCAATGTGAGGAATCTCTCCAAGGCTGCTCCATTGCGAATTATCTATCCTGCCAAACCAGAACTGATGGAAAAACCAAATGATTCTTTTCGGCTACAACGGTAGATGCAGCCACCGAAGAAGAAAGAGCAAAGGGGATGAGGTGCAATTAAGATTGTACCCAGAGGAGGAGAGGCTCGTGCTACCTACATAGGCTACTACGGACCGCGGTGGGAACTGCAGTATCACGAGCATGCCATGCAAAGAGGAACCTGGGCTTGAAGAACGTGACACCTCGTCGGACCACCCGGCAGGTCTCCATGACACGACATGACTTTTTTTTTTATATCACAACGTGCCCACGGCCAAAATGATCACTAGTTCTGTACAATCTTTGGCAAAGATTATCAAACCCGAAGCACATGCCAATATCCGTTATCGATAAGGTGATCCGAGATAAGATGTGGTGCATAGTTGCATACTGCATCCCCGCGGGATGGATGAGGTCGTGCTCTAGGGCTGACAGCTTAATAGAGCCTACCTCAATCTGATTTCATGGCTTGTCGATGGTCTGTAATTGGTCTGGTGCTCTACCTTGGTTGTTGAGGATTTGGCGGGCTTGGTCGTGGTTTTAATTCTCGGATGGGTGGGTTTCCTGAGGTCTTGTCTGGGCTTCTGAAGGGGTGGCTGATTGTTAGGGCTTTGCAAGCTCCGTGTTCCTCCGCCCATACTGCGTCTTGAGATGATGTTCACAACATGCGATTACGAGCATTTCCAGCAATTTTCATGGTTTACCTAGTTTCAGAAAGAAAAAAAAAAAGCCAAGATTGTACTACTTATGAGTATCCCTTATTTCATGCCATGAGAATGTCACTTTGCCTCACAGTAGAAGGTACAGTCGGGAAGTAGAGTTGGATAAACAGATTCGCTTGTAGCATGTGACCTTCATGCATTCATGTCAAATGAGCATTGAGAAAAGAGAGAATCCTCCATATCAACTTGCCTATGCTCAGAACAACCAAGAAACAAACTTGCGATAGAACCAGTGGGACCCAGCATGATTTTCCATCTCCGCGTTGCGCGCCGCAATGAAAGCAGCTTCTTCCCGGTCGATCTCATCTTTGCCGGTCCACAGATCGGCCTCCTCGGGCTTGACTCCCTTAGAGCCGGTCATAAATTTGTGGCCAAAGAGAAGTAGAAGGTAGAGCGGTATTCCGAGGTAGGCTGTAATGAATCCGATTTTATCAAAGTTTCCATATTTCTTGCTGTGGACGAAGACGTCGTAGTTCTTCGTGAAGATGATAAGGATGCAAAATGCCAGCGCCAGGTACGATCCCCAAATTCCGAGAGGCGCAACGTACGCTAAATCGGATCTAGGCACTCGTTGAGCTTCTCTTGCTCGCACAAAATAGATATGGGTGACGAGAATGGAAAGCCAAGTCAGTAGACCAAAGATGGTGACGAGATTGACAAAATACTTGAAGACGGTGCGGGAGTCGTTGGCGACGTTCATAAATGCGATCAGGGCAACCGCAGAGCAGATGGCCAGAGCGAACACGGGGACACCGCGCCGATCCGTACGGGCAAAGATCTTAGGAGCTTTACCCTCGCGAGCCAGGCCGTAGATAGTTCGGGTGGCAATGTACAGATCGGAGTTGGCAGCGGAAAAGACGAAGACCAAGATGCAAGCGTTGAGAACGTGATCCAAGGAGGGGATCCCCGAGTTCTTGATGGCAACGACAAATGGCGAGGCAGCTGCACTAGAAGTGCTCAATTTGAACTTTGAATCATTGTATGGGAGCTTTGGGTCATTGTATGGCACCAAGCAGCCCACCAAGAAGACGGAGAGAATGTAGAACACCAGAATTCGCCAAAAGGTCAACTTGATTGCTTTTGGCACAGTTGATCTCGCATTCTGCGCTTCTCCTACCGTCACGCCAACCAACTCCGTGCCAAGGTAGGCGAACGTGGCGCTCACCATGGTGGACCAAAATGCCAGGAAGCGGCCAGCATCTCCGTCCAGGATGTAGGTGTTGAAGGCACCGGGATTTTTCCAGTAGCGGAAGCCTTTCCGGTCATGATCAGGGCCGCCTCCCAACATCAGAATGAAACTGAGCAGTATGACGGCAAGGATCACGATGACCTTGAATGAGGACAGCCAAAACTCGAATTCGCCGAAGAAGCGGACGCCGAAGTAATTGATGCACACGATGGCGACAAGAAGGATTGCGATCCAGACGCCTGCATTCACTCTTTCCTGTGGTAACCAGTATGATATGACAAGTGCACCGGCCGTGAGTTGATTCGGCGTGACAATGATATATTTAAACCAGTATCTGAGCAGTGACTTTGTTAGCATCACAAAAGGGAGGGTGAAAGAAAAGCCGGTTACGTACGTCCAGCCGAGAGCGAAACCGAGAGCAGGATCGCAGAAGCGAACCGCGTAGCCAGTGAAACCAGAAGGGAGGGGAAGCCAGGTGGCCATCTCTCCGAGAGCACACATGACTAGATAGACAATGAAGCCGACCCAAGAGTAGGCGATCAGGACAGAGCCGGGCTGCGGTCAACATGTATTAGAGAGGTATCGAAGCTGAGTGGGAAAGAATTCCATGTACTCACGCCGGCCCTATGAGAAGTGTCAATATCAATTCAACATTGATCAAGTGAAGAGACACGAAAGATGGAGTCAATACATACTTTGCAAGAGCATCACCAGTACCAATGATCAATCCAGTTCCAATCGCACCGCCAATGGCTGTCAATCGTCGTTAGCCTTGCTTATCATCACGTCATCTGCTTATGTCGTTGAATGATACCGATCATTGTAATATGACGAGCCTTGAGGGCACGGTGCAGGTCGACATGGTCCGGGTTGGAGAGACCACCCGCCTCTGCGACACCCACTCCATCGTTGCTGTATTCATGTTTGACTGGCTCTGCCGAGGCGTAACCCTCAGTTTTTGTCTCGTGCGATAACATCGAGGTTCGCACGAGTTCAAAGCCACTCTGGGATATCGTCAGAGATCGCTTCTCACTTCCTCTGCGTGAGAGCCGAGACGTATCTGAGCTGGTGAGTTATGGAAACCCCCGAAGGACAACAGCAGCCGCAAGAGTGAGCCACCGGAAGAAAGGAGAGAAGTCAAAAAGACAATGGGCCAAAGAGAGAGAGAGAGAGAGGAAAACGAAATGGGCAGAATGGTGGGGGAGAGGGAAACGTTAGTATTATACGAATCCCAAGCTCGTCGCAAGTCTGGGCAATTCAGCCTCTTGGGGTCTCAGAACTGAGCTGAGGGATCCCTGCCGCCCACGTCTTGCAGCTGACCAGCCATGGTGAAGATCTCATGCGCCTTCTCGGCCAGCGTTCCATCCCGAGTCTGTCTGCCTCGCCGCAAAAGCCAAGCGTCGATCCAGGCAAAGTAAATCGAGCACGGAGAATCTCAGAGCGCACGCTGGCCCCCAGTCGGGGAGATAAGCCGCAAGCTCCCTCGCTCTCGCTCTTGGCTCCATTCGAGATGGCTGGCCCCACTCCGACAGGCAGAGTCTGGGCCCGGACTGGGTTGAGCAGCTTGGTAGCTTGAAGGGGGAGGGGGAAAGCCAAGCCCGGGGGAAATGGAGGTGTTGAACTGGGTCGAGATTGACCCGGTACGGGGAAGATATCCATGCGGTAATGGCCAAGGTGATGTCGCGCAAGGAAGGTGGGGAAGAGCCAGAGATATCCCAAAGAAGTAGAAGAGCCGATTGAGAAGAGAAGATTTGGAGCGGAGAAGACCCGCGAGGAATCTCCCATTTAGGGTTGATGTGCGCCAAGCTCCACTGAACATGCCATTCGCATCGTAGAGGCCTGGAGGGCAGTGTTCTCACATTGAATACCTTATCCGGGCGATTTGGAGAAGTCCCTCAGTCCCTGGACTTCAGGTCTCCGACGATAGTACATGTCCTTTGCGACCTCTGTAGACTACCTGATATGACAGCTTGAAGGTAGGTGCCTTCAAGATGGTCTTTTGTAAAGGTTCTGTTGAAATAGTCGATGAGGTAGGAGATCGTATCCTAAGGTGCTTCTCTATGTTCTGACCCATACTACTATGTAGTCTTTGCAAATTTGGCCCGTCACTGGTGGAAGTCTTCGTAACAGTATCAACATTCCCGAACGGCGAGTACACTAATCGGCCGCCACAGATGTGGCCTTGTCACCCCTACATGCGTAGATCTTGCACCGCCGTCAGTCATTGCCACGGAAGGTGATTGCCGGCAGCATGTCAGACGGTGCATCGTCTGAGAACTACAGAATGTCCAGGGACTACAATTCGGGTGACGCGAGCCGAGGTGCCTCGCGGACCGCTGCCGGTGCGGTTTCCAGAGCCAAGGAGCATGTACGTTACAAGGTTGCAACCGTATCAAGCGTCGAGCATGAAAATCCATGGCCCTGGATCTCATCCGATCTCCTAATTGTTTCCCGTCAAGTACAGTTAGCTACCTCAATTCGGTCCATTGCCCGCGATAAGGCCTGATTGCTCCACCGCTATCCGCCGGTCCCTCCCCTTCAAGCCAAGACAGCCCCCCGCGCCACGGGTTCGGCACGGCTGGCGTCGGCTGCTTTTTGGTCGTATGCACGTATTGATTGACTGTCTGGCGGTCCTCAGGTCCTGGACTACACTTCCTGACCCGTTGGAAGAGAGAAGCAACCCGGTTGATAAGCAAGATCCCCACACAGCCCATTCCATCTCCACGGTGAAGGGCATTGGGCACTTTACTGTTCGCTCTCCTCAAGGCCCGACGTCTTGGCGTTCAGCCAACGTTACTTTGGCCCGTCCTGCCAAGCCCGACTGGACGGCTCGAAATGTCTCCCCCGATGAAAGTGATGGCCAATCACTCGCACTCAACCCTCCAGGTGAACGGGGGATGATTTCCACCGGAGGGCGGACAGGTCCTACACCGGCTCCGCTCGTCTCGTGATCACTTCGGGTTCAAGCTTCGACTCTCATCGGGAGGATCCAGGCTCTGTCGCTTCACGGTTCACGCAAGGCCCTTCTAGCTTAGTAACGTGATCAAGTTCCCGTGGACGAAGCTTACCGTGGTGATGTAGATCCTGATCATAATAGGGACTTCAAAGACAGTAGCCTACGATTCACTTAGATCCAATCACCCTACTAGTAGCCACGATACCATCTCTTCCTCGCTACTCTTTACATTCACGCACCGTTCTGCAAGCCTCCCACCGAGTTAGAACAACACCTTGTTCTAGCGAAAATGTCTCGTTAAGCGGGCTTCATACTGGACTGCACGGAATATAAACAGTGGCTAGCAGCTAGGCAAACTCTGTGTAGAATACGAATATCCCGTTCGTTTCCGGTTGCAGAAGCGTTTGAAACCATACACACAAAAGATGTGTTTTCGAGTATAAGCAGGTCCCTTCGATATTCAGTCTACGGATGGCGCAAAACTTGCCAATGGCCGATTTGGTATCTTTTTCGTGATTGCTTCCTTGCGAAGGAAATAAAGACTAAGTTGCACTGTGAATGACCTGACGCAATGGTCATGCTGTCTGTCTATCGCGACTTTTGATGGCCGCCTTTCCTGAAGCTGTTCCGATATCAGCACCGATAACCTTGGACTTTCAGACGACGAGTATCGGATAAACGCCAGTCCTTTTGTCGAACTCCGCAATTGATAGGTCAAGCAGGTCCCGTATTGATCACTCGTCCGTACTGAACAGAGCTTTGACCTTATCGGAGAAGCAAGAATTCTATGTATCTACCACGTCATCGACGGTGTGGTCTTGGTAGAACTGGCCTGTGCAGTCCTTGAGCCATCTTGGCTCGGATCCATCAGGACAGCTTTGGATGCCTTGTTGAGCGTCTAGATTGTTACACAGAGAGCAACTCGAATACGGTCTGCGCCGACGGGAACCCGTCCAGCGGTTTTCGTATCCACAATTACAGAATTCCCTGCATTTTTCGAGCCCTACTCTGATTACAAAAGGGTCATTACCCGGATCGGTAGCAGGGTCACCCATTGATTTGAATTCATTCCCGTCATCAGAACTAAGGTTCAATTCATCCATCCAATCTTCAGGTTCAGAGGTAACTGTGGTTGTAAATGGTAAACCAATGGAGAATGGAAGGCTTAGCGTTCATGTGAGATTTCATTTGGCTAGTAGGCACTAGACACAAAGGAAGCATGTCAATGTATGGTGGCAACGAAGGCTTGTCTTTGTGTTTGGATAGCCAAGTAGAATAGGAACGATCCACTTTCTGTCTTGGTCTCCTACGGTCCGCCGATGCTAGGACCCATGCAGAAGCACCGATGCTGGGAAAACAGACGTAATCTTATCGAGTCTGGCAAGCAGTTGACCGAGTAAAGAGACACCATCTGAAGAATACCGGACAAAGGTGCAGAGAAAGCCGCAAGATTCTAACTGACATCCATCAAGGGTTATACTTTGGGCGCACCGGGGCTATCGGTTCCACGTCTACAGTTTTGGAGTCTATTACTCGTGGAATCTTAAACCACGTATAATGCTGCAATTTTGTATTACTTTCCTGGGCGGGAATCGTCAAGGTATCGGTCAACTGCCTTGAAGAATCTAGGAGCGAGTCTTGATTCTTCTTGATTCTTTTTACCCAGTCGTCTTTGAATCTCCGTCCAGAAATTGGCGCCCTTGCGGCAGGGATGATCTGTAGCTTGAGAGAGAGATTTACTCCAGGCTCTTTATTATTGTCAGCTGATGATTGCATAGATCGGCTTGATCAACTCGAAGCAAGTGAATTTGAGCACTGAGACCGGGATAACATGGTTAATTAACCTTGGTTCACCTCAGCTGCATGGGCGTAGTTTTTGGACCCTACGCTTCCAAGCGCCCGGGGATTGTACTCATTGGTCAGTTAGCTTCGGTACTCTTGCTTTCAAAATGAGCCTCATGGATGGTGTCAACGTAAAAAAACACCTGTAGACCTAGACACCTGTCTCCGGGCTAGACGAACGGCACTGCGGTTCGAACAGAGTCCGGATTCGTCATGGATTTGCGTTGATGAGCCTGTTGGTACGCCAGACACGGTGGGCATCAAGTCATTGTCCAGGATCTCTTCCGAGCCTATAGTTCGCGGTAAGTTGGGGGGATGCGTTGTTCTCGGTACGGCCTGTCGACAGCACTGATGCTGCTTGACCGGCGACCATAGGTTACGACATGTTGGGTGTTGGGTTGGTGTTCCATGCCACGGAAGCGAGGGTATAACCTGTCATTACATGAAAGTCTGAGCTGTCAAAAGTCAATCTGGCGATTGTGCTCCAGATAATCGCTTGAATGAGGTGAGTTTGCGGCATCTACAAGTGGCAGAAGAGTTCCAGCTCTTTGAAGGCGAAGACTACCGAGCATCGCGCGGCTGAGAGAGCTTGATTTTTTCTGATCAAGAGGTGAGTGATCGAGCGACAAGAGAATCTATGAAGGATACCGTATGGGTCAGCAAGTCTCATGAGGGTTCTGAGAAATATTCAGAATTGCGCTCAAAGGAAGACGCAACAATTTTTGACCTCGTTCAAGTATAAGTCAAGCGTTCAAAGGTCACCGGATGAATCACCGTGCCACAAGCGTGGAGGAGTCGCTATCGAGAGTTTTCTTCTCAGATTCGTGAAGCAGGGAATGAGTAGTCGAGTACTAGTAGTAGACTAGTAGTCCCCCCGGTAAGTGGAAATCAAGGCCCTTGACATGCTCTGCATCATTTGCAGGTGATCAAGCGTCCAAGAAGTGTCTATCGCGAATCGTCAACCGCTGTGGACGAAATGGAAATTTCTCGTGGAATTCGACCACGAGAGTAATGTGACCAGCTGCGTCGGCTGGCGTGATTGATTGCATACAGAACGCCCCGGGCGGCTACAACAGAAGTTATTTTTGTTCCCGCGGTTCCATTTCGAGTAATTGGTGTACTTAGGGCCTTTCGGGGGAGGTCTGGACCGGGTGGTGTGGGTTGCGGTGGATTGGCCGAGTGCTTGGCTTGCATACGACGCCGGGTTGGAGATTGGCTGTTCAGGTCGAGGGGTTGACTATGATTAGCATCAATCCTGCAGCTAAAATGACGGGTAATTAGCCGCACTTTCCATTCAAGCCGTGCGGGGAGAGCCCAGAGCCTGGGGAAGAGTTGGTCCAACTGTTGGTGGACACTCGTGCAGGAAGAGGAGTCGAGCAGGGGGAAAGACAACAGTTATATCACCACGGCGATCCGACTGTGCATCCCTTCTCGATCCACCACCACCACCACCACCACCACCACTACCTCCTCGCACAGCTATATCAGAGCCCAGTTCATCAATTTATATCCCCACTGGAATCAGTTGTTCATCCATCATTCTATCACGTTCAGTATTATCTGCTCTATCATATCGTCGCCATGGGCGTCTTCCAACGGCCAACCGGTATTCTCGTGCCCGGGTCACCGGTTCGCCTGCTCACCAACGAAATGATCTCTCCTCCTCTCTCTCCGGATTTCAATTTTGACTCGGAAGTGGTGCTCCCCTCCATCATTCCCGCACTCGAGTACATCTCATCCAAGCTGCAGCAAAAGACAATGCACGTCACCCTCCTCGTGGGCCGGGGTAAGCCCTACCCCACGGGAGAGCCATCCGACCTGATGGTGATCCCCATCACGCCTCTCGACGTCGCATCCTGGCGCGTCCTCGAACGGGCCATCGCCAAGGGAGCCAAGAAATTCTCTCTGGGATCGAGCTGGACCGAGGCGCTCAGCCGCAGCCAACACGAACGCAAAGCCAACGAATACCTTGTTCAGCAATCCATCCTTCAGAACGAAGTCATCTTCAGTCAAGAGGGTCTCACCCTTCTCAACATGGACCGCATTTACATCTTCAAGCGTCGCATGTGCATCCTCTCCTCTCGCCCCTTTTCCCGCACCGATGAACAAGCCATGACCTCTTGTGTCCAGCTCCTGCATCGAATCATGCAAGATTTCCAAGGCCGCCCCTTCAGCAAGGCCTTTTTCCACCGCATCTATGAACAGTTCGATGTCAAGAATGAATTATTGGCCACCATTGCCACCGCACACCGAGCCACCTACAACCAAGAAGCTATCATCATTGCCTCACCACCCGCACCCGTCAAGACAGAGGCCACACGCAAGCCTCCCGCTGCGACAGCTCCCCTGCGGACTGTCCGGGCGCGTCGAGAGCCATTGACCAAGGTCTCACCAGCCAAGTCTAATATCATCAGAGGTCTTTCCACCAGTCCTGCGCAGACGAGAGAGAGGACCGCCGTAAAGCCAAGCACACACGCCGTCAAAGCCAGTCCACTCAAGTCCAGCACGATGAAACCACATTCTTCAAGACGCGGACCAAAGACTCCCCTTTCCGCATCAGATGTCACCCCCATCACGCGCAATGAGTGGAATTTCCTGGGGGCGCAGGACATTCGCCTACAGCCCACGGTGACCACGTGGACTCCTTCGCCGGTCGTGTACGCCGTGGCTTGAAGAACAGTGTGCAGGCGAAGGATGTTCTGAACATCAAACTAAAATTGACAACATCGCTCCATGCTTGATAACCTAGACAGAGTGATAACCCAAACAGAGCACAAATCCCGCCCGGCTTTTGGCTGGTGGCTCTTCGCAGTCGCCTCCAAACAGAGGCTAGTCAGCGACTCTGAGGCGCAGTATGAGCAAGACGTACATGTATTCTCTATACACTCGACTGTCCTCGATGGTCTGAGAACTGGGAAATGCGCGATCCCGAGTCTTGGTAGAGCTCGAGAAGAAGTTGGTTCCCGTCCTACTGTGATGCCATGCACACAGGGTGCCGAGTGAACGTTACCGCACTTTGTGAACGGACTTGATTCTATTCCATGCAAGTGTGGTCTTCATCACAAACTTATGACCATGCTTTGAGCCTGAAAGGAAGAAGGCGAATTTGGGACCCTCTCTGTCATGTACTAGAATTCATCAAAATCAGCCAAACAAGCTCATTGACCCGAGTCCTTTGTACACATCAAGAAAAGTGAACTTACTGCTTGAATTGCCTTACCTTCACCACAATCATCGAACGACATGCATTTCACTCGACATGTTTCTGAGACCGTAGCGTAGGAGTAAGTTAGTAACCCATCAACATGTCACCAGCATGAAGGACGGGCAAGTCCCAACATGGATCCACATGCAAGAATACAACCAGACCGACGAGCGCATCTTTCTACATCATTGTAACTATCCCCGAATAACACTCAATACATCCGCGAGCGCATCTACGATAAAACCAGGCCTCATTGCCTCACAGACCGCTCTATCCCCATATCCATACCGACACCAACAAATGCTCCCGCCGATATTCCTCGCAAACTCAATATCTGCCACCGTATCCCCCACAACCAACACATCCCCCGCCTCAAGCTTCCCAGCCTTGACCAGCATCGGCTTCAACACATTCTTGAAACTCGCCGGGTCTGGCTTGCGCTTCGCGCCCGGCGTATTGTCACCCACGATCCAATCCTCGGGAACAAGATGGCGCAGACCATTGCGTTCAAGCGCCGTTTTGACCGCTTCCACGCCCTTGTTGGTCACGATCGCGACGGGGATGTCGGCGGTACGTAGCTCGCTTAGAACGATCTCTGCGCCGGGAAACGCTTGGATGAGGCTTTGGCCGTGGATTGCGTATAGCTCCCGGTATTTGGCGATCCAGTGGGCTTCGATCGATGTGGTCAAGGTCGAGGGGGTTGGGTGGAGAGCTTTGAAAGTGTCGGAGAGACCGGCGCCGCTGGCGATGAGGCGTTGGATCTCGGTCGGGGAGGGAGGTTGAGAGGGAAGGAGAGCTTGGAAGGTCAATTGGATGGTGTGGGAGATGGAGTCGTGGGTGTCGAAGAGGGTTCCGTCAAAGTCGAAGATGGCGAGGGAGATCATCTTGTGGTGAACTTTGAGGATGTATGGACAGAAATTCAAGAGTTGGATGATATGAATAGTGCAGGCGGGGGTTGAGACATAGATCAGGGAGGTTTAGGTAGACAGTCTATGTTTGAAGCGTGGTCGAAGTATGTACATGGGCACGCGGTACAAGCCTTGCTTCATATACGAATTGAATCCAAGTTCCCTTCACAAAATTGACTTGTAGTCTGGAAGAGAACTCGCGCCGTGGCTTACCTGCATCGAGTTTGCGCTATGGGTCGCTAACCTTTTCGGTTAGATCTGCGAGCGACATGCATAGTACCGTTCCTACTACCTTAACTGAATACTAAAGTATGACCAAGTTGTCCCCGAGTCTCTGTCAACAGGATTATCTTCATATCCATCTCAGTAAATCGGTGGCATGATGGACGACCAGTCGAGCATTTAGTCACGGACCATCTCGATGTCATGGCACATGCCTTTCGCATTGCGTTGACACCGATGTCCTCATTGCTCGTGTTCGACTTACCTCCTGCAGGCCCTCCATACCTGACCCATGATTTCCCCGCAACCCTGCCAGGATAGGAGTATATGAGACGAGACAAGGTTCCAAGAGACTTCCCCCTCGCTGGCTTAACGAGCAAATCATGAGCAATCTTCAAAGGATGACAATCAGTGCTTACCGTGGGATACATCGGTTAATTCGAAACCATGTCACGTTTTCTCAAACGAAAGATCTACAATACGTTGTTCTTCATGCGCAAAAAAACCCCCGAATACTCCAGACATCGTCTCGGCCCCGATGCAGTCTGTTGGCGTTATGGGACACAGAGTCGGTTACCCGTGAGATTGTCCCTTTTTTTTTAACCACCAGAATCTTCTCCGCGGTAGATTTATTTCTACAAACTTGGGATAGAATGATTGCCGCCCGACACTCGAATGAGCATTGCCCAGGGATGAGTACAGACGAAGGTCGAGAGTGTGTGGATCTGACATGAAACCGCTATCGGCACGTGCCTCTCTCTCTCTCTCTCTCTCGTGTAGTACGAGAGAGCAAAGATCATGACCATCACCACCACTTTCCCATTTCCATCTTCAATCAAGCCAGGCGGGGCCTGGCATGCCGATCGGACGGCGATGGCGTCTCCTGATATTACCTCAAGAGTGCACGCACAGGCTCTCGGCCCATTCTGGTTCCCACTTAGTCGCGGCGCCCAGGGCCGATTCTCTCGTGAAGACCCGAGTATGGAGTCCCTGAATTGATTGCAACTCCACAGTCCACACAATGAATGCGAGTCGTCTACCGAATCTGGCGCTTAGCGGACCCATCATGGTCGCCCAATTGGGAAGGCCCATGGTGCTTGTGTTCTTCCACCATTTTATCTCCTCTTACCCGTTAGCGAAGCCACTCGCCCAGATCTTCTTCCGGTTACGAAGGACTGGATTGTGGTCTGTTTGACTCGAGGACAATGACCTCGTTATGGGGGGGGCTCGTCTTACTGTACCTTCAACATCCCGAATCTATGCTCGCACCGGAGAATAGCATTGTAAACTATTGGAGGCTACTGGGAGATCGTAGCAGACCCAAAAGAGGGGAGAAAGGAATGGTGAGATTGAATCTGGTGAGAGGTGCCTATCTAAGCTACGAAGGTGGTGTGCGTGGGCGCGCACCACACTGGTGACACGCCTGACCACTAAGCTATCTCAACACCCCCCTGGACCTCGATCCACCAATCTCACTCAAAACACGAAAAACATGAAAAGTGATCATATAAATATGTTAATAACGCCTTAATATAGCTTTTTGAGCTTAAAAAGGTATTTAAACCCTTAGAATTAAGCTCGCTAGAAAGGCTATTAAATCAGAGCTTTTTTATACCCAAAGGGTGTAGAAACCTCTCGAATTAGACTCGCTATAGCGGCTTAGTGAAGCTATCTACTGCCTACTCTGTAGTAGAGATTTTAACGAATTTATATACCCCCCTAGAGACTTAGTCTCTAATATAATAGTATTTAACGTTAATATACTTCGTTCGTTAGTGTAAATCATAGCTTTTAGTAAGGTAAATAGCGCCTTAGTTATCCTCGTAGATTATAGTAGGAAGTTATAAAAGGGACTCTATATTAAGTTCCTTAAGGAAAAGCTATAGCTATAATACCTCTTAGATAGCTAAAGATATAGCTATATACTCGCTTTCTGTAGAGGAAAGAGTAATATATATTTACTTTTTATAAGCCTAAGTAATTGTACTATTCGTAAGCTTAAAAAGGAAGCCGGAGGTTAATATACTACTATCTATATATTTACCGGCCTAATCTATATTAACGAATCTAAAGAGGAGGTCTAGTAAGTAGGAATACGCGATAGTAAGCGTTTCAGAACCCTTAAGATATCGAAAGATACGCTTTAATATAGTTATATACTTCGCGGAGGGGTTATATATATATCTTATAAGCTTTATAACTATAAATATAATATCTAGTCGCGTATTAACTATTAGCTAAATAAGTAAGCCTACTATCTTACAGTAAGCTTTAACTTCGGCCGGAGTAGTAGTATCCTTACGCGGTTATAGGATCTCCTTATTATAAAATAGCGTAGGGACTATATATATATCTTATAGGTTAAATTTAGTAAGGACTTTACGAATATAGGCGAGCTAAGAAAGTATAACTTTGCTATCTATAGATTAAATGATATTAATCGTAAGGAATCGCGTAGTAGTACTATTATTAGTAATATCGAAGGATTTTCGAATATAGTCCTTAAGCTATATAAGAGATATATATAAAGGTATAATAATTAGTATATTATTAATATATATAAGAAGATAGAGCTTACGTTTTATATATATAAATACCGAATAGTCTACTTATAAGTAAATAAATCTAATTACTATTAGAGCCCTATAGATAGTATTATACTACTCGCGAGGACTCTGTTTTAGACCGTATAAAGTCTTTAAAAGAAGGCCGTATTTTCTAGGCTCTTTAAAACTATTAGGAAGTTAAATATAGATTTCTTTAAGAAGCTCTACGTTAAGAAACGCTATAATGAAGTTAATATAATATATCTACTAGCCGAAATACGTAGCGATTACGTAGAATATTTTAAAGCTTAAAGCTTTAGCTATACTTATATAAATATTAAGATAATCGATTCCTTTACGTTACTTAAACCCTTTTATAATAAGACGCGCTTTATAGGACCTATCGTCCTTAATACGAAAGACCTATCGAAGCGGAAGAAGCGTCTTTTTAGTACCCTTAGTAGGAAGATTATATACGCGCTAAGTACCGTTTTTTAGCTACTTCTATATTTCCTTATCTATAGCTTTAATCTATTTAGTCTATTTATCCTTACTATAATTTTATATTATATCCCGCTAGCTATCTAGTTTATATAGCGTTAACTAAGCTAAAGCTTAATATAAAAGCTTTAGAAGTAGTTATACGTCTACGGTTATACTACGAATTAAAAAAGTAGTATATTTAATATAATTAGCCAGAGCTATATTTAAATACTTAAGAAAATATAAATATTCCTCTAACTCTATAGCCGCTTAAGTCTTCTTACGGACTCGTAAGGAATACCGAAGACCTATCTTAGGTATAGTTTAAGAACTACTTTCGATAGTTTTAGGATTAGCCTCGATAGTTTCAGAACTACCCTCGATAGTTTTAGAACTACCCTCTATAGTTTAAAGATTATCGTCGATATTTCTAGGACTACCCTCGATAGTTCTGGAACTATCCTCTATAGTTTAAGGGCTATCGTCGATATATTTATTCTATTTATAGGCGAATCTCTACTTAATCTATTCACGAAGCTTTTTAAGTTAGACTTCGCGTTTAAATAAAGAAAGTAGTATATTAGACTACTTAGATAATAGTAGGTCTTCTATTAGAATATAAGAAGATAGAGTTACTAGCTATACTAGCTTATTAGGACTATTAGCTAAATCTAGCTAAATTAGTTAATCGCTATTAGCTAGTAGGAAATCCGATAGTATATAATAGCGTTAATTAGCCGTAGATTATATAGGAACTAACTTTAGCTCTATATTAAGATTATATATAGGCTTAGGTAGATCCTTCGTTATATTCTTATTAAAGACTATATTACGAGAGACTACGATCTTCTTTAAATAAATATTATAGAGTCGATATCTATTAGTACTATAGCCTACTAGCCTTACTTCGGCTATATACAGAGAAAGCTTATCTACCCTATGTTCCTTTAGAATTAGATACTAAGCTTAGTAGCTAAGTACGTATAGATTTAAAATATCTAGCTTTTTGCTATAGAAAGCTTTATATAGAGTTATATTAATAGTAGACTACTAGAGACGGTTTATTATATAATTAATACCTAAAAGTAGCTTACCCTATAGATATTTAGGAAGCTGATTTTTAGCTAATATAGCGATTAGTAGCTTAATAAGCTAACGATTCCTAATCTCCGTAATACCGTTAAGCTAAGGTATATAGGGGGGAATAGGATCCTAAATAATACTGTTTTCTTCGTAAAAAGTAGCGATTTTAACGTGTTCTTACGTATTATCGCCTAAAATTACCTTAACTTTATAGTTAAATTATATTAAAAAATAGGTTACTAATATACGAATTTTATTAGTAATTTCGCTCTTCGCCTTTAATAGGAAGACCTAATAGAAGCGAGTAGTATTATCGGTAACTATTATAAAATAACGATTACCTCTAACGCCTACGATAAAGATAGGACCCTAAATATTAATATAAAGCTTCTATACTAGTATAGTCTTAATACGCTTACTTCGTCTAAAGGGTAAGATATAGCCTTTACTAAGAATATAAGGAGGATAAGGGTACTTAATATTAGATCCCTTTTTAATATTAATTCCTTCGGTATATTTAGGTATACGCTTTATCTTCTACTCGTCTACGTAATAGGCTCTGCGATAAGCTAGGTCTATTAAAATAGGTTAAATCTTACTAATTTAAGAAGCTATAGCTAAATCTATAGCGGGTATATAGCT